AGGGAGAATGTCACAGAACTATCAATTGATTTTGCTGACAAATGTCATATCTTTATGAAATAGCCACATTGTCCTTGATTTGTTCATTTATGTAGATTTACTGGGATTCATTTATTCATCATCATGATTTGTGGACAGTTATATATGATTTGATGGAGGAAAGCAAGCTAGCACTTTATTTACTTCAGTCCAGGAAACATTCTTCAAAAGATTTACTTCAGTCCAGGAAACATTCTTCAAAAGATATGTTTCTGATTGCCACAAATTAAAAAATATATTTATCAAAAACATGTATCTTTTAGTTCATTGATGTACTTGAAACCATCATACTAGTCACATCATGCACATTTCACACAAAAGTCTCTGGTTCATTGTCCTGAAGGGTAGAATGTATATTAAGGCTATTGCTGGTGTCCCCTTTGAAATTGCTGGAATACTGAGGTGTTATGACTGAGTAAGGATTTACGCTGCTTTTAGCAATATTCCAGCAATATCATGGCAGGGACACCAGAAATAGGCTTCTCACATTGTACCCATGTTGGGAATCAACTCAGGCCTTCAGTGTGACGAGCGAGCACTTTAACCACTAGACTACCTCACTGCTACACTGAGCTGTAACATCATACATACTCAGTAGTAGTGATACTGTATTGTATTGATACAAGGCTCACTATACAATACATTGATTTAACAACCAGATACCAGGGTATATATTCTTTTTTATCACAGATATTGACGAAAGTAAATCCAGGAGTTCTGGTTCATTATAGGTATTTATGTTTTAACTTCATGCTCTGCAGGCATGACTTTCACCTTTTAATAGTTTGATCTTTTTCTGAATATTTCTGAACAGATATTGTTGACAACAGATTGAAATGTTAAAGCTTGATTGTCTTCAACAGACTGCAGCTGGATATTGGAAGATTGTCAAAACACATGGCCCTGATAGACAACCACTGCCACCATGAGGTCAGCAACAATGTGTTTAGATCACATTTGTTGATCTTGATAGGCAGCATCCATGACCTGCTTATTGTCATTGTGATGAAAATCCATATCTTTGATCTTGGCACCTCAGTCGCTGTTTCAGAGAACAAGAGCCCTGCATGACTGCTTGGTGATTCACTAGCTGATCAGGTTGGAGATTGTAGTTGATTTTAGATGGGCTGACAAATACAACGTGAATATAGTGGCACTGTCTATATTATTGATCCAGGCCAAGCAGGCAGTAATACTATGAGGTCGCCTGTCTACACAGTAATGGGTTGCGGCTGAGAATACGCTGACCTGACAAACAGCATTGATTCTTCTGGAGGGGTTGATGCACATTTAACCCGAGTGAATGCCCATAAGTCATCAAGGATTTTAGGCCCCAAATTCCTACAGGATGATGACCTGTGACCTGTGGAGATTGACTACCTTACAGGAGGGTGTCAGTATATTGTACTCAAAATCACATGTTAGATTTTTAAGGGGTAAAATGTAATGCATGGAAGATATTGATCAGTTTGCTTCTATATTGTCTACTATATGAGATAGAGCACATTTCCCATCGGATAACCTTTGCTTGTAATTGAGGGAACTATTATTGGGGCACAGTTGTGGGAAGTGCTGAGCAGTGTTGTGTCCTTTATGCCATTGCGGGTTCCCCACATGGGTACAATGTATGAAGCCCATTTCTGGTGTCCCCTGTTGTAATATTGCTGGAATATTGCTATAAGTGGCGTAGAACTAAAGTCACTAGCTCACTCAATTTATGTCATTGCGTGGTCATTGGTTCAAATTGCACATTCGACTGATGGCTATTCTTTGGCAGTATATCGAGAAAACTGACAAAAAAACCCATGTTTCTCTACCACATGAAGATGACATTAAGAGATAAAACTAACATTGATACAGTTGAAAGGGCCAAACAAGAATGTGCTTGCTCTCTTTACTTAATGTCTACAAGTTGAAGATAATTTAAGAGGAAAGTCATGCTGTTTCTAATATTAGCTAAATTTTTGTTGTTGCATTGATGGTAACCAGTAAGGATGCAGCAATCAAAATGAGAGCACAAGCAACTGTCGGTTGCAGGCCAGTCCCTCAACCCACACCATTGCATTGGTCAATGTGCCTGTAGCTCACAAGCGTGGTAGGCAATCAGCTACTGGCTATTACTGTAATTGATTGGGCTGTTGCCAGGAATTTTCTCATCTTAGAACCCTGAAGTCTCCTTTGAAAAATATTTCCTACTCTTTCATCAAATTAGTGTGATTAGGACTTGTGTGCCTTCTCTATTTGATAACTCTCAGAGGCTGTTATTATGCAGTACTGACAATTTTGTGGAGTTGAATGACAGGGTAAAGTTGAATCAGAGCCAGTAGCCAGTTTCTTAATGCGTACCATGGGAGTGAGATTGGAAATTTAAACATGGATGTTCCAGACGATGTTTTGGTTGCGTAGTGGCTGTTTCACAAGTCAGATCAGCATACACTGCACATTTAATTAGAGTCTGCCATTTGATGATCTGCAGTTGCAAACATTTTCATTTACTGTTTTCACAAATATATGCTTAACATTGGCATGTTATGAGGACGGAGTACTGATTTGCCTGTCTGGGAAGACCTGCTGTCTCTCTTATCAGTGTAGAGGATGCCCATCACCCTTCAAGAACCATGGCCATGTTATTGACCAGGAAACAGTCATGGCTACAAAACACTTGTGAAAGAGCAACTTGCTTTGAGTTATGCCTCTTCAGTGGCACCAGGAGTTGCTGGTTGTGTGGTTGAATCCAAAATTCGCCCCTTTTAGTATACTTGGTCTCAAAGCACAATATCTGTGCTTTGAGGATGACCTACATAAATTTTCCTTAACACATTAATGAAGCTAACTTGTCTGAAGATCATAAAGATGATCAACTTTTTAATGTGTTTAAATCAACATTGAACCCAACAAACTCACTCAAGAAGTATATTCTGCTAGAATCTCCCCCTTAGGCTTACATGTACATGCATAAGATCATTGTGAAGGTGAATGTAGAGTTTTGACATTATTTTTGTCATCCTGTGCCAGGTAGGATTATTAGAAATATTATGCAAAGTTGAAGCAAATACACCTAAGGACATTTTACTGACATCAGGCAATGTGTGTATCCTGTGTATACATATGTAAGGGTGCACACATACACATATTCTCTGATATTAGAAATGAAAGGTCAGGTTGTTATTGTCCCCCGCCACAACGCGGAACGGGGGACTATGTATTCAGCAGCGTCCGTCCGTCTGTCAGTCTGTATGTCTGTACGTATGATTATTGTTAATGCGATATCTCATGAACTGTTGTACCCAATGTCTTCAAATTTGGTGACAGCCTACATTGGGGGATTACGCAGACACCAGTCGATTTGGGTGACCTTGACCTTATTATCAAGGTCGCCACGTCACTTTGACCACTTTTCAAACTCTTGGTAACGTGATACCTCATGCACTGTTATATCCAATATCTTCAAATTTGGTGACAGCCTACATTGGGGGATTACACAGACACCAGTTGATTGGGGTGACCTTGACCTGATTTTCAAGGTCATCATGACACTTTGAACACTTATCAAACGCTTGTTATCATGACATCTCATGAACTGTTGTACCCAATGTCTTCAAATTTGGTGACAGCCTACATTGGGGGATTACCCAGACACCAGTCGATTTGGGTGACCTTGACCTTACCTTCAAGGTCACCATGACACTTTGAACACTTATCAAACTCTTGTTAATGTGATATCTCATGCACTGTTGTATCCAATGTCTTCAAATTTGGTGGTTATGCAGACACCAGTCATCTCAGGCATCTTGTAAAAAGTAGTAAGTATAGATATTCCATTCTTTAGAGGCGGGGGACATTGCCATACCAGTGGCAAACACTTGTTTATCTTGTTTCAACAGTTAACAATTGGAAGCGTTCCTTCATTCAAATACAGTATCAAAAGACCATAAGGACTTGAACATTTGTCTCACTGTATAACAATAAATGCGAGTGAGTGAGTTTAGTTTTATGCCGCACTCAGCAATATTCCAGCTATATGGTGGCGGTCCGTAAATAATCGAGTCTGGACCAGACAATCCAGTGATCAACAGCATGAGCATCGATCTGCACAATTGGGAATATGTGTGAACCAAGTCAGCGAGCCTGACCACTCGATCCCGTTATTTGCCTCTTACGACAAGTATGGGTTACTGAAGATCAATATGCTAACCCGGACCTTCACGGGTAACAATGAATGTAATTATGAAACATGGTTATAATGAACTTAAAGGAATTGGTGAAATACATCATAGGACTCAAAATAACTATTAAAACTGAATATATGATTTAACTTAGCCAGCTAACTATGACAACCTAGAAAACCCCTGAAGAAATTCAGAAGAGAGTGTGAGCAGTGTTCTTACACACACCGCACCAGTTGGTGACACCACCGTCAGATCATCTCAACACTGCTTTCTTAAAACAAAGCCAGTTGACCGGCCAAATGAGATTAATTGACTGCTTGAAATAGCATGTGGTTACATGCCTGTTGCTAATTTAGGAATACTTTAAGTGCTGAGGATTGAATATGTGATTGGCTGAGCGACAAATGGGAGAGCTGCATCAATAAATTATGACATTGCTGATATGCCGCCAATTGGTGTGAGTATTGAACCGTCCTTGATAGGAAGTGACAATAAATGAGGTTCACTAATCTATGTTTGTGGTGTAGTGATAATGGGATTAGTACTTGTATGATGTCTGATTAACCGCTGATGGTTGCTGATACTGGTTTGTTAAGAATATATTGAGTCTTATGACTGTTTGAAATGGAAAATCAGTTTGCTTTAGCCATTTATTTGTTACTTGTAGCAACATCGCATGATAATGTATAGAAAGCCGCAAAGTTGGGATTTGTAATATATTTCTTTGTACTACATTTTTCTGTCACTACAATATCCTTAGGTTTATGTTAACCAATGTGCATTGTATTTCAGGATCCCAAACTGCTGCTAGAAATTGAGCAGAAAGGCTCTGGTAACCTTGACTTTCGCACAGTGACAGTATGCAGTGGCCTGGATCTTGTCAACATCAGCTATACACCTATGATAGCACAGTCAGCAGATATAGCAAAGGTACCAGTGTATTTACCAGTGAACATTCAATGCCACAGTTTCCCAAGCCTGTTATTTTCCACTTAGACTGAACCTTAGAATTTGAACCTTGATGTATCAGGACAGTGACAATACATATGTGCATCTCCATTGTAGTGGTTACCATTTGCACCACTTGTCATAAGTCACCTGTGAAGATGCCATTTTCAAATTGGTTCCAGGGAGCCTCTGTTGTACAGGGTGACTGAAGGGAAAAGGTGGTATGTTTTGGTGATTCGGTCCAAAGAATGTCTGTGGATCATTACTCGTAGTTTCAACCACTGTTTTGTCTGGAATATTTGTTACAGACTGCTGTCATATGGCTGGACTGTTCCTGAGAAAGGTGTAATAGCAAACGAACAATATACTGTATCCTAATATGAAGACCCAAGTACTTATTTATGAAATGAAAAGTGGTCCAACAGTTTTAAAAAGAATGTATTCATGTGAACAGAAAATTATTGACTTCTGCAATATTGGCAATTTCTGTTTGTCATGCATTGTTAGAAACAACAAAGACACCACCTGCCACCTGTGACTTGATTTTGAGTGTCCTTTGAACCTTTGCATTTTATTATTAATATGTTTATGTTTATAGTTTTCACAAATTGTCAACTATACATCTTTTAACTTAATTGACACCTTCTTCAGGAAATGACCTGCTTTGGAAAGTGATCAAAATTAGTTAAAGGTCAAAGTTAGGATTCTACTCTGTGATCTTAGCTGTTTGTTCAGAATCTGAATAAAGAAAAAATTGGTTTACTCAACTATTAATCCATTTATAACTCTAATATACTAGAAATGATACTGAGTGCCAACTTTGGGCACAGACTGATGTTCAGGTTTTTGTGAGAAAGGGGTTTTATGATTGTTACTTTTTCAGTACATGGTTACCGGAAAGATATAAACTTAGTCTTTACACTGTCCTGTGACATGTCAGTGGGATCATACTCAAGGTCATCACTGAGGTTATTGTGAAACATTGTTTCCTAACTCATTTCCAGTTACTATTTCACTTTAACATGTATTTGTACAATCTAATCTGCTTGTATTACTGCTAAGAAGCTGTTTTAAAGGTCACATGCAACCAAAAAATCAAACATAATTAAAACACAATTATCACTTATTCATGACATCTAATATACATTGCTGGTTATGAAAAAACATATAAACAAAATTATAAGCGTACAATCGCAAATCAAAAGTGCAATATTGTGTACTTGGGTTTACTTCCTAAGAAACAAAGCAGCCGGGAAACCGAACCCAGTCAGAGCGGGTGGGTGTGCACTCAAGTGCAACGGCTGGTTCATTTGCAGATGCCCTCACGGCTCATTGTGTGTGTATATATAGAGATGTTGGGTTTTGTAAATACATGCTCATTTTTTGTGTATAACATTTTGCAATCAACAGACATCATAACATGTCATGTGTTCAAGTATCACACCTGCCTGTCTGTGTAATTACATAATGTGACAGAGACCGAACTCGGGCCATAAATCAATGCATTTTGTTTATGGTGTATAGCCTGATTGGTGTCAAGTTCAAATTGCATGTGGTCAGTGATCGCAGTTGTGTATTGAATATTGACATTAGCAGACAGGCAGGCAGACACACAGGTGTCAATTAAACAAGACATTGAGTTTTGTCTGTGACAACGACATATCTATATCACAGTTAGAAATTCTGTCAACGCTATATAATGACATTGCTTTTAAGTATCGCACTGAGAAAGTGACTCGGTAAGAAGAACGTGTGGTGAAATAGACAAATGAAATTATATAAACAGTTTATTTACTGTCATAACATATAAAAGCTCGCGCCTGTGAGATATCAACAAAACATTAGGAAAATAGCTCACACCAAAGCCTTCACTGAGTATTCACCGGACAGCCCGCTTCCAAGTTGCGCGAACCTATTTCAGTGCGCACGTGCTATGAGCGGAGCCCAGCTGTTGAAACCAGTTTTCACCCGAAAAGTCGGGGGAAAATTAGTGAATCGTTTGAACTCCGATTTCGAGCGGTTTTTTTCATCGCGTTATTTTTCAACTTTATAAGTTGAATTTGCATTTTTCATGATTTGTTTCGGTAAGTCCATACCGAAAGGTATCAGAATCTGCAAAGTTGTGTTTTACGTTGCATGTGACCTTTAATGAATGTCAACGTGTGGAAGTAGTGTTCAGATTAAAAGTTCATTGCATGTAAACATTTGGGGAAATGGCAATGCAGGGATTACTGCTTTTGCAAGTAATTCCAAAGATCGCTCATTTATTTTGCTGTTGCTTCTTGCAGATATGGTTTGAAGGACTAAGACAGATTACTCTCAACACAAAGGCTAACAATGTGTGCCCCATGACACAGCTCAAAAAGCAGTGAGTATTCTTGTCTCCCACCAGGCTAATGGTAAACAGTGGAAAATTAATGTGTTTGTTTTTAACACAGGGTCAAAATGTTATCGTTATTTGGGCATGTGCAAAGGAAAAAATGTTGTGTTCCATTTGAAATTGATGAGCAGGGTTATGAAGCATGATCTGGCAGCTACCTGTTGGCCTGCTGCTGGTTGCTTTTTGTGAAAGACTGGTGAGAAAAGCAAATGAAACGGTAGTCCAGCTGGCTGGTGGATTTTGCCATAACACGTTTATGAATGAGTGACAAAACAAAATATAGAGGTGTTTATAATGCATTGAAAAACATTGCCATATGATATTATTAAACTCAACAATTTTCCATAATGATCATAATTCATCTTTCACATTTCCCTATGATCAGGGGCCATAAGGTAGCCTAGTGGTTAAGGCGTTCGCTCCTCACGTTGGAGATCCGGGTCTGATTCCCCACATGGGTACAATGTGTGAAGCCAATTTCTGGTGTTCCCCGCTGTGATATTGCTGGAATATTTCTAAAAGCGGCGTAAAATTAAACTCGCTCCCTATGATCAGAAACAAAACATCACAGTGAACATCCAGAATTCAGAACAAGGCTCTCTTAAGTTCATTGTGTGTGCATGTGTGCAATAATCAAAATATTCATTGATGATTGAACTTTGATACTTTTCAAGATGATCAAGAAAAAAGAAGTAAAGCTTTGATGACAAAGTTGATAAAGATGACATAACAAAAACAGAATCTATTCATTTGTAAGTCACTGGGTTAAGTGAAAACAGAAAATTCACATCTATAAAACCCACTTTCACTAAGATTTGTCAGACAGTGTTTGTAAGTGAAACGTCTTTGTCCTCTAAGCTTTCATTGCAGTTAGCACAAAATTTCATTAGAAGGTTATTTTGTATTTCTATGACATGATCCTTACCATCCCATTGGAAACCTTTTACATTGAACAGTCAAATCTTTAGATTTTAAAGACTAATTAAGTGGCTTAAGGACTAGTTAGTTATGAGTGATCACTTTTCTGTGAGCCTAGTGGAAGAAATATCCAACCTTCTTAAGCTGTGAAGAGAAACCTGTTTGTCTACCAGTTTACTGTTATTTGTAATGTAATGTCCATGTCAGGGAGGGTTAAAATGACATTCTGTTGTGAACTAGTGAAGCATACCACTTGCTGCATTCTGTATGGTTTGTCTAGTATTACATGCCTTTTGTTACGACTTTGAAACACAGTCAGTGTAACACCTTCCTCCCAGCAACCAACTTCCAGGTTAAATGCAACAGTCTTTTCAGTAACTGTCATATGAGCACTTGCCCAAGAGTATATAGTGCACTTGCAAGGACAGAAATCTGTCCCATGTTACTGATAATAGATTGGTGAGAACATATTTCATTTGATCCCCTTCCACCTTTTATTTCGTGTGCATAACCCCCAAACTGATCTGTTTTTCGTGTTTTAACTTTGCACAGATATCAGTCTGGGTACATACTGAGTGAGTGAGTGAGTGAGTTTAGTTTTATGCTGCACTCAACAATATTCCAACTATATGGCGGTGGTCTGTAAATAATTGAGTCTGGAACAGACAATCCAGTGATCAACATCATGAGCATCGATCTACGCAATCGCCTCTTACGACAAGCATGGGTTACTGAAGATCAATTCTAACCTGGATCTTCACAGGTCCTAGGTACATACAGGTGCCCTTGAAATTTTTGTTTAATTTTGGATTCTGTGACAAAATGAACTTAGATCAAATTTTATGGATACAAAGTGAACATCTCGGTATATCTGGTAATGATGAGGTTTTTTGACTGGGATCATTGTGACACCATCTCAATGAGATGGTTCCTGTCAATTTGCAGGATATTAATAAGTTTTTGATTTTGTATCATTGACTCCAGACACAAAGACCCAGGAAGATCCGTGTTAGAATTGGTCTTCAGCAACCCATGCTTGCCATAAGAGGCAACTAACAGAATCAGGTGGTCAGGCTTGCTGACTTGGTTGACAAATGTCATCGTATCCCAATTGTGTAGATTGATGCTCATGCTGTTGATCACTTGATTGTCTGATCCAGACTCAATTATTTACAGACCACTGCCATGTAGCTGGAATATTGCTGAGTGCGGCGTTAAACAACAACCAAACCAGACACAAAGAGTCATACTTTTGTTGTCAGGGTCTTGGGTCTTGCACTCAACGGGACATACCATTGTCATGGAATCTGAGTATATACTTTTTGTACGACCTTCTGCTCTTAATCTGCCTCTGTTTTATCATTAGTTGTGAGATGAGTAAAAAGGTGTTTTTCATTGAGCTTATGACCTTGTTGTTTTCAGCTGGATGAAACTCTGCTTTATGGTAAACCCAAGTGGCAACATCCCAGTGCTTAGGTCAGTTGTCAGTTGCTCAGGCATTAGCCTTGATAATTCCACCTGTGGTTCAAACAATTTGCACAGTTTAATTTCAGAGTTTGTTCCATCATCATTTTGTGTATGACATTAAGAAATGAAATGATATTTTTCTCCACAGTATAACCAGGACATTTGCTTCAGGCAAAACACAAGAGAAGATGATTATGCAATGTTTGAAAGAGTTGAGTCTACCTTGTGGCAAGGTGAGTATGAAACGCTGTGATAAACTGAGGTGCTGTGCACAGTTGCTTCCCTTGGTTGTTCAGTGAAATCCCACTTACCCAAAGGTATATAGACAGAAGCAGATATCTGGTGGAGGTTTTTTTAATCTTATTTGCTAACCTTATGTAGGAAGATAATCTGAAGTGATGCAGGCCTTCAATGTATAGGACTCTTTAAACTCATGCGCATGGGGTGGGTGTGGGTGGGTGAGTGGTGGTTTGTGTTCGATTCCCCACATGGGTGCAATGTGTGAAGCCCGTTTCTTGTGTCCCCGCTGTGATATTGCTGGAATATTGCTAAAAAGCAGCGTGAAACTCAACTCACTCACTCACTCACTCACTCATGCGCACGGTAATAGTGTTTATGAGCCAAGAAACATAGGTTAACCTGTGGTCTTTAGTAACCCATTTGCTTGTCGTTAGAGGCGACTGATGGGTGGCGACTGACTCGTAGATTGATCTTCGTGATGTCAGTCACTTTATTGTCTGGACCTAACTCAATTATTTACAGACCGCTGTCGATATATGTGGAATATTGCGGCATGAAATATGTTACTTGCGTACTCAAGTGAAGCAACTCTCCACAGCAAAATAGATTACACAGAAACATAGAAGGCTCGGCCTTTTGTGGTCCTAATGTTTAGTTCTTGGATGATTTTTACAATTAGGGACCGTTCATAATTTATGACTAGAGGGGTGATGATGATTATTGTGGAGAAGCATGTACTATGTGATGGGGTAATGGCTTACACTATTTATTGATCATGTTTCACTGGTGTTGTCTGTTGTTGTTTTTTTAACAAATCATTGCATCTTACAAACCTAACTTGTCTCTGATACTTTCAGCTTGATGAAATTGAGCCGTCTGCATTTACGTTTGACAAGTTCTATGAGCTGTACCACAAGATCTGTCCACGGAGTGATATAGAGGAACTCTTCAGAGAACTGTAAGTTACAACGTTGACCTGAAGATACAAACTGTCTGTAATACAAACTTGTTTGGCTTGTTTCTTTTGGAAGAGGGGCCGTGGGGTAGCCTAGTGGCTAAGACGTTCGCTCATGATCCTGAAGACCCGGGTTCGATTCCCCACATGGGTACAATGTGTGAAGCCCATTTCTGGTGTCCCCCGTCGTGATGTTGCTGGAATATTGCTAAAAGCGGCATAAAACAAAACTCACTCACTCTTTTGGAAGAACTTTCAGGTGATTTTAAGCATATACATGTACTCTATAAGCTGATATTAAGGCTGGCTCCTGGAAATGTTAATGAATATACAAACTCAGTTTTGTTAGAGCAGCTTAACTGAGGATTATCAGTCTCTTTTGAATCTGCAAAAATTAATTAATAAAATGCACATAAGCTACAAGTTTTGTTCCTGCTGGTCACATTTATTTTTACCTGTGACAAAATATACTTTTTATGTGACAAACAATGCTTGATTTGTTTCAGATCACAGAATAAACCTTTCCTTACTGTAAATCAACTGATAGATTTTTTTAATGAGGTAAGTTCTTCACCGGACAATCACAGAATACATTTTAACCAGACCAAATATTTTAGTTTTTTTACCTGTTTGTTTCCATGGTGATAGTACAAAAGTTAATTAAAATTCAGAGTAAATTTGATATCTTAAAGACATTTGTTTTCTGCACTCATCAATATCTCAAATTGTGGTATAGGATAATGATCACTGTCAGTGTTTTGTTTTGGGTAACGTATATTCGTTGGATTATAAAAGGGAGACAAGTTCAGCAACTTCCCCAGGCTTTGATTGGTTTCCTTACTGTTGGGACTGCCTCCGTAGTGTAGTGGTTAGAGCGTTCGCCCTGAGAGTGGAAGGTCGCGGGTTAGTCCCCGCTGTGTCATACCAAAAGACATTAAAATATGGTACTTGTTGGTCCCTGCCTTGCGCTCAGGCATTAATGGGTACAATAAGGACTAGTCCACCTCACCCTTACTGTTGGTGTTTACTGGTGTTCATTCTAGTCTTGGAAATGACTGCTACTGACAAAGTAGTTGGGTTATTTTCAATGTAGAAATACCAACAAGTGTATCATCATCATGAGTGTGTGATACGTTTAGGGTCTGAAATTCAATTCTATGCTTGAAACTGCATTTATGAAATGATTCTTGCATGATCACTGAAATGCTGCAAATGCTGTAGAATGAAGGCTGGGTGCACACCTGATCAGGGAAAATTACCGTACTGGCATGTTTTATGCCCTTCAGCTATATTCTGATCTCATGTGAAAAGAGAATTATTGTCAGGTTTTGTCACAGTATGTTGTCTTGCACACATATCCATCTTTCCACATATGAATTATCTGAAACCTCCATCCCTTCTGGCTTTCCTCACATGCCCTGATATAACTGGAATAATGTTCAAAGACACGTGAAAACTTCGACAATCACGCCATATTAGAACGTAATGTACATTAGTGGGTAATGTCTTTTGCAGGGACTTGTGTTTCATGTTCTTGTTTAACGTTTGACCTTTAAGATCTGATGTTGCAAATATTATAAATGTTATAGGTGAGGCATAATCTCTTCTCAGTCTCATCCTGACTTCATCTGTCAGCAGCCATATCAGTAATTACAGCAATGCTTTGTTTACTGTTTGCAGCGACAGAGAGACCCCCGTCTCAATGAAATCCTGTTCCCTTTCTACAATCAGAACCGAGTGAATAACATCATAAAGACATATGAGCCAAATGAAGATAATGGTGAAAAGGGTAAGCAAGGAATAACTCAAGTGGAAAAAGTGTGGATTTCTCAATAAATGCCCTTCATGGAGATTGTATCCCAATGCAAAACCCATGATCACATAGGAGAATTCCAGATTTGCCTTAATTGTGTCTCAAGATTTGTCAAAGCCATACCCATGCTTGTGGGTGTTATCTAGTGTCTTAGACCTACATCATTTCTGCTTTCCCTCCCACATACAATATATGTTGTTTATCCAAACTCATTCATGCTAGACTAGTTTTTTAAATTTATATCTGTGATACACTAGTTGTTTTCCTGTCCTTCGTTGACAGTTTTTTTATAATTTACCTATAATTATTAGAAAAAGATAACTTGATATAATCACAATATGGCTGAAATACTTCCGATGTGACTTAAAATTTTAACTCACTCACTCATTCATGCAAGGGGTTGGTGCAGTGTTACTTCAAGTTCTGAGTTAATCACGTGATCACATTTCAATTGAATAGAATACAATAAGCTAATGGTCTCTTTAATATAGCTGAGATAATACTGCTAAGAGTGTCACTGATCATTGTACAACCTCTGAAACTATAATAAATGAGATTAATACTGTTACTTTTATTGTTTAACTTAAAACTAAACATGACTGAAAAACAAAGTTTAACAAAAATAATTGTGCCATTTCACAATATTCAACTAATGAAAGTTAACTAACATAAAATTCTGTATTGCCAAGCACATGACTAGCCTGACCAGCTATTACTAGCATAGTACTGAGTACAGTGTTTTGAGTGGTACATGGGTGGTACATGGTGTTTGGGTAGGTCTGTAAGTTGTGTTTCAACTTTTAGAACGTGCGAGGCTAAAACATAATCAGGGATTCGGAAAGGCAGGGGCCATGGGCCATTTTGCACATTTGAATAAAAAATGGCCTACTAAAATTTTGAAGTTTACTATTGATACAAGGTCACTGGCCCATTCTAAATTCAGCAAATAGCTACTAATAATCCTGAAAATGGCCCATTGTTCTCTATCCCAATCCCTGCATAATATTCGCCTCATCTGTGGAGTGGTGGTGTAGCCTAGTGGTAATAGCGTTTGCTCGTCATGCCGAAGACCCAGGTTCAATTCCCCACATGGGTACAATGTGTAAAGCCCCATTTCTGGTGTCCCTTGCCGTGATGTTGCTGGAATATTGCTAAAAGTGGCGTAAAACCATACTCACTCACTCACTCTTCTCATCTGTAAATATTCTTACGCCCATCAGTATCCTGTGCGATTATGTTTTAGGGAAGTATAGTGAACTCTATTCATGAAGTACAACTTTTTGTCTCAGAGATGATGAGCTTGGACGGTTTCTGTCGGTATCTAATGTCGGATGAGAATGCGCCTGTGTTCCTCGACCGACTAGATATCTACCTAGAGATGGACCAGCCATTGGCTCACTACTTCATCAACTCATCCCACAACACATACCTGACAGGTAGACAGTTTGGAGGCCGGTCATCAGTCGAAATGTATCGCCAGGTGCTGCTTGCAGGGTGCAGGTCAGTACCATTTTCAGCATTTATGATTTGATTTGCTAGTGATTAAAACTGTTTGACTTAGGCTGAAATTGGTGGTAGTACTCTTTTCCGGAGCAGAACTCTAAAACCGTTCTCTATTTCTTCACCCAACCTGGCACATAGATAGATCTGGTGGTCTACTGGTGCCTTTTGGTAGTTTTGGATTTCTGAATAAAATATTTTTTGCGTTTCCATGGCAACATGTTTGACTTAGACTGAAATTGGTGTTAGTACTCTTTCCGGATAAGAACTTAAAAACTATTCACTGTTCCATCACAAATTTCATACATAGGTGGTCTAGTGGTGAACTGGTGCCTTTTGCTAGTTTTGGATTTCTGAATAAAATAAAAAAAATGTTGTGTTTCCATGGCAACAATTTTGGCTTCAACTGAATTTGGTGGTAGTGCTCCTTTCTGGAGCAGAACTTTGAAACCTTTCAGTACTCTCCTTCCACTTAGCTATATACATGCCAACACATTTGACATAGTCATAACTTTGCCATTGCGGGGGATATTGATGACTTTGTCTTCTTGTTATTATTCTTTCATCAGGTATGAATATATCCAAACATCATGTTCCTCATGTTACGAAAGTTGGCATCTATAAATTTTCCCCTTTATGTGTTCTTCTAAATGCCATTCAAAGACTTTACCCAGTATCAAGTAAGATCACACATAGCACTGTTCAAGAAGTGTAGAACCAAACTGACTGACTGTTGTATAGGTGTGTGGAGCTCGACTGTTGGGATGGCCCGAAATGAAGACCAGGAACCCATCATCACTCACGGCAAGGCCATGTGTACAGACATCCTCTTCAAGGTATATCAAGTGACATATCAACATGCATCTGAACTCCAGAAGCTATCTTGCCACATAGATTTTACTTCACTGCCCTAACAGACTCCTTTGTATATCATAATTTAATACTCTGTGCAGGGCTCCAGATCATTTTTCATGATCAGGAGTACGTACTCCTTATTTTTTCAATATAGGAGTACTGGAAAACAATAAGAGTACATTTAGAGTACTGAATGGAATTTAATGGAGTATCAGTAAGCTTGTGTTTCGTTTCATATATGCACCACAACATTGTTACTCTTGTGTAAACAGGTCAATAAACACTAAAGCAATACTTTTTCAGATAAATACGTCTGTAAATGATTCTAAGACCGAACACCATTGCTGTGGTGTGTATCTGCTACGTTTTCTAAATTATTTCCTACCGTATCGTGCTTATTTTATATCCGTACATACGCTGATACAGCCCTTATCTGGAGCCCTGTCTGTGGGTATTCTGTGATAAAATTGGTCCCATAAAACCCATGCTCACTGGAATAGGTGACGCGTTGGATCAGGTGGTAAGACTTGCTGACTTTGATGATTTTGTGACATCTTACCTCAACAGTGTGGATATTGGCTCATATGAATCTATGGAATGTCTGGTTCAGACTCAGTTTCTTTTGTCAATTTCTTGAATATTGTGAAGTGTAGCATTAGACAATGAACAAGCCAACATCTTCATTTATTACTGCATATCATTTGATATCACAATGTGTTTACCCCCACCATTGTATATCTTCCTCATTTAGAACCGCCTTTGTTGATATGATTTATCTGTATTGCTAATATCATCACCTGACACCATTACACTGCTTATTAATACACTGTTGTTGTCCTGTCTATGATAAAATGTCCTATTCACAGGACTTGAAACTGAGCCAGCTAGTTTGGCAGTTAGTTTATTTTGATCTAACAATTCATTTTACAGGACGTCATTCAAGCAATTAAAGAAACAGCTTTTGTAACATCAGAATATCCAGTCATCCTATCCTTTGAGAACCATTGCAGGTGAGTAGTAATATTCTGTTCAATCAAGTTCTTATCTACATGATAACTACTTGTTCCTGCTCATATTTTCCAAATATGCAAACATTGTCGTAATGTTAACTCAAGTTAATTGGATGTCGATAAATATGTTGTAGTTTTTGAGGCTGGTATGATGAAGAGGAACAATTTATTATGGATGGACAGCTTCTTTGTTGCAATAGATGCAACATTTCAGTGTAGGTGCTAACTAGTGTTGGGAATTGGTTTCAGTCTCATAATTGATGATTGGTTCATTACAACCGATCAATCATCGAAAATAATTGGTTAGCGTCATTTATCAAATTTTCCTGGTTATGTTTGTTAATGCACAAAATATAAAGAAAAAAACATGTAGTTCTTTCGTTTTCTTTGCAAATTGCACAAATTGCATTTGCAAATTTCACATCTTTAAAGCATGTTAGGAACATGAATTTCATGGAGTCTTTAAAATAAATTCAATCATGAATTGGAAGAGTTTGTAGTGCTAATGAAATCTAACAGACAAAAGCAACCTTGTGAAATATATTGTTATTGCAAACAAGTGTTCCAAAATTGATTGTGTTCGATTATGAGAAAACATGATCGATTGCTTGGTCGTTTTGTCATTGCGACCAATCTTTGATTATTTCAATTAATCGGACCACCACTAGTGCTAACATCGTTTTCAAGCAAGTGATGGTGTTAGCACCTACACCAAAACATCACATCTATTGCAACAAAGAAGTTTTCTATCCATGGCATACAAAAATTGTTCCTCTTTATATTGTAGTTAACAGAAATTTCTAGATCATAAAGGAATTTTGAGGAGCTGATCTGTTTCAAACTGTGAAGATTCTCATTATAGAAAAGGTTTCTTGACCATATTTTACAAGTCAAGTGACAGCTACTTGATGATATCTCTTGGAATGTTCTTGTGTTCATTCTACAACTCTAGTTATTGTTAATCGTAAGCACATTTATGACCGAGGATTAATGTAAGAGGATTTTCTTTCCAGCAAACTCCAACAATTCAAAATGGCTAAATACTGTGAGGATATTCTTGGAGAGTATTTACTGAAAAAGCCCTTGGATTCAGTCCCGGTGAGTTTATCATTACAGTTGACAGTGTCTCTGATGCAGAGAAAGGGAGTGATTAGAACACTGTCCTTAGGACAAGATTGACTTTGGCAGAAACATTGAATTGAAAGAATTAGATCAGTAAGTTAATCCTGTCTTCACATTCCTGGCTTCTGAATGATGCTTACAGAAGACTGTCCAAGCCAAGTATGATTCGGTTTGTCTAATGTATTTAGGGGTCTAGTACAGTTTCAGGTTCTTTAGGGGATTTTCATGTGCTGTAAATCAAGGAATTATTGTGAGTTCAACATTAGTGCGAGTTATTTTGCGTTGATGTAATGTCACATGTTTATAAAGAAGTGTTGGAGGACATTGGCAGGTCAGGTTTTTTTATACAAGGGGAGTGTTGCATTAAGACTGTGCTTCAGTTTGGTTAGTTTACACAAGTGGATCCAGCTGTATTGACAGCCGCTGATGATGTATAACAGCACCATTTCTTCTTGGTAGCCTTTCTTGGTGATTTCAAGTAAACTATTGCTCAACCAAGTGGTCAAGGTGGTCAGTACAGCAACAATGTGCATATATCCAGAAGATGACTTACTTTTCTTACTCTTACAGAGGCTTAAAGAAAATGGAAGTTAGACAAGAGGTAGTCTATATCAAATACTAAGTGGAAATATATCCTCTCTTTGCTCAGGCAGGATCATGGCTGTTCTCTGACGCATTTTCTGTACCTCTGACTTTTCAGATTTGCTTTATCGTGATTCTTGGTGTTGCAATACTGTACCAGGCTTATGGGTTTCAGCGAAGTTGTACAGCTACAACCTGGCAGTGTCAGGCTTTCCTAACATGCCCAATCACTGAAATATTGCTTGAAACGGCATTAAATCATCCTTCCTGCTGTTATGCTTGTTGATGTACATCATGTACTTTGTGTATAAGTGACGTTTCCTGCTCCAGCTGGAACCAGGCGTCCCACTGCCTCCACCAAACCAGCTGAAGAAGAAGATCCTCATCAAAAACAAGAGGCTGAAACCTGAAGTGGAGAAACGTAAGCTTCATGGACACTCCTTAATGATCTTGCTCACTTGACTTCATCTCTCATTGGCTGGTGTTACTGATATGTGTGTGTGAATATTTCAATGCTCAGAGACAGGTGTGTCATATGTATCTGATATTTGCATCCAAAGGGAATTCTCGGGTAAGTCACCAGTGCTTGTAAGGAATGACTACATGAAATGGGGCATCACGCTTGGTGACTTTGTTGATTGCACTTTATTATACCTCCAACTGTGAGAGACATCTCCATAATATCAACCATTATTTAAAGACAGTTCTTAGATAACAGTAACGTCGATTTTCACTCACCATATAATACCTGGCTGACATAATTTGTGACTGGGATACTTGTTTCAGTGTACAATGCATTTAATGTAACAAACCTATATAACCTCCTTTAATTCTGATGAATAGTAAATGAAATGTTTTCCTTTGTCGTCTTTGATGATCCTTGTAGACCTTGACAATGCTTTGTAGTCCTTGAAGTTGGTCTCTTCAATGATACACTTTTTGTCTTTGTCTAATGCCTTATCTAATACTGATAAATTAATTGTTGTGCTTCAGGACAACTAGAATTGTTCCAGAAAGGATATATGGGCATTAACGAAGACATTGAATCCGAGGACCCTGAGGTTGTTCCTGCCAATGTTGATGGAGAGGAGGGCCCCCCTCAACGGTGAGACACACATCTGTCAGATAAATAGCACACGATCTCCAAAATCTGGATGTGATGCAATATTTGTTTCCAAATGTTTCTGATCCCTGAAGGTAACCTGAATGCATGACCGTTATATGACTTAATTAACCTGTTTTGTGCTACTACATTACAAGTTGTTTGTGAAGTTTTGTTTGCATGATTATTTACATGCATGGTTGCATGTGTTTATAGTACACAGTGTTGTTTCAGTTGGCTTATTTGTATATTTTGATTATGTTAACCATTTCATGAAAAGGATGACATTACATCTGTTTTGTACTCACTTACAGAATGTTCCTTGAGGTGGGACTAGATTAAGCTCATGAGCAATTCAAGCAAGTCATTGAAAGTCCATTAGTTAAGCTGCATTCTGAAATCTACTGATGTCGCAATAATGCCCTAATTACCCAGATTCAGTATCTCATGGAAATGGAATATAAAAGACTTATAAAGGATACTTGCTTCTTAATGTATGTAGACAGTATTACTGTTATCTACAATAATATTCCTTATGCTGCTCTTATGTCCAACTTCTTAATGCTTATAAAGCAATGTATTTTTTGATAGATATCGTTTTTACACAGTGTCTCTGTTTCTCTCATGGCAGTGATTACACTTGAACCCAGACTGAAAGTGGGAGCTACACAGTGAACAGGCTGTTAAAAAACTTTAGGCAACAGAGTATTTACATTCAGTAATGGAAGTTTTCAGTGCTTGAGAAATTATCCTACTTTGTGACACTTGTGTTATTTTGTATAGATATGATTGAAATTTGAAACAGAAACAGATTGCTTTTAGTGAGTTTAGAGGTATTTATTGGTAGATACCCTTGATAACACTGGATCCCAGATGTTCCTTGTGAAACATTGATTCCATTGCCGAATCCTGGAGTCTGACTGTTAATTGAAACTCAGACAACATATTTAAGTTTGTACATACAGTGCACATAACGTAAATACATTCTGTAGTTTTTGTACCACTTTGATGTTTACAGTTGTAGTTAGCACTGAGTGCATCTCCTGTTTTTCACTTGTTTTTCCTTCATTTTGATGTGTGACAGTGTGCTTCTTTGTAGTTCATATGTACAGAAGAATATTTGGGCATTCACGGGCACCCAGATTATTACCAATGTACATATTTTAGCTTTTGCAAATCAGCAACTCATGTGATTGGGTTGTGGTTAGTTGCTGTTGTAGATGATCCCAGAGGCTAGGCGATGTGTTACACAAAGACTGAAATGATGATACTGTAAACACTTTTCATAATTCTGTATGCCAGTAGTTATTTTATTACTGGTAGTCACACATTTAAATTGGCTGTCTGGCCTGGATTGGTAGCATTGTGGGTGGATGGCTGGGACAGGGTGTATTGTTAATGGTGTAGTGTATGGTTAGTAGTGGGGTGTGTGGTCAGTAGTGTCGTGTATGTTAGTAGTGGGGTGTGTGGTCAGTAGTGTCGTATGTTAGTAGTGGGGTGTGTGGTCAGTAGTGTCGTGTATGTTAGTAGTGGGGTGTGTGGTCAGTAGTGTCGTGTATGTTAGTAGTGGGGTTTGGTCAATGGTGTGGTATGTGTTAGGGGGGTCCATGTGGTGGTCAGGATGTGTAGTGTATGGTAAACAGTGATGTGTATGATACACAGTGTATGTTAGTAGTGGGGTGTGTGTCAGTCAATAGTATGTGTATGTTAGTAGTGGGGTGTGTGGTCAGTAGTGTCGTGTGTATGTTAGTAGTGGGGTGTGTGGTCAGTAGTGTCGTGTATGTTAGTAGTGGGGTGTGTGGTCAGTAGTGTCGTGTATGTTAGTAGTGGGGTTTGGTCAATGGTGTGGTATGTGTTAGGGGGTCTGTGGTGGTCAGATGTGTAGTGTATGGTAAACAGTGATGTGTATGATACACAGTGTAGGATATGGTGTGTAGTGGGATCCATGGTCAATAGTGTGGGGTATGGTGTGTAGTGGGAGGTCCATGGTCAATAGTGTGTATGGTGTGTAGTGGGGGTCCAATAGTGTGTATGGTGTGAGGTCCATGGTCAATAGTGTGGGTATGGTGTGTAGTGGGGTCCATGGTCAATAGTGTGGGTATGGTGTGTGTAGTGAGGTCCATGGTCAATAGTGTGTAGGATATGGTGTGTAGTGGGGTCCATGGTCAATAGTGTGGGGTCCATATAGGGTGTGTGGGGTCCATGGTCCATGTGTCAATATGGTGTGTGTAGTGAGGTCCATGGTCAATAGTGTGGAATATAGTGTGTAGTGGGTCCATGGTCAATAGTGTTGGGTATGGTGTGTAGTAGTGGGTCCATGGTCAATAGTGTGGGGTATGGTGTGTAGTGGGGTCCATGGTCAATAGTGTGGGGATGGTATGGTGTGTAGTGGGGTCCATGGTCAATAGTGTGGGATATGGTGTGTAGTGTGGGTCCATGGTCAATAGTGTGGGGTATGGTGTGTAGTAGGGGTCCCATGGTCAATAGTGTTAGGTATGGTGTGTAGTGGGGTCCATGATCAATAGTGTGGGGGTATGGTGTGTAGTGGGGTCCATGGTCAATAGTGTGGGTATGGTGTGTAGTAAGGGGTCCATGGTATATGGTGTGTAGTGGGATCCATGGTCAATAGTGTGGGATATGGTGTGTAGTGGGGTCCATGGTCAATAGTGTGGGGTATGGTGTGTAGTGGGGTCCATGGTCAATAGTGTAGGATATGGTGTGTAGTGGGGTCCATGGTCAATAGTGTGGGGTATGGTGTGTAGTGGGGTCCATGGTCAATAGTGTAGGTATGGTGTGTAGTAAGGGTCCATGGTCAATAGTGTGGATATGTGTGTAGTGGGGTCCATGGTCAATAGTGTGGGATATGGTGTGTAGTGGGGTCCATGGTCAATAGTGTAGGGTATGGTGTGTAGTGGGTCCATGGTCAATAGTGTGGGATATGGTGTGAAGTGGGGTCCATGATCAATAGTGTGGGGTATGGTGTGTAGTGGGATCCATAGTCAATAGTGTTGGGTATGATGTGTAATGGGGTCCATGGTCAATAGTGTGGGATATGGTGTGTAGTGGGGTCCATGGTCAATAGTGTGGGATATGGTGTGTAGTGGGGTCCATGGTCAATAGTGTGCTATATGGTGTGTAGTGGGATCCATGGTCAATAGTGTGGGGTATGGTGTGTAGTGGGATCCATGGTCAATAGTGTGCTATATGGTGTGTAATGGGGTCCATGGTCAATAGTGTGCTATATGGTGTGTAATGGGGTCCATGGTCAATAGTGTGGGGTATGGAGTGTAATGGGGTCCATGGTCAATAGTATGGGATATGGTGTGTAGTGGGGTCCATGGTCAATAGTGTGGGGTATGGTGTGTAGTGGGGTCCATGGTCAATAGTGTGCTATATGGTTCGTAATGGGGTCCATGGTCAATAGTGTGGTCTATGGTTTGTTTGGGGTCTGTAGTCAATGGTGTGGTGTATGGTTGGTAGTGGGATCTGTGGTCATTAATGTGGTGTAGGGTTAGTAATTGGGGTCTGTGAGCAGTAGTGTTGTGTATGGCCTGTAATGGGGCATGTTGTCAATCGTGTGGGGTATGGTGTATGGTCTGTTTGTGGTCAGTGGTGTGGTATATGTAGTGGGGTGTGTCGTCAACAGCAAATTGTATTTAGATCCATTTGTGCTTGTAGATTTAGGTGAAGTTATTGGTGTCAAAGATACTTATGGATTTGCCAAAAAGTGTTTTTAGCACATGTACTATTGAACGTGAACCAGTTCATTTTGTTCAACTTATTGTGAACAAATTATTATGTTGCAGATTATTGTTTGAATTTTCTCTCTACATGTAAGTCCTGACATTAGGGGCCACAGCTGCTTGGGCGGGTATAATTGCCTTGGTAACCAGAGCCTTCTTCTAAAAAGTGATTTGTAAACGCCCTTGTTCCAATAATGACTACTGTTGAGTAAGATTGAAATGTGATACAGGGCCCAGCTTTCTTGTGATGTGTGTATAGCATGAACTGATTGTAACAGTATTGATGTACAATTTAGCTGAACTCAATCAGTCAATATCAGTGTGAAATATTGTTACATGTATATTGAGATGCATAATTTATGATGATTTAAGGTCATTGTTTTGGGATACATCTTGTAGTAAACTATGTGTATGTTGATAACTTACTTGTTTCAATAATTGAAGATACTTGAAGATATGAAACCTTACATGGATAACATTGAAACTATATTGCTCAGAAGAAGTCAAAGATCAGCAAATTGTTTCATATGACTAGAATTGTTTCTGCTGACAGGATTGATTATGCATTCAGATGAAATAGTGTTGTTGTTTTTTAATTAATGTCAGTGTTCAATATTAAAACTCGTCCACTGGTGCAAGTCTTGTATGTTTCCCTAAGGACCATATAAATTAGACATATGGCAAGCCAATGTACTGGTGTTATATTTGAAATGAACAAAGTAATTTATATTTGTAGATAGAGGCACTCTACAATTCTAAGTAAAACCAAAAACTTAAACCTCCCTGCACGGTACAGATTGTACATTCTTGACTGGTTTCTCATTCTAATTGTGTATGCTCACTTGTATGTATCACCTAAATTCAGACTGAAGTATTGTTTTCATCACCAATGGATGTTATACACACCAAGTTAAACTGTTGCAAACAAATATGCCTCTGAATTATTTTGTCTTTTGTTATTTGGTACACATTGAGCTTGTAAAATTAGAATAAGGTAAAACCATTTAATATCCTTTTTGGTAATCAACATTGTGTCCAGGAGAGATTGTACAGGATTGTACGGCACCTTTCTTCCCAGAACTACCAGTAGCCCTGACACATCGTTACAAATGATAAAGAAATTGTTATCCATAGAAAGGTCCATGTATTCTTGTTCTTCCAACTTCTAAATGCCTAACATTGACTTGAGGAGGAACATGACTGTTTTGTTTCTTCAGATGCAGAAAATTCCAGCTCCAGTAGTGAGTCCTCATACCCTACACTTGACGACACACCGGCCCCTGCTCAGGCCAGCACGGGTACAGCTCACGCCCTGCCTGCACGCTGGTGGTGTTGTCTCTGCTCCACAACCAATTCTTGTAGCTCATGTGCAGGGATAGTCTTCATCCTTGTACATGATGTTGTGATCAAATTTATATGATATGAAATGTTGTCCTGGCTTATTTTCTTGCTCGAATGCCTTTTGGCTTTAGATTGACAGACTAGATGATTTGGCCATTTCCAGCTTTGTGAATGCAACACTGTTCATTCAGTGTAGATGAGTTGCATGTAAACATAGGTACTGAATCGTTAAAGCTGGAGCCAGTAGTGTTAAAGTAGATGACTAGTCTGTTTGCTGGTTGTGGATGCGGGATGATACACCTTCCTGCCAAACCCACACATCTGCTAGCTCAACTCTTCCATGTGCTCCTGTCAACTTGATCTAAATGTTCCCTTTGCTTTTGGGACTCTTCCAACAAGTCCTGTATCATTGTCTTACTATCATCAATCTCTCTTGTTGCATAGTCTTTACTTTTTAGACATCCTTATTTTGTCCTGTTTCTCTACTGAAGTCATGTGTCATCAGACTACCCTCTCAGTTCTTCCTGTTGGCATTGAATATGTGTCTTCTGCTCCTTGCTACTCAGAAGAGACAACTGAGTTGGACTGGGCCTGTGACTTGACTGATACCATGTCATTCTCCCCAGTCCATTACTTCTGTCAATCATGGGTTTACCGGCCCATATTCCATTATTTACAGCAACCATGATATGACTGAAATTTTGGGACTGCTTTTGAAAGTAAAGAAAAAAACACCCTGTTGTCATCATGTTTCTTTGCTGTGATTGTCTCAACATTAAAACACCTATACTTAATCAGCGTATTTTAGATCAGTGAAAATTCAACTGGCTGGCCTGTCCAGGACCTTGTTTCACAAATCTATCGGGTGGTGGGGTAGCCTAGTGGTTAAAGCGGTTGCTCATCACGCTGAAGACCCGGGTTCGATTCCCCACATGGGTACAATGTGTGAATCCCATTTCTGGTGTCCCCCGCCGTGATATAGCTGGAATATTGTTAAAAGCGGCTTAAAACTGAACTCACGCACTCACTCACAAATCTATCTTAGCCGTTAGACTGTCTTAATTGCTGTGCATTAACATAGACTTACGATTGTCCCAGCTCTAAAATTGGTGTGCACTGCCCCAGGTCAGTGAAGACCTTACTTGCTAGCCTGCCACAGATGTTGGTAATGACCTCCCCTTTTCTTCTGTCATCTACACCTGTTGGCTTTCTCTTGCTTATCTTTAGTGCTTCCTGCTTCTGCAATCCTTGGAATGGCATGCAAACCCATGCTTGCTGGGCTGTGATGTAACTAATTGGCCATGGATCTGCATGGCAGCAATGGCTTGCTAATACAGCTCCATTATCCATGATTTTATGCATACAAGATCAGTGGCTTGCTAAGTTGCAAACCATCAGTTTACTGTCTGGCTGTTGTTGTGTCTCTTGTAAGATGCTTCTTTGAAGCAATCTGCCCCATATTAAATGTATATATACCCTGAAGTGTCTGTAGATTTAGAATTCTCTGTATAGTCTGCCCAGATGTTATTGGTGTTATTGTGTGTGGTGAAAACAAGTCATTTTCTCATGAAATCATCGGAGCACTGACCTTACATCCATATCATAGTGTGAAATTGAGGCAAGTGCAACCCTGCAATCTCTTTGGGGTGTCCTGATACAATCTAGTGCATGCTTGATAAAGTGTGCTTGTCCCAAAGCTATCTCATTTACATTCTTTGCAGAAATCACTGAGTTAATTCCCATGCATTACTGGATGTTAAACAGCAGATATTCTCCTCCTTGTCTGTTCCATTACCTATTCTCAATCATTTTCCATCTTTTAATTTGATGCTGTATTTGACATATTTAGCGCCAGTTGAATCCAAAAGGGGATCTTAATAAAATACCCCAGGAAAAGATGGGAGTAGTAATTAGAAGAAGTTAGTGTTGTGAAATTGGTTAAAATCTCACAATTGATAATTTTGTCATTACAACCGATCAATCATCGAAAATAATTGGTTAGCGTCATTTATCAAATTCTCCTGGTTATGTTTGTTCATGCACAAAAATATAGAAAAAACCGTGTAGTTCTTTCGGTTTTTTTGCAAATTGCACAAATTGCATTTACAAATTTCACATCTTAAAGAATGACTAGTATGGTATGAACCTAAATTTCATGGATAATTCAATCATGACAAGGAATGAGCTTGTAGTGCTTGTGAAATGTAACAGACAAAACCAACCTTGTGAAATGGTTGTTAATGGAAACCAGTGTTCCAAAATTGTTTGTGTTCGATTATGAGAAAACTTGATCGATTGCTTGATCTTTTTGTCATTGCGACCAATCTTCGATTATTTCATTTAATCGGACCACCATTAGAAGAGGTTTAAAATCACAGAGAACAGTCAATCAACACTTATTGTCACCCTCTCAAACACTGATTTACTCCCAAGTTCCCTGGTAGAATGTGTCCTCAGCACGCCCTAGCTTTTTGTAAGAGGTGACTAAATTGGGCAACCTGTTTATGAATTGGGGGATGGGGTAGGGGATGCTCTGCATATTACATTTTTCTGATGTGGGGCACTTGTTAGGGAAGGGGCACTATATATTATAAATGTGAACATACAGTTTATCCATGAGATCTTAGGATTTTTGTTCTTGTGTAATTGACCAAATTTGAAGATTTTTTGTTGCTGAAATCAATCTCTGACAGGAAGACTTTTTTGGTGATCTTTGAAATAAAGACTATGCCAATCTTCACTGGCTAATTACGTTTAGTTACAGACAGAACTGATGCTATGTGTGAAACTGAGACATTGTTCTTGTTTAATCAGGGCTGTTGTGATCCATTCTGATTGACATGCATTAGACAACATGAGTTACCAAACACCTGCTACAGTTTTCAAATGACTTGACTATGTATTGCTAGGACTGCCGTTTAGCCAGTTCCCCACTCAGTGTGCAGTCTGGTCCTGAAGCTGCTAGCTTTCCTCTTGCCTGTGCGATGACGTGCAGGTCCCCCATCCACAGTGTTTGTGCTGCTGTGATAATTATGTAATTGTTCCTATTTCAAGCATTACACAACTTTGAGGTTTGTATTAATTAGAGGCATAATCTCATTTGAAAATAACATCAAAAAGGTTTGATTCATTTTTATGTAGGTGCTGCTGTGTTAACATTGCAAAATGTTTATACAAGTACAACTCATCATGTTCAGACACATAATGCCCCTTCATGTAGGGAAAGTTCACCTAAAGACAACCAGCTTCAATAACACCATACCACAACATAGATAACAAAAGAAACAAAATTGAAAGTCTTAAATGACTTGTACTTTCTCCCCATGTCTTCCAGCCAGTATTGATAATACACTGCGAGTTCACATTTTGTTGGCAAATCCACTATTACATCAAGAGCAGGAAGCAACCCAGGAAAAGTGTACTCACCTCTAAGATTTAGCTCAAAGATGGATTCTCAGATCTGTCACATGTATCCAGTGTGTGTTAGATCTTCCTAAATTGAAATGGAGAGTGAAGACATAAAAGAGGTATCACCATCTGAACCTTTAATAAATACTCTGAATCATTAAAGGGTGCTGTTTAAACAATCAGAACCATGAGTCTTGCATGACTTTTTATGATCATGTACATCCAATGTTTTGCATAGACTTGTAAAATTGGGAGTCACATTGACTCACTAGATGTATTTTGGGTGTGTCATTTTCTAAATTTGGGAGACCTGATTATATATTTTCAGTTGAAATTCCTAGTTTCTTTTTTCTCAAAGTTATTTCAGTCTCATTTAATTCTGAAAGATAATTTGGGGTTGTGTTAAAGAAACGAAAATAAGAATATTGCATATACTTCTGAAGTTACATTTCTTTAGCAAATAGATTACATCATTCAGGATTTGCATAAAAAATACTTAAGGTAATACAGCAGGAATTACAAGTCATGTTAAAATCCTTGTATGTTGTACAGTCTGTCACAGATAAGAGATCTGATTCCTCCATGCATATTTAGTTTGATCATTGAGTGCAGCAGATTATGTCCCTCCTGAGTGGATGTTTGTAGACTAGGGCATGCTGTTTGTATTTACAGTGTTGTTGAAATATTTGTACCTAAAATACTGGTAACATTTCCTAGCTGCATTTTAGTTACTTGTGAAGGTTTGTTACTAATAGCTTGTCCATGAGTAATGTCAATTTAACCCCTCTGTGGTAAAGATTGTAGTTTATGTGAATGTAATGTTATACTATATGTCTGCTTGTTGAAGCATTTTAAATATTCAAGTTTATTTTAAAATGAAACTTATCGTAAAAAAACAAAGATTGTTATACTTTGAAATGCAGTGATTTGAAGTTTACTTAAATAGTGTCACTGTGATCATGCATTATTTTTCTATCTCTTGCCAATACCAGAAATTTTGTGAAAAGCGGTCTCATTCATTTCTTTGTATTGCTGCTGGAACAATTATAATAATATTTGAATCTTGTACTCTTGATTCAGTAACTCTGTCCATCAAGATGTGACCAACAGTCCACTGTAACCCTGGACCACCTGATGATGTCGGAGACTGTATGGCTTACCGAACCGTTCTGATGCTATCATTCTGCAGTGAATAGTCTGGTCAAACTAACAGCCTTGGATAGCTATTTATGAGTTGCAAGTGCTATAAGAAAGCCTTTTGCTGATTGTTGTAACTAGGTTTCAAAATGTCCACAACATACCTGGGTTGATATATTATTTGTTCAGAACTGTGTCTATGTTTGTTTCAGAGATATGAAAGTTACATTTGCTGCTTGATTCTGAACTTGCTCATATTGAGAAGTTAGGTGCCTCAATTCTGATTGACCAATTAAAATGTTCAGCTCATGAACTCATTTGGAGAGTTTGTCACATCTTGTTGGAGAGAGGTCTTAGTGTTTGTATATCTTAAAGAAATATGTATGTTATGGTTTGGGGTTTGTGTGATCAGTGCAATACTTACATCTCTTGGAAAAATACAAATGGAGAACAAGTTTTCTGAAAAGTGAATTTGTTGTAACATTAATTGAAATTTCACCTTGTTCACCTGAACTACATAATTATCTGATGGGTTTTTTCAGGTATTGAATCCAGACTGTGAATGATCCAGGAAAGGACACAGATCAGTCCCACACACCTCACTAAGTTCTGATTTGTATTGCAGATCTGGACCCAACAGTGGCCAACACAGACACAGATGCCCACCCAGAACTCCTGCCACCTGGGGAAGGGGAGAAGCCTGCTGAGGGAGCAGAAGCCGAAAAGAAGCCAGAACCCCTCCTGAAGACAGATTCTGTTGGGACAAACATGTCTGATACTCCCACAGAGCCAGAACCCACAGATGGGAAGAAGGCACCAGTCAGTATGAAGATCCCTTCTAAAAAGGTATGGAGAGAGGAAAGGAGTTAGCTGATTGAAATAAATACCATAGATTTACAGATATATGTTTCTGACAAAATAATATTTGAAGATCATCCAAGAATCCATGTAAATTTCTTTGACATGAGAATGCTTTGATAGGAAATTGTGGAAATTTTTGGTCATTTTGTAGCTCACCTGAACATTTGGTTTAATGAGATGTTTTTGAGCCTCTGTCCTTACATTGACATATGTTAATGTTATGTTGCCTATTTCTTGGCCATATCTTTTGTTGTCTAACCCAGGTGGCAGTTTGCTTCATACAGCTTCAACCTGTGGCCAATAATACCATTGCAAGCCTTTTATTGTATGACCTTCCCTTCCCTTCCACATAAAGGTGATGTCATTCCATGCTATAAGGGAAATGCTGTTGAGAATGGAACACACTCTCAGTTGCTAGGATGTGTTGCAATAATTTGGAGAAGTTAAGTATTGCATTGAATCCTGCATTTTGTCAACAGCCATCAGTCAACGCTGGAACACAGCCAGAAGATGGGGATGTTGCAGGGACTCTGACAGCTGATGAAGAGGCAGCATTGATGTCCTCGTACCACTACACAGGCGCCACCACCAACATCCATCCTTACCTCTCAGCCATGGTCAACTACGCCCAGCCTGTCAAGTTTCAAGGTTTTGAGATTGCAGAAGGTAGGTTGGGACTGCAGTGGGGCAATGGAGGGGCTGTGACGTCATCTTTGGGGCCTGCAGTATCAGAGGTTTCACACCGTATCCAATGGTAATCAGATTCCATATGGTAATCATGCATCTATGGTTGTGGATTCTTTTTGCATTAAAGTAAATTTTTCAAAGATGCCACAAGTCACTGAAAATACAGGAATATTAAAGGAAATCTGCGTATGATAATCGCAGTGTTAAGACACCCTGAGGAGGTTATCTGTAACTGGTCGGACAGTTATGAGTCTGTACTAAAGATGTGTGATAGTGTTGTGAGCAATTTGTGAAACAAGGACCTAAAGATGTGCTCTTGTCAGTTATGTCTGTATAGTTTTGATGATAAGGCTACAACAGGCCTTTAACAAACCCTTTCTGCACATGGAGACACAAAGCGCTGATTTATTTGCCTTCTTGTAAAACCCTGGTCTGAGGTTCAGCTACACAATAGTAGATAACAGTTTCTGTCCTTTTCCCACATTCCATCTTATGCTTTGGTCCTGTATACTTAAATACACTGCATTTAACATTTCCATACAATGCCAGTCAAAATTAATGAAAGTCTTTGTATTCGTTTTTTCTGTTTCACTTAGATTCATTTAACAAACCTAAGATCAGTACATTTAGAACTCCCTTGTTGAAAATAGTTATACCCAAGAGTAAATTCCATTGCTAGAAAAAGGTTAAAATCATACCAAATGCCAGTTACTTTGTGTGACACTAAGATTTTCTGAATTTGTCCTGTTATGGATTGAATTCTGTATGGATATATATTTTGGTTCTGTTTTCACCGACATAAACATCTCTGTTGATGGCAGTTTTCTAAAGGGAGATAAGCCTATAGTCTGCTCACAAAATGAATGACGAGCAACGTTACATCACTTATGGCAACAAATAACAGAATTATTTTTTGTGTTGGTAATTCTTTGAGATAAAGTTAAAACTGTATGTTTTTCTCACATCCAAACATCTGTTTCCCATAGTACAGACACAATTTACCAATTCATTTGTCCTCAAAGATTGTTGCTAGTTTTCTAGGTTTTCCAGCCTTAACAGTAGTGAAATCAAAGGAGTGAGTGAGTTTAGTTTTACGCCGCACTCAGCAATATTCCAGCTGTATGGTGGCGGTCTGTAAATAATCGAGTCTGGACCAGACAATCCAGTGATCAACAGCATGAGCATCGATCTGCGCAATTGGGAACCGATGACATGTGTCAACCTAGTCAGCGAGCCTCTTACGACAAGCATAGTCACCTTTTGTGACAAGCATGGGTTGCTGAAGACCTGTTTTACCCCCGATCTTCACGGGTGAAATCAAAGGGGAGAACTGGTCAAGTATAATAGCCCTCAAATCTTATCTACTTGTTAGAATTGATCTTTAGTAACCTACCGTATATGACCGTCTATAAGACGACCCCCAAACTTGACCCTTAAAATCGGTGTCAAAATGGTATGTTTCGTGCATAAGTCGATCCCCCGCGATGGGGTCCTAATCGCAGCAAACACAGACCACAGACAACTGGCAGTTACCAATAATTATAACTTTGGTCCACATTATTCAAAGAATTCACTGTCATATATAATGTGTCTACTCACGGATCGAAACGAAGTGTAGTTGACAGAAAATGCATAATATATTTTGCTTCTCTAAATATCATATTTATTGTAGCAACAAACTGGCTTGCTTATTTTACTCCATTCAACAATCACGAACTGATTACCCGCCTCGTTTTCCATTGACTGCTAGTTTACAGTAACATCGGTAAAAATGTGTGAATTTAAATGGCTTCCGTATTTTACCCCATTCCATGTGCTTACCACGTTCATGAGGGTCCGTATAACCTTAGTGTTGATTATATATATTTTACATAAAACTGTAAATAAAATTACACAATGCTAGGATATATTTCTTTGGGTTAAATAATAGTATTCTGTATTATATTTTACTGTCGACTGCGTCAGAATTCATCCCGTTATATTATTGTGCATGTTTGAACTTGTTAGCCATGAAAGCGTGTGCACAGCTGATTGCTATTTCCGGCTCAAATACACACGGTAATCTTAATTAATTTATAGAGCAAAATCTGTAACTAAAATTACACAATGCTAGGATATATTTCTTTGGGTTAAATAATGGTAATTTTTCCTTATCCTGACTCATGCTCTTTTGCTTGTCTCCTTCCTCTTGCGAACATAGTGGAACACTTGTATCTCCCTAATTGAAGTTCCCTTCAATGTAAAATCACTAATTAGTACACCACGAGTTACCTCCCTTCCACAAGCTGCTGAACGAGGGTAGCCACCTCTACCCATGTGCCTCACTCTCTCCTTCTTAAGCCCAGTGAGCTGGACGTGAGGCGCCTGTGTCTCCGACACACTATATCCTTTGATTATATTTAGTTAGTTACCTCGTGATAGAGATCTATAGAGGTTTAGCTAGTATCTTTCAACAATTATGTATTGATATTTATTCGTGTTTCTACTGTTTATGCACGGGACCGTGCTGTTGCAGTGGATTACGTTGATAAAAATTCTGTACTGTTGCACATTACGTTTTTATTCTGCTGCTGATCCGCATTTAATATGCCCTAGCTGTACTGCGCCATGTTTCATGTGATTCACGTTGCAGTTCGCGATACTAATTTATCCAATTCTACCTTTAATGAATAATTACTTTGCGTTTGAGACGCCGCAGCAGATAGGTCACAATGATGCAGAGTCTAGCATGACTGATACACCTGAACCCCTCGCCAGTCTACTGCTGTTGGTCGACCCCCTCCCGCCTGGTTTTCCGCTAGAATGGTGGAGAGGTGGGACGAGTCCGGCCGCCTCCAAGAAGCGTCCTGCTTCCCCAGACATCCCTTCATCGCACTGAGGGGTATTCAACGAAGTCTACTAGAACTTTCTCAGCCGAGATTGTTCTCATCGCGAGATTTGGGCCTGTATGATGATCAGCCGATCATCATTCCTGATGTACATCAAAGAATGACTGATGTCGGCAACAGTGATGTCAGCGCAGATCAACATTCGATGATCTTCCTGAGGGTCCCGTCGCTACCAACACTCAACGCAGACTTCGCACCCCAGGGCAGCCGACCTCTGAGGGGAATTCAACGAAGTCTACTAGGACTTTCTCAACCCGAGATTGTTCCAGCCGCTGAACTTGGCCTCTACGATGATCAGCCGATCATCATCCCCGGACGATATGAGACAAGTAGCGACCGGTGACAGCTACAATGACATCAGCAGAGATCGCCATGCAGCCTGATGTCTCTACACTGATGTCAGACGACTTACCTGAGGGCCCCACCACTAACAGCGCAGAGATGGCACCGACTACTTCGGCGCGCAGACCATCCCAGACGAGCTACTACGGCAAATCATGGGCGTGATGGAGGGTCACTACAGACTGGAGAAGCAGCCAGCCCCAGAGTCACGAGCCGCCAGCTAAGGCTCCAACTTAGACAACACTCTAGAGGCACCTCCAGTCAACGTAGCAGCTAAGACGATGCAGCCTTCGCGAAGGAAGTCGCAGACCACCTTGGACGAAGGACCCAGATGTACAGCCTTAGCGAAGGCCTTCGCGAAGGCTTCGATAGATCATCACATTCCTCGGCTTCATCCTTAGATGTAGACTCAGCCACCAGACCTCACGGAAGCCTTCAGAAGCTCAAATCGCCGTTCCCCAGCACCGAACGCAGAGGAAGCTTCAGCGAAGGCGTTGCGTTGGCTGCCAGGAAGGAAGGCGCTCGCGAAGGCATTAGCGAAGGCACTCGGGAAGGACACCCGAATATAGATCGCCATTTAACAGAGTCAAGGGACTACTCAAAGAGCCAGCGAAGCTGTCAATAGTCTCCGATCTCCTCGCACATCACCACATCGATCGCCTCACAGGTTACCACACAAGTCTGCACACAAGTCTACATCACCTTCCTAGAGTGGCAGTACACGACGCAGACATACCTGATGAAGGAAGGCGACGCAGATGCTATCACCCTACCTCCGATCGACCCGATTGCTGCGGTAGCACAGAATCTAGACATAGCATCCCATAAAGCCACAAAAGTTCAGACACCATAATTGCCGAACTTTCACGCCTAGAAGTTTTCCACGCACAACATGGACCTCTTCTTCAAGGCTTAAGACATCGATGAAAACTACAAGTTGATCATCGATATCAACAATAAGAACTACAATCGTAAATTGGTTCAGTTGAATCCATGGACGAGGCGTATGTTCGTTGGCCTAAATAGATCTAGAGCGATCATTGAGACACTTATCACCAGATTTCGTAAACACGACTTCTGAAAATGATAAGATGATCCACTCGGCCCTACTTATGCAGAACCAGCAAGTCCCAGGCAGCCTCCTTAAGGAGCTAGAGCCTCACCAGCTACAAGGGACGTCGCGGAGGAGTAGCCACGACCCCACATCCTGTTAAACACAGAGGCCATTCGCGAAGCAAAGCGCTCTTATATATATATATATATATATATATATATATATATATATATATATTCTAATCGGACTTTGACTTCGATACCTTCGCGAAGGTCACGAAGGCTAAGTGGCTCCAAGTCTACTTCACCAGTAGATCTAGAAGGGATACTTCGAGAGCTTCGTGAAGTCTCGGCGTTCACCGAGGAAGTCTCCTCCAAGGTCTCCATATACTAGCCACTCGTCATATATAGCTACTCCTCAGTCCGTTCAAGACATCGCATAAGTTGTCTATCAACTGTATGCCAGATGCAGATCTATAAGCTTCTGGCGAAGACAATTGCACAGGCTATTTACAACACAGAACGTCGCTGTATTAATTTGTCTACGACGTTTCATAGATCTTCACAGAAATCAACTATTCATTATAAATTGTTAGTATATGCAATCCCGGACGACGATCACGATTATCTACATGCGTGACCATTACGCATATCTGCAGACAATTCAATATCGAAATTGAACAGCAGCCTTGTTACAGCGTAGTATAACTCATAATCGTCAACATTTCTGAGAAGAAATATGTACAACAAATTCAGCTTTAATTCTACAATTATGACGATACATTCATGTATACAGTCTACAAGCTGACAACTTACAAGTTATTGTACCTTTATATATAAAGAAGTCGAATTATATTCAAAACTGAAGTACTTTCACGACAGCCAGGAAAATAACCTACCCAGCATTAATATTACAGGCGAGGTATTTTGCTAGAAGCTAAGCCGCTTACCATTAATCCTCGAAACACGTGGTCACTCGGGTAACCGGAAGTTACGATGAAGACCGACGATTGTTCTAATATCAACGACGGCACTATATTATACAAGGCTCCTTTTCCTGCTACACGGTGACATCACAGCGGGTACTCTACAGAATCAAAATGCCTTATTCTGATTGGACCCGATGAACAACGCCCTACACAGAGGTCGAGCATAGTTCACAGTTCAAGACATAGGTTGCAAGTGACAACTTTATATCAATGAACGAGCAAGCCTCCTTACAGCCCAGTTAACCTGAACCTTCATGATTAGGCTGCTTTCTTCAGGTTAGAGACCTCCCCTGTCAAGTTTAGACAAGGGCACAGCAGTCAGGCGATTTTACATAAAGTTCATCGAGGACACAAACTCCCCGGTTTGTGCACTTACATCGTCAAGGACATCGCATAGCGATTTACCTAGACGACGTGATACAAGTGGATCGAAATCCACAGCGTTTCAGACTACACCTGAATTTCATCATCAAGCTACTAACACAACTAGATGGTTAGTAAACCTACTAAGTTTCTGTTTGGAGAATAAACGGAAGTTTCAACGTACCAACTTGGGGATATGAATATAGTGCTACAACACCTCACAAGTGAGGTTTATGAACAGGCCTGGATGACATACTTGGACTCCATGATACGATGATGCTATCCGCTGGCCAGCAAGAGCACTGTAAATTTATCTCCACCAAACCAAACAGGAAGAAAAATACAACAGATTTTTTCCTCTATCATCAACTTGCACGAGTGTAGTCTCACGTACTATATCTCCGTTTGGATCAGAACTGTCATACTCACGTGCATACAAGACAGATGGACCTAATCCGATCCTCCATGAGCCTTAATACTCTTGATATTAGAGCTTAACTTCTACAATTTCATCTACACAAATGTTATTTGAAATAATGGAGGGTTTATTACTGTAGATCCGATATGGTGGTTGCCAACCATTATCTGAGAGATATCACCACCGAGGGACATCTCAGGTATCCACCAATTTGATCCCATGGTCCTTGCACAACAGTTGACAGTTCTCGGAGAAGATAAGTCAATCTTACAGATTTTTACTTATCTTATAACAGTACTAAATAGCTTCATGCTATATATAATTTGCTTAAGCTCGTTTTTTATCATCACAGTGGTTACATGATAAATGCATTAGCTAACAAACTCTACAGAGTTTTTTGGCTATTATATCGTAGCTTAAGTCAAGTATATTTTAAGCATAGTACTATACTCATATTGTAAAAATACATTAGCTAACAAACTCTCACGGAGTTTTGCTATTATATAGGTAGCTTAAGCTCATTCATATCTTAAGCTCAGTACTATGTTTATATCATATAACTATATTAGCTAACAAATTCTAAAGAGCTTTTGCTATTTGGCTTAAGTTTCATCATATCTTAAGCAATATGGTTACATTATAACATGTATTAGCTAACAAACTCTAAACGGAGTTTTACTATTATATATATATAGCTTAAGTTTAATCATATCTTAAGCTCAGTACTATGTTTATAACATAAAAGTATATTAGTTAATAAACTCTAAGGAGAGTTTTTTGCTATATACATTTAGCTTAAGTCTAATCATATCTTAAGCTTAGTACTATGGTTACATTATAAATCTATTAGCTAATAAGCTCTACAGAGTTTTTGGCTATTGTATATGTAGCTTAAGTTAATTATATCTTAAGCACAGTACTATACTCATATTGTAAAAAATATATTAGCTAACAAACTTTACTAAGTTTGGCTATTATATATGTAGCTTAAGTTAATTATATCTTAAGCACAGTACTATACTCATATTGTAAAAATATATTAGCTAACAAACTATACTAAGTTTGGCTATTATATATGTAGCTTAAGTTAATTATATCTTAAGCACAGTATTATACTCATATTGTAAAAAATATATTAGCTAACAAACTCTACTAAGTTTGGCTATTATATATGTAGCTTAAGATAATTATATCTTAAGCACAATACTATACTCATATTGTAAAATGTATTAGCTAACAAACTCTACAAAGTTTGCTGTTATATATATAGCTAAAGCTTATTCATATCTTAAGCTCAGCACTGTCTATATCATATAAATATTTTTTAACTAACAAACCCTAAAGAGGTTTGTTATTATATAATTAGCTTAAAATTAATCATATTTTAAGCTTAGTGCTATGTTTATATCTTAAAGTATTTTAGCTAACAAACTCTAAGGAGTTTATACTAGCATATTAACAAGCTTAAGTCTATTAGTCTTAAGCATTGTATTAATATTATATATACTTATCATAATAAGTACATTGTAATAACCTCTATATGGCAGCTGATAAGCTGGCAGCAGGAATTCATCAGTTCAATGCCTTTATGAAGTTCCCATAGGGTTATTACAATCATCACAGTTCAAATCACTAATTATTAAAATCCAAAGTATTATATATTCCCACCTCCGCTCTGTTGGATTCTACAAGCAAAAGAGCATGAGTCAGGATAAGGAAAAATATGTAATTTTTTGAGTAAAATTGATATTTTATACTTATCCTGACTCATGAGGTCAGCCCTCCCATCCTCCCCAAATAACACTTTGGATTTCCCTGTAAATTCAAATGTTGGGCTCAGTATATGAGGAGAGAGTGAGGCACATGGGTAGAGGTGACGCCCTCGTTCCCGAGCTTGTGGAAGGGAGGTAACTCGTGGTGTACTAATTAGTGATTTTACATTGAAGGGAACTTCAATTAGGGAGATACAAGTGTTCCACTATGTTCGCAAGAGGAAGGAGACAAGCAAAAGAGCATGAGTCAGGATAAGTATAAAATATCAATTTTACTCAAAAAATTACATTTCTGTATTATATTTTACTGATGACTGCGTCAGAATTAGATCCCGTTATATTATTGTGCATGTTTGAACTTGTTAAGCGAAAACGTGTGCACAGCTGATTGCTATTTTCAGCTTTGTGTAATGCGAGACAAATACGCACGGTAATCTTAATCCCTGCAAATGATACAATGCCCAGCAAAAACAACTTATAACTTAAAAGGTAAATAATCTTGTCTAGTGATGTTTAATTGCAAATTTGACGTCTCTACTGACAAAGTCGTCTTCTGTTGTTTGTTCACGCGAAGTGATACGATGTTGTTTTCTTACCCCTGGAAAAAAGTTTGACGAAAGCATAACCCATGGATAAGAGGACCCCCTTCTACAAACTGCTTTTTTTGGTCCTCAAAATTCGGCTTATAGACGGTCATATACGGTATGCTTATCGTAAGACGTGACTAACAGGATCGGGTGGCTGACTTGGTTTACACATGTCATCATATCCCAATTGCTTAGATCGATGCTCATACTGTTGATCTCGGATTGTCTGGTCCAGACTTGATTATTTACAGACCGCCGACATATAGCTGGAATATTGCTGAGTATGGCGTGAAGTAACCTCACTCACTCACTCAAATCTTACTTGTCATTGTGGATAACATTGTTGGCTTTAGTAGACTCTGGCAAGCAAACTAGCGTTCATTTTGAAAACTACAGTCAGGTATACTGTCATCCTTCGATGAGCAGCGATGATATTCCTAATGTGGTGGGTTAAACTTCATTTCATTTCTATTAAACTATCTTCTTCTTTTGTGGTTTGGGATACATAACGATCAAACAACATTTACTTCTTAACAAATCCGCTTTTCTTCACAAAGATGAGTAAATAACTCACATATTCCTTGTACCTCCATTTTGTGACAAAATGTTTTCTCGATAGTGGTGTTTTGTAACTGCTGAGAATTTCTGTCTTTGTCCTCAAGATTAAGTGGATAATTTGGTTCAGATGTGTTTAGTTATCTAGTAAATCCTCCATGAATGGAAACTGGTAATTTTTCACTATTTGAAAATCCTATTTCAGAGAGGAACATACACTATCATATGTCCTCTTTCAACGAAAACACTGGGCTTGGCTACCTAAAGACACAAGCCATTGAGTTAGTAAAGTATCCTTTTCAACTTCACATTTCAAAACTTAACATTTTCCCCATTTTATAACTGCATGGTTTTTTTCTGAAACATTTTGTCATTGCACAAAAATGAGCAGACTTGGACTGATGAGAGATTTGCATGCTTTAGACTAACCTGTTGCGTTGATATGTTTGTTTGCACTCATATGACTGTTTGCATGATATTAACATGACAACTAACTTGCATTGCAGGATTAGGTGGACTTGTGTTGTGTGGATGTCTGTGTGTGGAGAAGTCATGGCATGCTTAATACAAACATCTGCAATTGTTTGTGACTTGGTCGTTTTCCGTAGGTCATCTCAGAATGTACTTGAAACATCCATAACGACTTGCGAATATTTACGTGGCATGATAAGCACTGGCCATTCACCTGCCCTTTTAAAAAATGTTAAATGACCCGGTTGGTATATTTAGTGTCAAAATAAGTTACTTCTCAGAGATAATATATCATTATGGAATGTTAATGTTCCATTTCTTGATTGTAATTGTCCATTCTTTTCCTGTTTATAGCATTAATTATCATTGTAGCTGACTGTTAGGGATAAGGTAGAACAGTATTCCTAATGGTAGTGATGGTACATCAGTAGCCAGATATACAAGCATAGTGCTGCCTGCAGGTTTGTCATAAGTTGTATTGTTGTCTGTTGCACTAGAGATTGACAGATGACCGTTTGTGTGCATGTATTATTACACTGTGATGGACAACATTCCTAGGATAACTGTTGTCAAATGTTTTGTTTATGCAAAAATCAGGAAAGTTTTGCTTCTGAGATTCTCCATTCAGCTGACAGACCATGCAGTATCCAGGTGGATAAAACAGTCACTCGCTGTTTTTCCAACATTGGTACTCTCGATATCAATAATCATGTCCCCTTCAGAAACATTTCTCATTGCATCCTGTAATTGACATACAACCTGACTTTTCTCCTTAAATTGGTCAGCAGAATATCATATCATGAGCAACGGATGTTAGATCTGAAAATATATTATTCATGTAACTTTCCTGGTTTTTGTGTACCGGTATATAATGTTTTCCTTTTGATAAGCACATATATGATATTTGGTGTTAATACTGAAAGGGAAAGAAAGCATTCTATTTATGTTCACAGTTGTATAGTTTACAAAGAGTCTCCATGTTTTGGTCAAAATTTATGGCATGGGCAATCTAAAACAGTTTAAAGAATATCCATTTCTGGGGGAAACCATCTGTGAAGAGGTCTGTGAGTTTTTCAGTGTAAGAACTCACTGTGCTATGGATCCTGCTTCTTCAGCATATAAGAGGAGAAAGGTAGCTATCATGTATGTGTTTATCATGCTGGACAGAGTGATACTAGTTGTGATTGAATGTTTAAATATTATTCTCTCTTTGTTCAGCCATCGGATGTCATTTCAATATGTCTTCCTTCAATGAGTCAGCTGCACTACAATTGATCAAACATTCTTGTATAGAACTAAATGAGTATCCTTTCCTTGATGTTGTGACAGCAGTGACTGTATTTGAAATGCATATATACAGGGGAACGATAATCTAGAGATGGACCAAATATGTAACATAGACATGGCTCCAGATAATTTTTCAACAGCAGGAGTACATACTCCTTATTTTTTCAATATAGGAGTACTGGAAAACCTTAAGAGTACAGTTAGAGTACTGAATAGAAATTAATGGAGTATCAGTAATCTTGCGTTTTGTTTCATATATGCACCACAACATTGCTAGTCTTGTGTAAACAGGTCAATGTACAAAAAAACAATACTTTTTCCAATAAATACGTCTGTAAATGATTCTAAGACCGTACACCATTGTTGTGGTGCGTATCTGCTACGTTTTCCAAATTATTTCCTACCGTATCGTGCATATTTTTTATCCGTACACACGCCGATACGGCCCTTATCTGGAGTCCTGATAGAGAGAAGTTTTGAGCTGTGAGATAAACAAGACGTAATGTAGTGGGATTAACGTCTATATGTTGCTGGGGAAATAGCTGTGAGATAAACCAAGGTATGGCATAGTGAATATTCCTCACTCCACAGATACCTGGGGGTCAGTTAAGCTGTTAGATAGACCAACATATAAAACAGTGAATGTACTGTCTTCACATCACAGCTAGGGGGGTAGTGAAAGATATCAATAAGACGTATATTGAGTCTTGAGCTGTTTTTGCTGACCTGGATATGATTTCAGAGGGTGTATTTACAATGCTTTTGTGACAATCCTTGGGTTGTTTTAAAGTTAGACATCTTATTTGAATTATATTTATGCACAATTCAGTTGAACTGGTAGCATTCCAATTTGGGAAGAAAACTATAAGTCCTGACAGAGTCATTTCCCTATTCTTGAATTAGCCTGCCGTAAGGAGGAACTAAAAGTGTACAAACTGTCTATATAGAATAGGTTAGTGTAGGGAACTTTTGAAAGCAATACACCACCACAAAAATAAGAGCTTTTGCCAAAATACTTTTATCATGCTCCCAACAAAAAGCAAGTGGGATACCAGAAGCAGGGGAAAATACTGTGTGATTTGTTGTTTTTTTAAAAAGTACTATATTTCGCTGATGCAGTGACTATTTTGGATGAAATATGTTATAAAGTTGACTGTATGTTACCTATGCAGGTAGCTGTGCTGTTTATGTATCATACAATTAGTTTCCTAAACTGACTAGGAGAAACACTTCCAGACCAAGTAAGCACATGTTCCTTGTATGTAAAGCACTCCTCTTGTGGTACCTGAAACATTATATGTACATGTCTGCACTCAACACACAGATCTGTACCCCCAGGACAGGTAGATCCCCATATTGTACTGCACGGAGTGTACTTTTAATGTTACTTGCTTAATGCCATTGTATTGTAACCATTGTGTGTACTTCGCGAACGTTTCTAGTTACTAGTGTGCATGAGTCTTTAGCATGAACATATAGAGCATCCATGAGAATGCTGTTACCTTGTCATTTTCACTAATTATGTTAAATTGTTTTGACATTTTACCAGGTTCAGTATGTACCAGATAAAAAGTTTTCATTAAGTTTTGTCTGGGTGATGAAAAAATACAGTTATAATTAAACTGTTGAAATCAAACTTTAAGTTTTATTATGAAAAGTAATACATACTGTAGCATCAGTTTTTGGACTCCATTTCAATTTGATGTGCTTTTTTGTTAAAAACAAGACATACAAATATTTTCAGAAACCTAATCCAAAGTCTTACACCCCGGTAAGGGTATGTTTTTAAATGAGGCTGCAGATGTTTTATTTGTGTATGACATTAGCAAATGTTTGGACAAAAGGCCAAAACGTAAATGACGTGTGAAGACATGGACCTTAACAAAGCCAGTTACAACAAGCGTCAGATGAGTCGAATCTACCCAAAAGGAGGTCGGGTTGATTCCAGTAACTACATGCCACAGGTAAGCTAATAGCATCTCCCTTTGCACACTTGCACTGTCCCACGGGCACTTACTGACCTCCTATCACATCCATATGGTACTTCTTTGACTGGACAGTGTTGATTCAGGGAGGTTTGGTCTGCAGCCATTCAGAGTTATGTCCCCTTACTACCAGGATCTGCTTGTGATAGGTTGGAATCCAGTACTCTGGACCCTGATTATGATTTTTGTGTGTTTATTTTGGTTCTGCCAAAGTGGTGAATGTCACCAGCCCTCGCCATTATGAGCTACATGCACATTCCATTTATCTACACTTTCTACCTCCATGATAAATTTAACATTCTGCAAAAAAAGAAAAGGATTATGCACTGTGTCATTCAAAGTTATTCTCCCACACAGTCACTCACTAAGATGTATTCCAGTGCCAATACATTTTACCAGACACTTATAAGCCATGTTTGTTTGACATTATAGCAGCACATGACATTGTTACTGTTTTCAAAATAGGGGAGACATACTCAGAATTCATGGACATATCATTTGATTGTATATTCCATCATGTTATCAAACCTAAAATCATCTCACTAGTGGATCTATATGTGTATTTGTGCATCTTTCCATAATTATGATCTTTGAACCTATATTTGAATATGATATTCCACATAAGCATGATCAATATCGGTGACTCTGTTTCTAGTTTCTGTTATGGTGGTTGTTGGTGCTACTACCCCATGTACTGCACATGGCTGCTCTGCTGAAATGCTGAACAGACCTCCTTGGTCCTTTATAATTATGCCTGAGGCTAACAAACCAAGCTGTAATGAACTTTTAGACAGTGATTGGGGTCTAGGCAGAGAAATATTTTCAGATGTGATCTTAGAAATTGTGGACTATATTAAGTGGTGAAATGATACTAGTGGTCACTATTTGATACATGTCATGATTCTAAGATCGCAATACAATCTGTATCACGATACTCCTATTTACACCAAATTGTATGAAAACTGCTTGACAATAAATATTTCAGAACAAATTCTAAAAGAAAAGCATGCTGAAAAGGTGTGTTTGTCGTGTCCATTTCTGGTAGTGATTCACTAATTACAACACATATGTCAGTATGGCAGGTCATTGAAAGCATAGCAAGTAATACATTTTAATATTAACATATGTATTGTCTGGTATCTATACGGAAGGAAAATATTATGTATCATGTCATTGCCTGATAACTTGAAATGCAACAGTGCTCCAATGTATCATTTCACTCCTAGTTATTTAAGGGTTTAGTTGCCGAATATCCAAAAGAAATTCTGAACACTTTTGGTCTTAAGTGATATGATTACTGGTAGCTCTCACTGGTCCTATAGACTTGAAAACACCTTTCCAGTTTCAGGAATCTAATAGTATCAGTACAAACTACTGAAATTAACAAGTGTTTGGAAGGCTAGTAAAAGTGTAATGATGCATGTATCAGAATTTGTCATAATTCTGGAAATTTGTCAGTTCGAAACCTGACCTATGTATTGCTCTAATCAATGAAACCATTGTATCTAACATTTTACATTCCATGAATTGCAGATTTTCTGGAATGCAGGCTGTCAGATGGTTTCGCTCAACTTCCAAACTTCAGACCTTGCAATGCAGCTCAACCAGGGAAAGTTTGAGTACAATGGCAACTGTGGGTATGTACACAAAGCTGAATAAACAAAACATGAACCTGATTCTAATCCATTGACATGACTCAATGTGTAAACTCAATCTTTTCATATGCGTCTTGAAGAATGTCTTTTGATATTTTACAGTTATCTCTTGAAGCCGGACTTCATGAGACGACCTGACCGAACTTTTGACCCTTTTTCTGAGAGCCCAGTGGATGGTGTGATAGCTGCTCATTGCTCAGTGCAGGTAAAGAAAGAAATGTTTTGCAGTTCATTGCATGATTACTAATTGTAGTACAGGAATTTCAGTTTGGTTGTGCAATTACTTGTTGAAATATAATACAATGGGAAGCTTCTGAAGTTTTTGACTGGTTTGAGAAGACTTTTTAGATCAGAACTGTCTCGACAAGTGCACAGTATTATCAGCCAGTCAGGAACAGTAGTTTACAGGAGGGCATGGTCTTATTTGTTTGGTTTTGTGGACATGCATGAACAAAAGATGTTCTGAAATCATGTTCAAATCTTTTAGAACAAATTGGACTGAAGGGACTAAAGCATACCACGTTTTCATACAAAAAGTATGATATGTCAAGCACACAACAGTATTTGCCATGTGACATGATGATGTATGTGATATCATATGATGAGAGGATTGTTTATTAAAGAGCTACTCTAAACTGAAGTCTGGTACAAAGATGTCAGAGTCTGTGATTGTCCAACTTCGTATTATATTATATACATTATACACAGGGTTTATGCCACATGACTTATTGTTTTCCTTCAGGTGATCTCTGGCCAGTTTTTGTCTGACAAGAAGATCGGTACCTATGTGGAGGTGGACATGTATGGATTACCCACAGACACAATTCGCAGGGAGTTCCGAACACGTGTGATCCCTAACAATGGTCTCAACCCCGTCTATAACGAGGATCCTTTCGTCTTCAGAAAAGTAAGCTCAGACTGGCAGTTTGTTTCTGTAACTTTGAGTTCAGCTGTATATCTCTCTATCGCTCGTCATGTCAAAGACCCAGGTTCAGTTCCCCACATGCATGAAGCCCATTTCTGGTGTTACCCCAACGTGATATTGCTGGAATATTGCTAAAAGCGTCGTAAAACTAAACTCACTCACTCAATTGAAATGTTTCACATACTATTTTTGAACATAAGTAGCATATGGAAAACTGAACAGAAGATTCATAACTCTAAAGACACTATCTTGTGTGACTTCCTAAATTATGTATCATAGTGCAATGTCTTACTGATAATTCCTGAGTAAATGAGGATCTGTCACTTAACATGCTGTTCACTGTGGCCAGCTAGAACAGCTGCAGTATTGCTGATGCAGTTTAAAGCATTTACTCCCTCACTCACTCTTGCTGATTTGAAAACAGAAATCCTCACAGATGTCATTAAATGGTTGCATCCACTCACCATTGTGTACTGGATATGATAATATGATCGCCAGATAGATCCTCGACTTGCCAGGAACTTGTGACTTTACATATCCAGTTTGACTCATCTCATAAAGTTGTTGTGGACCAGATCAAGCAGACTACATGTCAGTAATGGAGCCCTTTGCCCCGTTCTGTGAAATGTAGTTCTATGATTGTTCAATATCTGTGGGTGGTGTGGTAGCCTTGTGGTTTAAGCTTTCACTTGTCACACCGAAGATCCAGGTTCGATTCCCCACATTGGTAGAATGTGTGAAGGCCATTTCAAGTGTCCCCTGCTGTGATATTGCTGGAATATTGCAAAAAGCGGCGTAAAAGTAAGCTCACTCACTCTGAGCCTGTGCCAAAGTATGGGAGTGACAATCGTCTTATTGAATGGGACCCTGCACTCGTATGACTGTCTCAGACTGCTGTCACTCAAAACGTTGGCTATTACAGTGCTGCAAGTTTTTGAAAATTGGTCCCAGAAGCCAGGATTAACTTACTGAAACAGTCACTAATATTTCTGCTTGCTTAATGTCTGTTCCCAGGTAGTATTACCAGAGTTAGCAGTATTACGCATTGCTGTATATGAAGAGACAGGCAAACTGATAGGACAGAGGATCCTGCCGTTAGATGGGCTTCAAGCAGGTAGGCCGTTACTGTGGATTGCTACATGATCTTTAGGATGTTATAACTGACATGTTTTTCACAAGAGTCCCAGTCATCTGAGAATCCAGAATTTTCTGTCAGTGTTGAATGACCTGACTGAGCTTACATCAACTATTAAGCCAACACACCATGATATGACTGAGGTAACATTCAAAATCATGCTGGACCATGAACAATACATTGTGTGTAGTGCACGTAAATACTGTCCATGGTCACATTCCCAAATCTCTCTGCCTCTTCTTGAAGGAATCTTTCAGGGAAATGGAAATATTTATTTATCATCATCATCATCATCATCATCATCATCATCATCATCATCATCATCATCATCATCTGTTGTGTCAGATTCATGAGTCAAATGTAATTGAAGATTATCATTCATATGTTTGCAGGTTATAGACACATCTCCTTACGTACTGAAGGAAACTTTCCTCTCTCACTGCCAACAGTTTTCTGCAGAATCATCCTTAAAACCTATGTCCCAGAAGGATTTGGAGGTTTGTATCACCCACAAAAGTTATTTTCATGATAAGCAAGAGTATGAATATGTGAACAAGTTTACACTCAGTTCTCAGTCCTGTCAAATCATACCAGCTACAGGCCTAACAAGTTACAGTCTGACAGACAAAAGACTAAACGATTGTTTTCTAAATGTGTTGGGGTTCTAGCTACCAGCTACCTGTATGAATATTGTCAGCTATTAAATTACCAGCTTCTTGCACAGACTAACAATTTGTTTCCAGATTTTGTCAATGCTTTGTCGGACCCCATGGCCTATGTTACTCTGGCTGAGAAGCGTGAGCAACAGATGCGAGATATGGGCATTGATGAAAAAGACATCAGTGATGTGCCGGTGGTCCACAAGCCAGAACCTTCTTCCAAGCCTGTCAAGACTCCAGCTCCATCGTCAAATGGCCAGATTCAGCCCAATCCAACAACCCCTCAACCGACTAACAAGCCAGATAAGAAAGGTGGGTTCACAGTGTTAGTTCGCCATTTCTGTCCTTTCTGAATGCATGTTATTATGTCAAATGAAGATGACATGGTGTAATACCTTTTGTACGTTTACCTTAGTGTTTGTTAATTCTAAACAACTGCCAAACTGACAAGCTCAAGTCTTGTGCATTTCAGATTTTGGTCAGTGTGTAATCTGCCAAGCTGTGATAAAACAGGGTCAAACCCAACCCACTCACACTTTATCAAAATACATGACATGTCTCAGTCAGATATTGATAGCCTGCATGATGCAATACCATTAACACTTGTCACATTCCATCAGCTAATAGAATGAACAGAGGCTCAAATGAAACATCGCACAATGGAAACCAATGGAATACAACCGTTTATGAAACCAACTGCACCAACAATGCCACAATTCTTTGTCCTACTATAATTGTGTGTATATCATTGATGAAACTATGGCAGTGCACCAAGCCATCAGTCATGCATTTACATTGGAGTATTGTCCATCTTCACTGACTATGACAGCGTGAAGACATTCAGTTTCTTAAAAATACTACTGACAAAGAGATAACAGATTCTTTCAAATTTCTGTATTTTATCTATCATGGCAAAATGTCATTTGACTAGGATATAACAACCTCATTACTCTTTATTATCGCATATCAGGAATTTATCTTGTCATGTTGTCTTCTAAATATCATCTCAAACCATGACTTACAGTGTTTTTCTGCTTGATAGCTGATGAGGTGCTGTTTGACCCTGTGACCCGTGACCACCTGATGCAGGACAAATCCTTTTTCAAGTTGCTGAAGAAGCAGCAGAAGGACATGGAGATGCTGAAGAAGAAGTTCCAGAAGGAGCGTGTGTTGATGCAAAAGCAGCATTGTACTGTGGTGGACAAGCTTGTTGCAAGTCACGACAAGGAGAAGCTGGCTGCAGAGAAGAACCTTGAGAAGAAGCTCAAGAAGAAGGGGTTAGTCATCTTTCTACAGCTCCATGGGGTTGTTAGTTGAAACTCCTAAAGAGAGGTTTCTTGTACTTTACCAGCTAAATGCAATAAAGTGAGAATCACAAGTATATGCAGTATCACCAGAACCTGTAAGATATTGTTATTGTAAAGACGGTATTGTGAAACTGAACCTGATGGTTGCAAGGGTCAGGTTATATGAGAATAAGAAACGGTTTGCCATGGAAGTGTCAAGGTTTGCATATTTTCAAATGATTGACATCGACCTTCACCAGGAGATATGTTAATGTGAACGATAAAGCACGGTTGCGAATTTTCGCCATATCAGCGGAATTCCATAGGTTTCAGTTCAGACTGTTCTGTGAAACATGCCATTACAGTTTATGCATAATTCATATTGTACCTCAGACCCCCACCTCATGTTCAGTGTTTTTGGAAGACAGTCTTTTCATCACTGATGAAAGACCCTGGTATTCACAGCTAGTTGCTTGTCTTTTCCAGGGAGAGTTCTTTGACTGATTTGAAAATGGCTACTGAAGACAAAGTGCAGAACCTTGTCACAGACCACAAAGCCAAGGTAGTGTTTATCTTGTTAGTTGTGTGGTTTAGTTGAAAACAAAATCTGAAAAGGCCAAAAATCTTTATCAGGAAGAAAAGATAATGTTTGACTGTTCCTTTGTGTAGTTAACCTCCGGTGTGGACACTCCACTGACATGAACAAATAGCAACACACCATTGTGGCTTGAAGGCTTAGAAATAGAACTGATTGAAGAAAAATCAGCGAAGTAATTATACAGTCAAACACCATTGTGTCCAAGTTGAAGGGACTAATGTACAATGCCGTCCGGTAATTCCGTGCACCTAAGCACATCGATCACAACACGGCAACAAACGTCTCTTATTTTTTGTGGTTTACGCGACTAAACATGCTGGTATGCATCATATTTACCTAGAAATATAAGTTTTATTGACGACTATAAGATTCTAACGTTGCATTATGCCATACGGTTGACCTTACCGGTCTTCTGACGACATCGCTTGCTGTCCGGTAATTCTGCGCAGCAACTGATGCGCATAACATCCAGCTGGAGATCCGAAGTATGGAAGCGTATTAGGGCCAGATTATTTTCAAAAATCACTTCATCAATGTAAGGAAGAGTGTTTCATATTAAATCCAATTATGAATAATGAAGAAAAAGGTTTAAAAGTCTGAAGAAAACGAATTTTCATAAAACTGTCAATTACTGTTATTTACTTACCTTTAGTGATTAAAAGCCAGTCCCTTGTAGAAATGTCCCGATTTCAAACGTAAATGTGGTAGCAGACGATGTTTACCTTTGATACGGAAGTACGCTGCGCAGAATTACCGGACTCGCGTGTATATACTTGAGTTATTCGAGGTTCAACGCTACCACATAATGATGACTAAATAAGGAATACAGGGGGAACAAGCTTTTACTTAGAGGCAACCATAAGTTCAACAGACATACTTTGACATGACAATGTTATACTGTATTAATATTTTCAGTAAAGCAGAGCTGCAGGTTCAGAATATGACCATGTGCTAGATGGCAATGACTGTCATAGCATTGAAATAATGCTGAGGTGTAAAACAACATTTACCCACATATTTAGTGATGCTTATGTTAGATTAAAAGGTCATTGTTTGTTCTGTATGAAACCAGTGAAGGTCCGGGTTAGAATGAGCCTTCGGGTAACCAATGCTTGTTCCCAGGTTTGCATATCGATGCTCATGCTGTTGATCACTGGATTGTCTGGTCCAGACTCGATGATTTACAGACCGCTGCAATATAGCTGGAATATTGCTGAGTGGCGTAAAACTAAACTCACTCACTCACTCATTCTTCTGTATGAGAATTTTTCAATCGTCTGTTTCTGACTGACAACCCAGTTGAAGATGAGAATGTATATGCAACTGTCCCCAGACTTCTGGCCTGTACTGGTTTCATTGTGAAATATGTCCTGTGTTTCCAGACAGTGTACATGTTGTGTGTGTGTTGGTCAGGTGAAGGAGCTGGTGGTGGACCAGACCAAGGAATGGTCCGACATGTGTCTGCGGCAGGTGGCGGAGGAGCATGAGATGAGGAAGGAGCACATCACCCAGCAAAATGACTTCCTCGTCAAACTCCTGGAGGATGCACACCATGACCAGCTTAAGGAGCTCGAGAGCAAACAAGAAAAGTATGTCTAGAAACAATTGAAATCCAATACAGCCACCTTGGACACAATTTGATATCCAAAATGGCGGTTGGGCTTAAAATGTTGTAAATAAGATGTACATTACAGAATGATTTTATTATACTATGTAGATACCAAGGAATTCTTTCCATCTGTCTGAAGACATTTTTGTGAACCCAATAATTTGAAAAAGCTTTTTTGGATTCTTTTCAAATTTGGGGAAATCTTTGTATATAGGAGAGGTGCAGTGCAAATTACATCTTTATTTTTTGAAAAATTACAGCAATTTAAGAATTTGAGCTTGTAAAAGTTTCTTCAACCAATGCTTGAAAAGTATTGGTCAAAATGAGGTTCTTGAGAGGCAGAAGTTGGTATTGTCTACCATGAGAGAGATGCGTTGCAGAAGTTTGGTTCACTATTTATTGTTGTTCAGCTGAAGTTGGGAGTCACAGTCAGAGTATTAGTGAGCATTGCTCACATTGTTTGGCTTGTTTTCAAGATTCTATTAACACCACTGTCCATATCCGTATGTAAGGATACAATCTACATTTCATTGGTTCATGTGTGTGGGCAAGGGGAGATAAATTTTTTTAATTTTTTTATTTGGACTATCTCCCTTGGTTAGTTTCTGATCATAGCACTGTTACCAAGGTGAATGGCAAGAGAATGATGGTTTTAATTGTTGTTTCAGGGAGAACAAGGAACTGAAGGCAAACCAAGCCAAGCAGTCAATGGAGTCTTTCAAGATGGTGCAAAATGATAGATCAATCAAAAACAAAGCAGAAAGAGATAGGTGTGGCTTGAATTCGTAACTAATGTATTTCTATATCAAACATGCAAATGATCTTTTACAGTACTGATGTTATTTGGAATACACTTCTGTAAAGATATTGAGAATTATCTTCTTTCAGTATATTTCAGGATTATGATTCAGAATGGTTTAAAGAATACAGTTTGGCATATGAAATAGTTTGGTTTTGATTATTACTTCTTTTGGTTGTCTACAGTATTAAGTACGACCTGGACTATGTTTTGTTCATTGATAAAGATGCTGAGAAAGATGTTAGAAATTTTATGTGTTTCATTATAGGCGGATACGAGAGCTTAACTCCAACAACATGAAAAAGTTTATTGAGGAGCGTAAACGCCTTGCAATGAAACACTCACGCCAAGTTGAAGCTCTTAAGAAGATCCATACAGAACAGGTGGAGAAGCTGGTTAAAGACAATGAAAAGGTACTACTTAGGTGTCATGAAAATATGTGACAATGTAATGTTTTGAAACATATTATTGTTGTGATATTGGGCAACCACTGTTAAAAAGTGAAAATGAAGTTTTGGAAGAGAAACACTGAACATCTTTAGTTCAGTTTTTGCGAGTAATTCATGCGTTGAACTGACATATTATGGTCAAATGAAAATATGTGCTGCTGATTGAAACATGTCATAATGTAACACTGAAATATTTCTGTAACACCCTATTTGATCTTTTAGTAATGTTTTGTACTGATTGTGAGAAATATAATTAGGGGTGTTATGGATGAAAATATGTCAATTATGCATGATTCTACAGTTTGTGGGACCCGTGAAGATCTGGGTTAGAATTGGTCTTCAGTAACCCATTCTTGTCCCATTCAAGGCGTGACTAACGGGATTGGGTGGTCAGGCTCACTGACTTGGTTGACACATGTTATCGTATCCCAATTGCATAGATCGCTGATTATGCTGTTCATCACTGGATTTTCTGGTCCAGACTTGAATATTTGCAGACTGCTACCATATAGCTGGAATATTGCTAAGTGCGGCATAAAACTTAACTCACTCACTCACTGGAATATTGCTGAGTGCAACCAACAACAACCAACCAGCCATCCAACATTTTGTGAAAACATTTGACAGCTGTCTGTGTGCAGGCTTTGTAACATATGTTATCCTTTACAGTATCGCCTTATGAATGCTGTTGATGGCACTTTTTCTGTTTCAGTATCTCGACATAGCAGACATGGCTCACGAAGAAGCAAGACTTGGCACAAAGCCTGAAACAGTTGTGTAGACAACCCAGGAGCAGACAACTGGTGGTCATTGTATCATGTAGATGTATATTTGTACTCATCATCACATCAGATGTATAGAATATGTGAGGAATATTTTCACTTTTTACAAAGATGACGTGAAAATGTTCGGTAAAATATTGAGACTAGACTTAGCATTTTTTTCAAAGTTGATGATATGAAATGGACATGATCGTTTTCCTCTCTTCCAGTTTTGGGTTGTTTCTGTGATTTTCGTGTTGAGGAAAGTTAATCTTTCCAAATCAAAGTGAACAAATCTCATCTCTGTGTTCAGCTGTTTCGTGAATCTGGTGAATTGCTTTGACTGATTGTTTTGTACTCAAACCATGGCCACACTCTCCACAACCACTTACCTTCCCTTAGTACCTTTCTGGGGGTCTTTAGCTGTCATGGTCCAAGCTTTCACTCAGGAACACTGTCTATCCGACTTGACTCTGGACCAGAATGTTCTCAAGGTCATCATCGTATGATGAGTAGGCAAAGCCCATGCCACTCCTTTGATCGTTAGGTTTCTTAAGACGTAGCTCATCTCAACAATACGGATATAGTTTCTCAGTGGCTGTTTACACAGCTCATAACCAAATATTTATACCGGATTTCTTTAAAATATTTATTTGCATTGTTTGTATTTCTTGCCGTTTGATAACATTTATGTTATTACACAATGTGTCCTGTGATTATTTTTTAGTTTCTGGTTAATACTGTATTTATTGAAACGTTTAGTGTGTGCTTTTCTCACCATCACTTTGCAAGGAAACCACTGAATCGCTATACAGATCTGGAGTGTAAACATGATTAGCTGCTACTACTGTGATGGACTGTAGGGAGGAAGGTCATGAAGAGAAACAAAACAGTGTAGTGTTTTGGATTAGGTGGATATTTGATGCCATGCTGTCGCAGATCAAGAAATCTTGAAGTCTTCAAGACTGAACAAATGTGTGTTATATTGTTTGTATTCACCAGTCAGTATAATGTCTTGTCAGGAGTCAGCGTTCACTCTAACTTCAGTACCTTCTGTCATAATGGACCCATAATACTGTCAATACATTCTAGATAGTGTTAAGATTAACAGGATTGTCTGGTTGTGACTTGATGTAGGATGCAGGTCATAATATCAGTCAAAGTTTTATTAAGAGTTTGGTCATTTATAAATAGACAAAAACTCGAAAACTCTGCTGATCTACTGATAATGTCATACTTGATTTTCACAACAACAGAAATTGTTTGGGTTTTTAAGTAAAGCCAGGTTATCCAACTTTCTGACAGATAAGTTATGCTCCACCCCACAGTCAAATAGAGTGCAGTTCAACAGATTTATCAGTTTTCAACCAGGAAATAAAATATTGTATTCTGTACAGGTAGAAGCTTCAGAAGGGTTTCCCTTGTATTGTGAGTGAGGTAGATGTTGAGCATTGTGAATATGATGGAGCAGGTGGAGCTTGAGTTGATGTAGTAGGAGTTAGCTGTCAGCAGTTGTGATGTCAGAAGCTGAAACTAGCTTTAACAGCACCCACAGTTACCATGCTACATTTTAAGGGTGCTTCATGTGCATAAATGGGGATATGATCTCAAAATTTTTATTTGATGTACATTAGCAGCATTTTTAAATGATGTGTAGATCTGAATTTCTTCGACTTTTATTAATTGTATTTTAGTTTTCCTGCCATATCTTTTATGCTGTGACAAAAACAGTCTGTGCCAATAACAACCGAGATATAGTGGGTTGAGTTTAACACCATGCTTGAGTTGTATTGCAGCATGTCAGCTGAACGTGGATAGAAAATGATAGCAATCATGGATATTTACCACTTTGGTGAAACCCACGAGTACGAATACCTATGTTGCTCGCAGATCAAGAAACATAACTGGGGCAACAAATAAAAATACCAAATATCAAAAACATATTGCATAGCAAAGGAACAGAAGTCGACACAGCAAGTGAAGGCGCCTTATAGACAATCTGTGCTACTTCTGTAGGTCTGGTTTATAACATTAAGAGTGACCATTGTGTTGAGGAGTAAAATTTGTTGAAAAGATTTTGAGAACAAGGCGGAAAGCTGTGCCCTGTTCAGCCCAATTATGATCCTTGTCTGAAAGCCTGCCTCTCAGTGGGATTTCTTTGCACACCTAGTCAACATGCTATGATATGACCGAACTATTGTTCAGTGACTCACTCACTCACTCTATAAAAGATGGAGGTTTAAATTGGGCATAAACTGATAAGCCACAGGATCTTTGGAGACACAACCATAGCTATGACATCAAATAGATTCGTCACACCTTCAAATAATCAAAGTTTATTGATCATTTAAGAATTTTATCATGATCACATCGCTGATGAAATAATTCAGATATGTTTGAACGACAATCTTCCTGTATAATAGCACCTTGCTGTGTTCATGCCTTGATCAGAGTTGCTTACTTTCGTAAATTACCATAGTTTAAAATGATGTAGTTTCTAAAAACTGTGATTCATTTTGTATGATCTGACAGATTCAGTTCTTTCTGAAATCCTAACTTTGCTTTGTTTTTTAACAAATAGTTTTAATGGCTTGTTAAGTCATAATTCAAACTTACAGTTGTACACACATTTACCTTGTTTCACACCAGTTATATCTTACGTTTTGTTTTAGATAAGCAATACTTGTTGTTGTTAAGACATTTTATATTACGTTTACTGTTATGTCACAGATTCCGTATATGATTTTATTGTGCAGTTACCTTCCCTTGATGTACACATGCTGTTTTCATTGTGTAACTTTGATATTGCTGGTTTTGTCCTTCAGAGACAGACATTAAATTCTCATTAGTGGACTCTAAGATTTAATATACTTTCTTTACCGTTTAAAACGACAAATAATTATTCAGATTTTTCAAATTCTTGCCTAATTTTCTTTTTTATAAAATATAGTAGCTCTTTCTGGAACCAAAATGAGGCTGATCTATAACCTTGGTAAATTTGCTCAAATTCGTTGTGTCTTACCTAATGGTATTTACAAAGCTCTTATTGGCACTGTACTGTTCGCCTTTCCTCCCTTTCTTTCTGTTAGCCAGGAGTGGGGACAGTTTTCTGTCACGAAGGCAGTGAAATACATGGAATAGAATCAATTTAGTGCATATATGTGTTCCTGTATATATAAGTGCATAAATATGTACAATACAATGAGGAAGAATGAATACATCAAATCTGTAATAAACAAAACATGAATCAGTCATAATATTCATTGAAGTCCTTCAAATAACACCCTACTCTTAAGGTTACTCATGATGCCCTATAGAAATAAAAGTTACTCAAATTTCGCAATACAGACCTAGACATTGGTAATATGCTTCCTTTCTGAGCACTGAATCAATGCGTCTGTAGCAAGGGTTCAGGATTTTACAACCAAAGTGAGTTGTATGATGCAATAATCCTGTAACCACTAATATCAGAACATATTGCTAAATCAGTTTTAGTTGTAAATATTGTCTTCAGTGAAATGATTTTGTGTCATAGCGTTTGTTCAGACTGGCTTGGCTCATCAAATGCTATGAGATCCTAATGACTACATATGAAACGATATGACATCATAATGACTACATGATGGCTTGACACATCAAACGGTATGATGTCATAATGACTAGATGATGGCTAGACACGTCAAACAGTATGACATCATAATGATGACAGGATGGCTAGACACATCAAACGATATGACATAATGACTACTGGATGGCTAGTCACATCAGACAGTATGACATGATAATGACTACAGAATGGAAAGACATGAAACGGTATGACATGATAATGACTACAGAATGGCAAAACACATGAAACGGTATGACATCATAATGATGACAGGATGGCTAGACACGTTAAATGGTATGATATAATGACTGTACATTATGGTAGATACATCAAACACTATGACTACAAGCAGATTAGACAGACAGCGGTATGACATTATAATGACTGTTTAGGCTGACTAGACAGACCAAGTGATGTAACATCATAATTACTATATATGCTGGCTAGACACGTCAAACAATATTATAACATAACATTTGTACAAGCCAGCCAGTGACCTCAAATTGTATTATGGTACAGATCTCTTATTGTTGTATACGTTGGCCTCATTTTGGTTGTTTGGTTCCTAGTAATTTCTTCTCTGTTAGTACAACTGACTTTGCCACTCTGGTTTTTACACCCCAATTGTTGTATATGTTTCTGATCATATTTATAAACCATATTGGACATTACTGTTTCGCTGGTCGGTCAGGACTCTAGGATTATGTTCCAGATAGTTCGTCTAAGTCCATAGCATCTCCAGCAATTGCCCCAATGGCAGATGTTTGACATGTGTGCATGATTGATACAGAATTGCCAGGAATTTCAAACTTTATGGTTTTTGATTTATCCTAGCTGAAGAAATTTGACATGGTTATTTGTATACTATAAAGGAACACCACCCAGAGTTTATTTAGACTTGAGGAGTGTGTTTGTATTATAAACATATCCTCGATACTATTACATCCTTGAGTAATTTATTCAGATTTTGAGTTCTGTAATGATGGTAAATTATTGGTTCATATTCTTGTTGATCGGTGTTATATTTGAGCGTTATTGTTTTTGAACATGAGATACTTAAAGATACTGGTTTCCTACTTGTCGGTATGTAATTATGTTACGAGTTTTTTCACATTTGAAGGTATTTGCTTTAATATGTGTTATGTTAGTAGCAGCTACTTGTTGTAAATGTTATTGAATTTATGGAAATAATTTCAATTGATTTCATCCATTGTGTAAGTATGAATACGCAGAAAATGTAATTATTGATTAACCATTGACTTGAAGCTTGTATCAATTCTGTGTTGTCTTCCAAGACGTAGTCGTTTTGCATTTTATAGTGTATGTATATTAGATGGTCTACCATTCTCTTCTTTCATTAACACAGAAAATAAACTCATTCATACCTTGGATTGAGGCAAAAGTCCCGTGGTTTGATTGGAACAGTTTCATTTAGTAATTAATATTGAGACTGTTAGTCTTGAAGGTGCTGTTTTCAGTGAAATGTATGGAATATGAAACTTCTGGATTAAACAATTATGAACATATAGATATAATCCTTTTGTATAGATTCTAATATAATCTTCCTGAATGTGAGGTTTCAGTATAACAGGAATTTTCCGTTTGCACATGTAATCAGACACAAGATGTTAAGTGCTAGTTATTGCTTATGCATTTATAAATGATAATTCCATAAACAGTGTCAGAATTGCTGGTGTAGTCAGAAAACATTTCTAAAGCCTATTTAACTATGGCCGTGGAACAATGAATCTGAACTACAATTCAGTGTGTGCATACTTTTTTTCTTGTATGTAGAATCAGGCTGTGCAATATTCATTAAAACTCAATACTTACCTTTATTAAATATTTTCCTTCAGCTGCATCAAATTGATTTCTTTGCTACTGAAGAATGCATATGGAGATTCAGAAGTGGCAAGATATTTGTCTTTGCTTGTGTGTGTTCACAATCTGCTTTTGCAGACCACAGTCATGGATATAGGAACAGGATTTCATTTGGGTTCTCACTCTAATGTACATAAGAACTTCAGCCTTTACATGACTTGGGGTTAATGGGGATATTGTATTATGTTGATTTTTGTAGGTAATCATATATTTTCAAACAAGGCCAGCATTGATTATTGAGATGAATGGTTCAGTAGATGATGTCAGCCGTGTCCTTTCTAAATACTCTCCATGGTGATTGAATACTATTATGCTGATTGGACAGCTTTGTAGATGTGTTTTTCAAAATAAAATTACAAAATAGATGGCATCCATCATGCCAATACTCACAAGGTGTTAAGAATTTTCATTTAATGAACCAGGAAATAAAGGGTCACAAATTGGAATTCGTTTCAAGGGATGTGTGATTACATCCTTTGTTATACAGTAGGTAAACTGACTAATTTACACAATGTCCTTACTGTCTGCCTTAACTATAGGTCTTCCTTCTCATCCAAAGCAGTGTGTCACAGGTATCTAAGTTATGTGAGGCACACTCCTGTTAGTGTTGTCCTACTTGAGGGTTTGAATGGATTTGAATTCCAGATTTGCCTTGATTATGATACTTGCTTTCTCCATACCACACCTGTGCTGCTTGCTTTCTCCAAGGAGATAACTCTCTAAGACTTGCATCATTTCCAACTTCTCTCCCACATCTAAGTGAATATTTGTTCAAAGCCATGTTTAATCCACCTTACAATGTTGCTCATCCCAAACAGGTTGCTAGCAAAGACCTTAATCTATTTCACTGTGGTCATTTGGAAGGTGGGTGCACAATGTTTAGTTACACCAATTGTGTCATCCCAGTTCCATAGAAACTACAATGTGGCTTTCTAATGTGATCCTTTTCTCCAAAGCATTCATTCAGCTTGAAATGTCATTACTGCAACTCACTTCATTATAAAAATGTGTAATATGAGATTTTATGGAAATTTTTAGTTCTGTTTAATAAACTGTTTAAATCGTTTGTTTGCGTTGTATTTTTTCCTGCAATTATGACATTACAAAACCTACTTTAAACGAGTTTTTTGAAGGCAACACTGAAGTTCCTGTGGTTGTGGTCCCGCTATTTGCTGTGCAGGGCAGATTTTCGTCCCTGAGCAATAGGAGAAACAAGGTTTGCGTTCGAAGTCATGCTTCCCAGATCACGTTTCTTGGCTTTTCAATGCCAGTGATTTTCACAAAAGTGTTAATCTTGTAAGACCTGCATCTCTTAGGTGAGTGAGGGAGTTTTGGTTTCAGGCCGCTCTTAACCATATCACGACAGGGAACACCAGAAATGGGCTTCACACATTGTACCCAGGTGGAGAATCTAACCGGGATCTTTGGCATGACGAGCGAACTCTTTAACCACTAGGCTACCCCACCGATAATAGATAAGATAATAGTCATAATGTGTATGTAAAAGATGGGTAAATTATACTTCCTATAACCACATACAAGCTGGTAAGAAATCACGTGTGGTCTCTAAAGGTATGGTGTCCACCATGTATCTTGTTAGTGTGGAACTATATCAACGACGTTCGGGGGATAGGTTTCACAAAAATATAGACATAATCTGGGGATGTTTAATCAAGTTATAGAATACTGTTGGTGCCACCCCCAACTCACCTTAGGGGCGGTGAGGTAGCCTAGTGGTTAAAGCGTTTGTTCGTCATGCCGAAAACTCAGGTTCGATGCCCCACGTGGATACAATGTGTGAAGCCCATTTCTGGTGTTCCCGCTGTGATATTGCTGGAATATTGCTAAAAGCGGTGTAAAACTAAATGCACACCACTCACCTGATTCCCCAATACTACTTAATTTCCTGTCATACTTACTTAACCCGGAATTACGAATACAGCCCAATACATAACTTCTTTGATCGGCATTTTAGAAGTTGGGACGTGCAATATTGAACAAACTTTATGGATAACAACTTTTATTTCATGAGTGCTGCGTTTCGATACCAAGTCCTGCATCGTTGTCAAGCTGGGTGTTCCATAACGTTTGTTCTATATTAACCTAACACATGTTTCATAATTAATACCCATTGCATGTGCTGACATGCATGTGCTGCACATGCTTCAAACGTCTGGATGAAGTCTACAAAGTTACAGTCCGTTTGACTTCATTTGAGACCGATGTGCTCACAAACACAAAATCTAATAAATGCAACAAAATCAAACTTTGTACAGTCACATGAAATCGACAGACCAACTCTGATAATTTGTCTCATAATTTTGGACACCCAAATAAAAGGGTTTAATAAACGATCATTATTTTGTTGTCACTTTTCGCTATGTCTTACGGGGGGGAACCACTTGCTGGTAGGACAGCCAGGTAATCAACAAGTAATTTCAATTTCACACGTACACCTCGCACGTTTTTATTCCGGTGTCCAAAATTATGAGACAAATCATCAGAGTTGGCCTGCCGATTTCATGTGACTGTGCAAAGTTTGATTTTGTTGCATTTGTTATATTTTGTATTAGTGAGCAATTCATCGGTCTCAAATGAAGTCAAGCGGACTATAGAATTGCGATCACATAGAACACGCCCCAAGGATATAAAGTGATGCGTTTTAAAGTTACATTACTGGAATTCAAGGAGAACATTTCCATGTACACAAATGTCAAGTTTAACGGCTGGGTGTATTTGCGTCCCGTGTACCACATTGCTGAGTCACGATCATCCTGAATATAAACACCCGCATCCATGTTAAAAAAGAATCTTTAAGACCTAATTTCTGTTCAATCGAGAGAGTTATATATATCCTGCAAATAACCACCCACCCCTTATCCTAAAAGTATTTTTCAGTATTGTACGAATCAAAATAGAAATAAAATACCATCTCTTTAAGGTTATTTACTTATTAGTCAGCTCGAGATGTTTGTTCATGGTGTCTTTTTCGGTGTCCGATGACGTTTTTAGGTGTATATATTTAACCAGACAGAATCTTCGTGGTATAGTAATCCCAAGTCTGTATCGGCAAAACATTCATCTTTACAGCTTTAACAGGTGACCGTCCATTGGAACAACCTTAAAGGTCCCGGGTTGTGAGTACTAGGTGTTTATACCCTCTATTTGAGGCAGACGGTTGATGAACGTTATGGAATCCCTCTTTGAAAGTTGGCAGATATGCATGCCATCCATCGATTGTTCTAACAAATAAAACAGAGAAGGAATTCAGTGTATGAAATATGTTTATTTCTCGATAAAATCGCCATCCCGTCATATGTTAATAGTCCAACGTGATTTCGAAGCAGGGCTTAAAGACAGTGCTTTCATCGTCACGTGACCAGTGGACAAAGTGCATAAGTTTGGAAAATAGTAACCATGGAAACATTCGTGCAAAGTTTGAATGTCAAGGACATGATGAAGACCTCGCGCAGCTTTACGAGATCAAACAAGCTAGAAATCGTAGGGTATATAATGAATTAGTTCTAGAGATAAGTCTTAAAACGAACACATTGAGCAGATAGGATACGATTCCCTCGTTGGTAGGACAATATAGCGCATTAAATGATGACCAACATACAATCACACGCTCAAATCAACATCCGCTCCGCGAGAATCACATTTAGGCCACCTATCGGTGGACACATTGCGACATTAAGGTTATGCCCCTTGGGATAATTTGGAATGGCCGTTAATTTGCTAACAACATGAATTGAAAAAACGGGATGAAATGTTTATCTACAACTGGTTACACATTACTCTGGTTGAAATGGAAAATACAGCTACACAGATGCCTCTCAAAAGTTTAATCATACAGCAATGGCGACTGACAGGACGTACACTTATCATATACACTCTGGCACGCCACCGAAAAGGCAGACCACTACAAGCCTATTCCGACTGCTTGGAATAGCCTGTTAATATCACAACATCGGCGAATTGCCAACCCTTGCACACTTGCCACCAAACGACACCGATAAGGTAAATGACATACTTAAGGGCGCCTCTGGTGGCGTGACAATGTAAGGGGAGGTAACTTATCGCGTAACATCCGGGAAGAGAAATATGGCTTGAAATTCTTAAACTACACACATTATCTTTACAGACTTCAAAACATTTGTTTTCAAGTCCGAATTCTATAAAACATTATAAACACTAAATTCTACAGTATCAATGTAAGCAGATGGGGATCAGCTGTAGCCTCGATCTGGCGCGATAAGGTCAAGGTCGAGATTGCAGTGCGGACGTGTACTGGCTCGAAGTTTGAAGAAACAGGAATTGTTGTTGGACAACGTATGACGGGAGAGAAGCGGACGTTCTTAGTCAATTCTAGTACAAAGCGATCTGACTTTTGTTCCAAACAGGCTTTGCAAAAGCGAAGTGGTAGAGAAAAGTAGTTGATTAAAATGGTGAAGTAGGTTCATCGTCATAGTTCTTTGTGAGAGCATTAGATCGAGCTGTTGGTTTGCAACTTACAAACAGTTTATTCGAAGAGGAAATATGAAAACATTTCTCAAAGACTGCATACAGTCGAAAAAAAAGTTGTAGCGAAGAATATCTATCGATTCTGTGAACACCGTGAGCATCTATCCACGGTAACACAAGCAAAACAGTCACGCAGTGACGCCACTTGAACATTCACCAAAACGTGAAATAACAGATTACACAAGCAGAAGATAGATTGTATAAAATTACTAGCAACTCTTTCAACGAGTCACTGTAGCTTTCATGATATTGCCTGTACCAACCGCTAACGGTTGAACAGACCTAAATCCAACCTACCAACTATACCTAGAGGCGCAATAGTACCTATGCTATAATACTGTGCATGTAATGACAAATAGAATTGGGAACATATATTCACTTCTGACAGAATGCTCCTCTCGACATCTTAATGAATAACAGATTCACAGCCAATCTAATAAATACTCATTTGGTATCATGTGCGTTTTATGAGAGTACGTATACGTGTTCGAAAACCCAGGACCTTTTGTAATAGGGAATACACGGTTATTGACCAAATTTCAGAAATATCTCACTACGTAGGCTCATGATTCATTGCTTTGCTATTGAACATGACACTGTCCTCCTCGGACACAACGGGAGCTGGTATCAGAGAGATTATATGATGTCTACATTATCACTAGACATGGCATCATGACTACTTGAACAGATCGGATGGGAAGATCAAGTTGTGTGTTCAGTTTGTACCAAGGCACTGGCAAAACTGTGTTACGGGATTTCACACCATGTAATGTTAATAGCGCGATAATTACAAGCCGTTCATGCGGTAAGCAGGTTTAAAGGTTAAACGTGCTTCTAATGCCGGGACGATTGGTCTGTGTTCGTGAACACAACGGCGTGCAGTTTTATGATAATCTACGAGCATTGATGGAGAAAGCTAGTGACTTGGAAGATCTACCACTGACTAGCAATCAAATAATCACAGAGCACTGTAACACATCTGTCACAATTACTGCACGTGTTGAATGCACGTATGTATGGAAGCAGAATATCATCTTTTGCCAATTATAAGTCATGAATATATCAATTGAAACTTCTATCTAGACATGATCGGATTTTGTATGCGGAGTGCTTTACCAGCAACCCCGATTTCGCAACATTTGCTGTGAGTAAACATACTACTTCTTGTGTGAATGGTGTAAGAGAAGTTTGATAAGATTGGTTGGTCAATGTTGACATTTCATACAATAGAAGGTAAGTCACAGTCGGGATCCGTACACGGGAATGGGAAGATGGCGGGCTAGATGGTTCCAGTAAACCAGCCTCAGGATGGAACAGCATGGTGAGGGATCCTGCCAATGGTCACTGCATGTCCAGTGCGACGTATTAAACACTGTGAAATTGGCACTGACCAATCTCAGATATAACAAATAGTACATAATTAGCACTGATTGGCGTGGTTCAATATACAATGTACATGCTTTAAGAAGCTAGTTGGTTCTGCATTGGTTTTCAGGAGCCGCTGTACTGGTTACTGGTTATCTTAGATGCTGGTTTACAGAGCCGAAGACCTACACCAATATCTAATGAATGTTCTTAGTCACCACAGGTGACTAATACGCAGAGATCGACATTATTAAAACATGATTTTGATACACTGCCAACTACGAAACGTTATGAATTTCAGGCGTTTGTGAATTCGACTACTTCAGGACGCAGCTGTACAGCATATCAGGTATTTGGATGTGTTTCAGTATGGAACCGTCCTTGGTCTGTATTTAGAAGAAAGACATAAAGCTCATCAACAGAAACATGAACCAACAGCAAAGTCCATGACTTAAACGTAACAAGCGTGGTGTAACATTAACAAAGTTGGTGGTGGCTGTCGTGACGAGGTAGTCAGCCCGTCACGGCGCCGACACGTTGACATCAGGGGATTCGTTGATGCTGGATGCCGTCGGCGGCTCCGACATGAAAAGCGACATAGCAACTGCGCTAAGATTACTTGAAATATTTAACCCCGGAAAAAGCGAACCATGGACTCGGCCCTTATAACCAAGGAGAGATATCACATGCTACTGTTCATGAAAATGTCGAACAGTACTGTCACACTTGGCGTTTGTGACATCCCGTGTCGACTGTACGATTTCGGAAGCAGAATATTGAAAACTGGGAGGCTTATGACCGAGAAAGCTAGATGAAACAATAACAATAAACCTTGTTTTTAAACACTGGATTCGTACACTCATACTATGAACATTTCATTTGAGACTGAAATAGATTTAAATCTTAATTGTGAAGAGATGTAAACTCAAATGTCGAATTCAGTCGTGTCACGGGTTTACAGATCAATGTTAAAGGAGCTCTCCGAGTAAGAATAAAGCACAGCTTCAACTATGTTGTATCTCTATGTTATATATTATCACAATGGTTTTAGGGCGTACTTCCAGAGGGCCCTCATTCTAGTGTCCCCCGCCGTGATATTGCTGGAATATTGCTAAAAGCGGCGTAAAACTAAACTCAGTCAGTCAGTCAGTCCAGAGGGCCCTCGGATATAACCCGTGTTACTAATAAGTCTTAATATCCTCGACAGATACACGATTCCCGGGTCAAAGACATGATGCAACCACAAAGAGCTCCTCTAAAATTCTGTATTTCCCCGGCGGAGAGGTGGGTCCTCGATATATTTGTTGACGTGAGAGCCAAGAAAGTTGTCAAGAAAGAAACAATAGTAATTAAACATATTTAAAAAGGGACTAAGCTCAGGGTTACTATCAGTTCTATAAATTTTAAATTAATTCATTACAAAACGCCATTTTTCTTGAAGTCCAACTGTCTCTACCAGTGATGACGTTAGCGATAATCCTTAGTATAGAGAGGCAATGTTGTCGTTTCACACATGATGTTTAGATCCAGACTTGAGAGACCGTAAGCGTAGTCCCTTTTTGTGTAAAAAGTCAGCACGCTAGCATTCAATCCGGTGACTACAGACCGAGACTAGTACCCAGTTGATGGCTGTCGTTAAAAGTAATACAAACTCACAGAATTCATACCAACAACTAGCAAAATATTCACCTCTAAAGCAATACCATATTCTTGGATATATTACTTATTAGTGATGTAGATGAAGGATTCGTGACAGAATTTTGACGGAATTAAAACGGATGTAAAGGGGTAACCATTTTGGATAAGACACGCGGTACCAGAGTCTGTTTGGGCAAAAGATGTCTGAGATTACTCTTTTGGTTGGTGCTTGGGCAGTACAGGTCAACTTGGAGACAAAAGTCACCGTGAATAGGATTCTGGGCGTGAGGGGGTTGGATGGGGTGTAATCGGTTCGGGTTAGGTGTTGGATAGGAGATCTAAGAACCGACGTCAGTTATGAGGTCTAGCACGGTACTACCTTCTACTACATCTGATGGCAATGAGACATGCTGCGTCTGAGAGAGTGCAGTCACTATAAGCCAGGCGAAGCCCATGCACTCAAATACGGAGCTTATGGTCCCAGTAAAAAAAATATGTGTGCATGACAAACATTACAAAATTCGCAAAAATTCAAAACTTGCATCCTTGAAATAGCAAATGGAAAGACATTACAATGAAAGTTTCATTAATATCACTGAAAACCTTTCGACTAAATTGCCCGTTCGCCTGCCACCCTCTGTTTGGATTGAGTATCCGGGGTGCGCGCGCAAGTGGGCGACGGACCATGATACTCTGCTGCCTGGGGTCCTTCCGCTTACTGCTAGCTCCAGTACCTCCACAACCACTGGCCAATCAACACGCTAGCACGTGACTGCACGAGATAAGATTGGTCAGCATTTAGTATCATCCTGATTGGCTTGAATACCCGGTTCTCTCCCTTGTGACTTTGTTATTATTAGGTTTGCTCACTTTGTCACGCCACAATATCACTGTCAGCATGGAGCTCCACTGTTTTTTGCTGTTCCGTTGTATCACTAGCATGACTAGAGGTGGTTTCAACCACTACAGTTTCGGCGTCCCCGTTATCAACGCAATCTTCATCATTATCCTCGTATTCGTCTTCGCTTCCATGTTTCTTCCTCCGGAATGTACGGTATGCCTTTTGAATTATTTTAGCTGCATAATGCTCTTTTTGTCTTTTTAATGTACTGCTGACCACCACATATTCTGTTTCCGCTTCCGTTTGCTGCGGGATATCCGGTGTTTCTGTCGTCCCGAGGAAATTCTTCGTCAACGCATCTAATATGTCTCTGCAGAAACACATGTCTCCTTCGCATATTGGAATATCCAACTTAACTAGCATAAAGTGATTCGGCTTCTGCAGCTGTAAAGGCTCCTCCAGGAAATCCACAAAGTCTGAAAGCATATCCAGCGGGATGTATTGGGTAGCGTCGGGGTCGTACTTCTCCCATTTCTCATAATACATATCGAAGTCATCCGGCGTCAGGCCTTGCTGTACGTCTTCAGTGGCCTGGCTAAAGTTCTCCAATATGACAGCAATGTACATGTTCACCACGACCAGGAAACTAATCACTAGATAGGTCACTAGGTACATTGTAGCTATCGTGTACTCCGCGCAAGATTCGTTTGGCTTACATCGGGCGATCAAGCCATTCAGGACACCGTCCCACCCGGCAGAAGTGCACATTTGAAACAACAATATAAAACTCCGGAAAAAAGTCTTGAAATTGAAGGCATCGTCCAAACCGTATTCCTCCTCGGCCTTCATGAAGAAGTTCATGCCCATTATGGCATAGATAAACATGACAAGCGCTAACAGCAGCCCGATGTTGAACAACGCCGGAAGTGACACGGCCAGCGAGAACAGAAGAGTTCGGATGCCCTTAGCGGATTTCACCAATCGTAGTACTCGACCCACTCGGAACACTCGGATAACTCGAAGTAACGTAGGGGACACGAAGAAGTTCTCAAAGAAGCCCGCTAACGACAAAGCTGAAACAAAGTAAATTACATTAAAGGAACAATACATAATGCATTTCTCTCAATAATACTAACTATCAGCCCTCGGAGAAGCTACCATATAATTCATTCCCCCCAAAATTACGTAAATATTAAATTAAAAAGTTCGGATGAATTAATGCATTAAATCGACCATTGCGTCCTCTACCGGCCGAACATTATTTCAAGCGAACCCCATAGAATAATGTCCCTTATAGCGCTCTTTACGAATATCCTACGCACAACTTGTGATAAAAAGAGAGTAATGAAAATGAGACGATTAACCAATATACTACATGATATAGTTTATAATCTAATACCGCAAATAATTACCATTTCACTTCTGACAAGTAAGAACTCATTCAATAAAAAATAACACTTCAGGAAAGAGAGAAACCGTTAACATGATTTCAAAGTCAACACAAATATATTGTTTCACTGTCTCGGGATTAATTCCGTCACATTTAATGTGTCAACCGCCGTGATATTGCTGGAATATCGCTAAAAGCTGCGTAAAACGCACTCACTCACTTTCACCAAGAGGAATATATTCTACCATTGTATCATTTTATTTGCAGGTTTTGCTCTATAAATGTAAACTATTTATACATAACGAAAGCACTTACCTAAAATTGATAAAATCACAACAACAAAGTCAAATACATTCCATGGGATCTTAAAGTAGAACTGTCGTAGTCCTATTATTTTCAGCACGCACTCCAATGTGAATATTGCAATAAACACGATGTTGATATATTTCAGCGCCTCGTCGATTTCGGGAATCATTCCTTCGTGTTCTATCATCATCGTGATCATGTTCAGCAAAATCACCACCATTATACCAATGTCAAACATCTGGTTTGTGGTAACTTCAAAGATGACACCCGCTATCCACAGCTGAAACGAAATAATAAACGAATAACTTGATTTATCCCTTTTTTGTTGTTGTTTAACCGCATTTAGCAATATATGAAATGTGTTTGTAAATAATCAGTTCTGGACCAGATAATCCAGTGATTAACATCATGAGCATCGATCTCCTGATGACATCTATCAAGAGAGCCTGACCACCCGATCGTTAGTCGTATCTAGTTAATTTTTTTTCTTTAAAAACAATTTATATATTCTTACGTGCATAATTTTCAGAACATTTAGCATGTCAAGTAAACAATTTAAAAACAAATACAGTATTTTGTTAATAATAATAATACATGGATATTTCTTGTTCGCCATAGTCCACCCCGAGCATGCTCAAAGAGCTACATATAAGAAGAGTCACTAGACTTTATGAGGAAAATATGACAGTTCGGCAAAATGAGTTGTAGAATTTTTTGTAGAATTTTTTGATGAGGGAGGTTTTGAGTCCCGATTTGAATGTTTCTGAGGATGAAGCATTTTTTATGGGAGAAGGAGAGTGTTGTTACACAGATTATTATTTCAATGAGAAATTGGAAGCTCTGTTTGTGTATATTGAAGGTATTTCAGAGATGCACCCACCTATACCTATATTCCACTACAGTGTTGAACATTACAACTGCCATATGAACTGATGTGTTTGAAGTTTAACGCCGCACCCGTCAATATTCCATTGAAATGACCGGCGGGATGAAAATAATCGAGTCTGGATCAGACAATCCAGTGATTGACATCAAGAGCATCAACCCAAGCAATCGGGATACGACCACATGCATCAGCCGGGCCTCAGCACCCGATCCTGTTAGCCATCTGTCAGGACAAGCATGGGCTACTAAGATACGATCTGAGTCAGGGATGTTTAATATGTGACCTACCTTTGGTTTTGGTATGGACTTTTGCGGCGATTTAGACTGCATGCGCTTCATGGCCATGTAGTATTTCTTCTGATCATCTGTCATGAACATTTCCAACGAGCCCCCCTGCTGTTGATAAAATCAACATCCATAAGGTCGAATTGCATCGGGCTTTATCCCAGTCACATAGTGACGAGATCAAGCCTGTATTCATAAACATTTTAAGTACAAAGTCCAAATAATCTTTTTTTAAAAGCATATACAGAGGTACCGATAAGCTGCGTATCTGCGTAAATTACGCAAATATTTATGTGAAAACTCAATTCCTATTAAGTCTATTGCGTACAAGTACGCTTGAATTTTTGTAAATACTCAATAAGTGTGATCTTACACGCCTACACACAAAAATGTCAAATCTTAGTTTGCGTACCGGTGCATAGATACTATAACTGAGGTATACTGAGAGGTTCTATTTCAGAATATGAACTTGACAACTTGCAGTTTTTCTTATCGCTTCTCATATTACAGATCAAATATAAATAAAACACACTCAAATTTAAACTTTATTATATTTTTAAATTATTAGAAAATGGCAAAATACCCAATTGAGTTCGAGTGAGATGAGTACAATTTATTTGGTTACTCAAAAGAAAATTTGTATACCCAATTGAGATTAACACAAGCGAGTACATAACTCAATGACCCAAAAAGTTACCTGTAGCTCTGATATATATTCAATTGTATTTACAAAGAAAAAATGTCACAGCAACAAATTAAAAAACAAGCAATTCGTCAATCAGCCCTGCTGTATAGGACGTTAATGTCAAACTGGCCTCAGTGTTGGTTGGTTGGTTGGTTGGTTGGTTGGTTAGTTGGTTGGTTGGTTGTTTAACGCAATATTCCAGCTATATCGCGTCGGTCTGTAAATAATCGAGTTTGGACCAGACAATCAAGTGGTCAACAGCATGAGCATCGACCAACGTAGTTGGGATACGATGACATGTGTCAACCAAGTCAGCGAGCCTGACCACCCGATCCCGTTAGTCGCCTCTTACGACAAGCATGGGTTACTGAAGATCAATTCAAACCGGGACCTTCAAACCGGGACCTTCACGGGATGGCCTTGCCCTCAGTGTTATGATCATGTTCCTAGCTGACAGCGTTTATATTGATTTACCTTTTTCTTCTGCTGGTTGAAGTTGTCGATGATGACACCGATGAAGAGGTTGAGGGTAAAGAAGGAGCCGAAGATGATGAAGAGGACGAAGTACATGTACATATAGCGATTGTCTTCGTACAATGGCTGCTGGTTGGGCTGCAACGAAACATATTTATTATTGTGTGAGTGGGTTTAGTTTTACACCGCTTTTAGCAATATTCCAGCAACATCACGGCGGGGGACACCAAAAATGGGCTTCACATATTGTGCCCATGTGGGGAATCGAACCCGGGTCTTCGGCGTGACGAGCGAACGCTTTAACCACTAGGCTACCCCACGGCCATTTATTACTGACCCGATTCTTTGTGGCTTGACGCCTCACTCAGCAATATACCAGATAACCATGGCGATAATCTATAAATAATTACTATAAACCAGTCTGTACTAGACAATCCAGTGATCGATGTTATAAGCATTGATGTTCGCACTTGGGACACGATGGCATCTATCGGCTGAAGGGAACCTGACGTATGTTTGTTTGTATGTACGAAGTTATGTTTGTGCGTAGGTGCTGTGAATGTAGGTGGTTAACGCTGCACTCAGTAAAGTTCCAGCTACATGCAGCTGACTGTAAATACATAAGTCTGGACCAGAATAATCCAATGACTGATGTCATGAGCATCGACCTACGCAGTTGGGACACCATGACATGCATCAAGCGTGTCTTGTGGTTATAACAAACACAATTTCTGTGGACACTGTCACTTCCTATTTCTCACCTGTCTACTGTCTATAGCATCATTCATTATGTCGATCCAACCTTTGTAGGTAGCCTGTGGCGGAAGAAAAAGTCAAACATTTAGAGTTTCACTAATCAGTTTCTTTAGGGATGTTGCTTTGCATGGTATAACGTTGATGCCTTCCGAACGATATCACGAAATCAAAATTGGTTTTACAATTTGATCCAAGATTTTGAACATGGAACAAAACCCGACGAGTTTGATAATTCTATAATTTATAGCATCTTTTAACATCAGAATGTTTTTGTGACCAGAGGTATTATTTCAATAGAGCTTTACGTGACCGATCATATCCGGTTGTAGGGTGTGGAAGAAGGTGCCAGTGCCTTGAAACAAATAATCTAATATTATTCCGTAAATGCCTGATAACAAGTATTTTGACATGGGACAAGCCTGATTGCCTGGAAATGTATTATCGGTGAAACTATAGTTTCTGGGTTCGTCTTTGAGATAAAAGATCAAATCATTGTATATATTATATAGCACTGAAATTCATTTTGTCTCAAACGAAAATTACACTTCCCCCTCCACACCACAATACATCCCAAATAATAACACACGCTCAACCTCCAAATTATAATTATAATAACCATTTATAAAGCGCCTGTTTCCACACACTTGTGTATGCTCAAAGCGCTAACACATTATTACCCCGGGTAACCCAAGCTGCCTGTTAGACACGAGAATGATTAGTCACATGACTTATCCCACCGGGTACCCATTTTCTGCGGGGTGAATAGAGGCAATTTTGAACAAACAAATGGGATGACAAATGCACTTACAACTTGGAAAAGGGCAAGATAGGCGTTGATGACATTGTCAAAGTTAATCTTGGAGTTGGTCCAAGTATAATTTTGAGACTCGCACTGGTTCCGGTGGTCCACGATGCTGATATTCAGTCTCTCATTATTCTCATCCACACACTTATGGAATTTGCCTGCAAAAAGCTGTACGCCCATGATACCAAAAATGAGCCAAAACACCAGGCACACCAGTAGCACGTTGAAGATGGAGGGTATAGCTTTAATCAAAGCATTCACCACAACCTGCAAAATTCGAAATTAACATATTAAGTCCTATTATCTCGACATATAACATGTATTCTATATATAACATATAACAAAATATATATAGTCCGTAATCCATAACAGAGCGAGTCGGGATTATAAAGCAAGCTTTAATGATAAATTTAGAACAATTTTGCCGGGACTCAGAGTAGTCCGGATTATGGAGAAAACTGGTTTACAAAGAGTCCGGATTCGACAGATTCCACTGTATATATACTCATGCCAATAATGGTTGTCACCCCCCTCCCCAACCACACCTCACACCCCCACCCCACACCCCTCTCCAATTTAAAAATTGAAGGGGGTGACAACCATTATTGGCATGAGTATATAAATAAATGACTTTGTCTTTGTAGAACAAGTGAGTGAGTGAGTATGGTTTTGCGTAGCTTTCAACAATATAATTCCAGCAATACCACGGCAGGGAACACCAGAAATGAACTTCACACATTTTACCCATGTTAACGAATAGAACCGTTTACCTGGGGCTAGACACAACAGAATGAAAATCTACTGGCTTCTGAGAATGTCACTGTAATGACTGTCGTAATAAAGGAGAAAGTAGTCCCCTGTAATTCGGGTAATACTGAGCTTATCGCTGGATAATCATAAGTGAGTGAGTGAGTATGGTTTTACACCGCTTTTAGCAATATCCCAGCAATATCACGGCGAGGGACACCAGAAAAGGATAATCATGAAATCTGAGTGTGTAAACACCGTGGAATCCGTCGTTTTTATACAATTACGTGGCGTGACGTTGCTAACTCTACAAATGATCAGATGAGCACCCACCCTCATACCCTCCCACCGCGACACAGCTCGGAGGGGACGAAGGGCCCTCAGGGTCCTCAGCGCCTTGATAGCTCCCAGGTCACCTAAGTTAAAGGACTCAGCCGCCAGCAGCACGATCGACAGCTGGAACACAAGTAAATGTCATCGTTACAACAAGCCCAAGATGTGTGCATTTGAATAGGCGGGAAAAAGACACAAAGATTTCATACAGTGTCATTCGAAAAATTGTTTGCTCATTGGAACAATATTCAGTCCCGAAGTGAGTGAGTGAGTTGAGTTTTACGCCGCTTTTAGCAATATACCAGCAATATTACGGCGGGGGGCACCAGAAATGGGCTTTAAACAATGTCCCCATGAGGGAATCGAACCCGGATCTTAGGGGTTACGAGCGAACGCTTTAACCACTGGACTATCCCACTGCCCCCCAACAACAATGAAAATAACACTGATGCTGATAATGTGTCAGTCAACAGATCAGGGTACAGCTGTACTCTCATCCCCCAGAGCATGAAAATTTAATGAACAACATCAGTTATCCTTGTTTTAAAACATTTAAAACATGATTTAATTTATTAATTGATTACCTACCGATACGATGATAAAATCAAGCCAGCACCAAGCGTCCGTGAAGTACGTTTTGAAGCCGAAGGCCACCCATTTAACCAACATCTCCAGGATGAAGATAGCAGTGAAGCATTTGTCCAGATACATAAGAATTGCCTTCAAAATCGGCCTTTCGCTAAGGTATTCGTCTTCCAGGGCCTATGTAGAGCAAGATCGGAAACATCAACAATCGCCGTACCTCCTTTCCAAGTCATAATAATCATCATCATCATAATGGTAAAAATAGATTTGATAACTTAACATATATATCACCCGGAATAACAATATTGAACATAAACATTATTTTAAACATAAACGGCTTAATCAAAATTGATCGTGTAATATCATCATCATTATCATCATCATGGTCAAAAGAGATTTGATACTTATATATATGTCCCAGAATAACAATATAAATACACAATGCCGTACTTTTGAACATAAACAGCAAAATTTAGATTGATCGTATAATAAGATGTTTCAAGACACTAAGCATGAAAGAACACATTTTCTTCTACTAGTATCTCTTCAATTCTGAAATATTTCGAGCAGGTCCTTTCTTTGCAGATTTGTTGATGGTCATTTTTATCATGTTATTTTTTTCCAAAGAAGACATGTTTGTTTCCAGTAATCATGTAGAAACCTTTAGTTGCGAGGGAAATCCCATTGATTATCTCAGCCAGAAGTACTTAGCAGTGATTATCTTAGGCACAAACTGTAACAGTGATTATCTTAGCCAAAAGTACTTATGAGTGAATGAGTGAGTGAGTGAGTGAGTGAGTTAATATTTAGCGTCACATCGGCAATATTCAGCCATATCGTCAACTGAATGTAGATCGCCATACAAGAACCCATGGGGACACACAGTACATTTGCTACCTGCATGAACCCTAGCTGGATTTACATTATACCTCCAGGTGGTGGCGATTGTGGTGGTGACATACATTAAAGGAACAAATATGCTATTATTAAAATTAAAGAAATGAATGAAATGGGACGTACCCTCTCAGGGGGACAATTGTTTTACGCTACTTCAACCCCCTTTGAATGTACACCCACTAACAATCTTTTCTCGCACATACATTTTCTGATTGGCTGATGGCTCTTCTATTATTTTCTATGTTACACGCTGGGAATGCCGAACTGTGGGAATTCATTTAGTACTTCGTGTTAGTAGTTCTTTATCTCGAACAATTGAGTCACATATTATGTGCGGAAATTACCGATGTTTCGCGAATGCAAATCGATCTATAAGTGAGATAACTGACTCCGAGCCGACCAGTCCTTGTTGTACCCATTTATGCCGAGCGCCAGGCAGGGACCAACAAGTACCATATTTTAACGTCTTTTGGTATGACGCGGTCTGGGATCGAACCCGCGACCTTCCGCTCTCCGGGCAGACGCTCTAACCACTACACCACGGAGGCGGTTTCTACCAAAGTACTTACCAAGGCAGAACTACTGGCGAGAATCATTGTGATGATAAAGGTTTCAAAGTACTTGTGCTCAGTCACCCGGAACATGAAGCATCGGAATTTCCACCAAAGCTGTCCAGTCTTGCTTTCTTCGATGGTAGTTAAACACTTAAACTTCCGCGTGCACACTTTACACAAACAGTCGTCGGGTTCCTTCACATACACAATGTCAACTTCGTTAATTTCCGGCTCTCCGTCGGCTTCGACCTTGATATCCTTCTCGCTTTCGGAGAGTGAACTCGCGCTAGAACTGGCCTCGGAACCTAACATGCTCTTTGAGTCTTTGTTCATAGAACCCTCGCTTGATCTTCGTGGAAGCTGAAATCAGTCACATGATACTTACAATATTTCCGGGCCTGTTTGCATAGAATTACAACATAGAATATACCTACAAATTTTCAAATCATGTATTTTATACTGATATTTATGAAGTTACTGATACTCATGTATTCAAGCTGTCATAGGAAAGTTAAAAGCTGTTTTGCAGATGACTGTGATATTTATTTATAATTTTATAGTATTTGAACATATATCTTGACACTTTACTATTTGATATTCATTACTCAATCTATCAATCAACATGAAACTTTTAACTTTTAAACTTTTGAAAATTTCTACTCTATTAACTCCACATTACAATGTCGAGAACTAAACGAAATTGTTCGAACCAAACAGATGGGATAATTGAAACACAATTTAACAATGAGTGGATGTGTGATGAAAGATGTAAGTGGTGCGAGTTCCATTTAATTCAGCTGTGTAGTGTAAAGTACTAGCCACATTCATTCAAGTACAGTTTAATCATATTCTAGTACTAGAGCACACTGCTTACTCAGGTATAACAGATCACAGGTTGACACTATCAACCACATTTCATATCAGTGGGTTCTGGACTTGGGTTCTACATCCCGAGCCTACGCGTGAAGATCTGGGCTAGAATTTGTGATCAACAACCCATGTTTGTCGTAAGAATCGACTAACGGGACCGGGTGGTCAGGCTCGCTGATTTGGTTAACACATGCCATCGTATCCCAATTGCGTAGATCGATGCTGATCGATGCTGATGATGTCAGTCACTGGATTGTCTGGTCCAAACCCGAATTTTACAGATCACCGCCATATAGGTGGAAAATTGCTGAGGGCGGCAATAGACAACTGAAAAATGAATAAACAGACGAAACGAGCCCCCAAATGCTTTTCACTCGCACCATGAAGATGCGGGTTAGAATATGTCTTCAGCAACCCATGCTAGTCGTAAGGGGTGACTAACGGGATCGGTTGGTCTGCTGACTTGGTTGATGCATGTCATGGTATCCATACTGTGTAGATCGATGCTCATGACGTCAATCACTGGATCGTTTTGTCATGACAGGATTATTTACAGACCGCCGTCACATAGCTGAAAAACTGCTGAGTGTGGCGTTAAACACCACAACAAAAACAACCAAACTAACCCCAAACAAACAGATACCAAGGTTCCGATCCACAAAGCGTTCGTAAAGCTACAACATTCGTAAGCCTATGGTAAACTATAAAGTTACGACATGTCGAAACTTTACGAACGATTTGTGGATCGGGACCCTGACCTGCACAACCACACTCGTAGATTGGGTTGTTTTGACTGCGAGATTGCCGAAAGACTACATTGGATCATGATAGCATGTTTTCTCTATTGTTTTCAGTCGTTGTTTCGCCTAGCAACTGCTTTTCTGTCATGCTGCTGAATGTGGATTCTAATAACATTCACTCACTCACTCAGTTTTTCTTTCTTAAACTGTACACTTTCTAAACATATGATAGTGAATGAAATACGCGATGACATTTAGAAAGTGGTATTGTGTATTTCATAGCTTTCGGCCGTGGGAGCCGTGCCAATTAACACTCATCAGAGGGTACACAAAGTCCGCAGTCTAGACTACCAGTTGTCCGACTTTGTGTGCTGGCGATTAGGCCTGACTCTGAGGGCGTGGGTTCGAATCCCGGATGGGACTCAACCCAACAGAAGTACTAGAATCTGTACTTTACTAAGAAAGTGTAATCCCAAATATAACGTATGTTACATATGATAGTGAAGACAAACACCAAAACTACAGTTACATAGGAGTACAACATGTAGTGTGTATGCGTACACAGTTGTGATATGTTTAAGATATGTGCAAGAAGGTGTATGCAGTGTATCATATTGAAATCAATGTATGAATGTACCTATGGACAACTCTACACTACCAAAAACTCGCTTGGCAGCACGATACACATTGGTATCAGACAAATGTTACCGTTCAAAATTCCGGAGTTTTATCTTTTGTTTCTGAATAAGGATTATTATGAACGCAAGCATACAAGATATCTCCCCACCCCCATTTTATATTCTTGTTCAATACGCCAGATCTCCAAATAAGATTGTAAAGATAAGAAAAGATCGGATATTAGATAATGAAAAGTGATTACTTTTAAATATTCTGCCGATCTGATTTTTTTAATCTTTTTATCAAAACTATTTTTTTCACAGTACTAGAGTTAAACAATTCGAGACTTTATCATAAAAACTCCCACCCAAATTAAGTTCTCCCAACCGTAACAATTTGGAGAAATGATAATTGAAATTTCATTTTACTTTTGACCGATTTATACCGATCTGAAATTCTGGGCCAAAATTCAGTTGAAATGTCTGGCCTTTTGATGGCAGTTCTCAAACACGTTACGGAAAACAGATTAAAAGGACTGTCACTGTCCAGATGACTTACAACTCTATAAAGAGTAAACTGTAAGACCACAATGGTCAATCCAAAGCATCTCCCTTACATTTGGACGTTTCGGTCGGGCAATGTGAAATCTTTCACACATTGATCACCTGTCAATCCGATTATCGGCCTCTGCTTAGTATATTTGAAGATCGATTTAACTGTGGTTGACAGCTGCAATATCCTTGAAATGCTTCCTGTGATAACATCGTTTACTCCGTCACTGTCAGCAAGATCTTTCGTTTTCACGGACAGACATGAATCTGTTGTTGCTGCCAAGGTCGTATGCTGAACCAAGGGGAGGTAACTATGAGAAACAAAGACCACTACAGGATTGTCTACGTGCTGAATACTGTAATGTAATACTAGCTTACCAACGCAGTTGTCTCACCTACCTTCTCACCGTCAGGTAGGTCGAGACCCTTTTCAGCATCTGAGAAGAAAAATAGGAAATTGTTAGCACAAAGTTTATTGATATTGACAAAATATTGGCAAACTATAAGGGGCCATGTTGTACTCGGATGCTCAATATGAAGTACTGATCTTCTGATCGTAGTTACAACACCAAAGACACCACTCAGAATAAGTGATGATCCTATTAGGAAATCTAGCTATAGTATAATTAAGCAATGTTCAGGGAAGCAGCATAGTCTGTCATTTTACAGACATTTCGTATGAAGAAAGCAAGCGTTTTTGCGGTCACTACATTATCATCGAAGTCCTTGAAAAGCTGCTAAATCCGAAATTAGCTTTTCAACTGACCAATAACGCTGCCATCGAATGCAAGAAAACTTAGGTTTTGTTCGTAATAACCGATAAGTCGTTATATCCGAATTCGTCATATCAAGACTGTTTCTGACAAATGAGTAACCAGTACTCCATATCGCCCCGAGTACACTTAGGCCATAAACGACCTACATGATGCTTATTACACGATATTACATTGATTTACGAAATTTATTTCTTTAAAATTTAAGATAATCAATTGTTATACTGTCTAATAATTGTCTAGATGTACTGATAGGAACACTAGAGTATAATTTGCTGACAAAAGCACAGAACTCGACCAGAGTGTTACTAGTTACAACTTAAGGTTTACTCTGCATAACGAACACCGAATACAGCTTTGTAATCACCCACTAAAACACGGGACACGAGGAAATACTCACAGAATGAACTGATTACAATATATAGTCGGGAGTAAACAGACATAAATATAGCTTTAATAACTGTAAAATGTATTTAAATAAACACCAAAATACTCGAATGCAATTTGTAGAAAGGAAACGTTTTGAATAGGGAAAGACAGAGCACCAACTCCAAAGGTGTATATTAGGCACCATTTCACGCAGAGAAAGAGGTCGAAAAACAGCCAAAGAATCGCATTAAAATAGAGGAGAAAGAAAATTGAATTTCTACCCTTGATTAAATTTCATAGATGAGATGGCGATGTTCACAACATACTGTGGTGATAGAAACACAGGAATACTGAAAGCGTGTGACATAGTGCACAGAAATTGATGACGTCATTAAGACGCTCGCTTCTGATTGGTGGGGAACGACCAGGGATGACGGTAGCCATTTTGGGGTAACGTACGTCTGTCTACGTAACCATAGGGATTCACAAAGTGTTACACAGGTTGTGGATATTATTTAATAAATAAACATACAATCTTCATATCTGACAGATATCATAAAAAGAAATGGCATAAAAAGCCAGTGTGTGGATAAAAAAAGAGGAGAAAGTCAAAATACTTAGTCCGTGTTTTCAATTTGGTTACATTGAATACATTTCACAGTGAAATGGGTGCCCTAGACGGACACGGGTTAGTGGGGTGGATGAGGATGGGTGGGTTGAAAAGAAGGGTCTGTGGACACTGGTCAAGCAGAGAACAGTGGATGACGGCTTAGTATGAAGCAATAGAACACGGCGGCCATATAAGCAGCAAGGCGTCTGGTGGTGAACGACGGGCTTTTCATTAAAACCTGTTTTGTTAGGAGAAAGGCTTTCGGTGTCTTGAGTTTGATGAAGTTCATAGGCTTTGCCATTACCAACTACTGTCTGGCCATCTGCCAAAGCTTCCTTGCCATTAAGCTCGGGTCGGGAGGAACTGGGCGACAGGGCGATCACGGGTCGTTTCGTCTTTCGCCGGAGTTTCACTTTCAGGCAGACGATGATCTTGACCTTCACCCAGGCCCCGAACCGCTTGAACCTGTCAACAGCCTCGGCCAGTTTGTTTGGCTCGTCGTCTGCTTCTGATCTTTGAAGACTTTCGGCGCCAAACGAGCTCAGCAACAGAGCAAGAAACAGGTTCAACACCTAGTCAAGGAAGAGAGAAGTATGTTACAATCCTGTAGACGGCATACAGTCAAGGATATGGATGATGACATTTCATTTAAGGAAAATTGAAACTATGGTGATATTCAGCTCAGCATCAACGCAAGTGTGGGTTGTTACATACTTGCAATCCATTTTCCGGAAAAAGCCGACGCGATTTGCGGCAGATGTTACAGTCATGGGACATAAGTATTCGTCAGTGAGCAAACTTCTCATAGACTTGCATGCTATTTTAGTGTAGCTGTAATAATTTTCATTAATTCAGTTTTCGTTATTTGGTAGTCAAATTTTGCAGGTTGTTAGGAAATCATCTTGGCCACAGATACATAATTTCCATGAAATCTTCCTTCGAGTATTTTCCACTTTGTAGTTAATAATAATAATAATAATAATAATGTGTCTATTGATATAGCGCCAATCTCCACACTAGGTATGCTCATAGCGCTAACAATCAAGGCACAGCACATTATTACCCCGGATAACCCAAGCTGCCTGTTAGGCGCTAGAAGGTTATAGTCATATGACGTTTTCCACCGGGTACCCATTTTCCTGCTGGGTGAACAGAGACAATTTTGAACGAACTCACTTGCCTAAGGTGAGACCACATGTGTCACATGTGCTTCATTACATGACCAACATATATACAACATTCTATATTCTTTCCCTATAGACCGCCATGTTAAAAAATGCCATAACCATGACACGCATCAATCAAAGTGTGGTCATTCTTGAAATACTGAATGGAAAATAAAACGGAAATTATGTCTTTGCAGCTGAGATGATTCATGACACGTGTGCAAAATATGACTATGATCAAACGATAAATAAATTCAAGATAATTTTTCTAGCTGCACAAAATTAACATGTAAGTCTATGGAAATTATGCACAGTGACGAATACTTATGTCCAGTGACTGATCTGCGAGTATCAAAATGGTTGTAAGTGACCAACAAATGTTTCCTACGAGTTTGTCAACATTGAGTTTAAAAACACAAAACTCTTGGGCAATATATTGGTGAGAAAAGAGACTGATTCTATTTCCCACCAAAGTTCTTTTTAACATGTTTTCGCAATGTTTTAACTAACAAACTAAATGTATATAAAGTTTCTAGTGTGATGTCGCCGTTTTCATCCTAAAGATATTACCATTGCTGATAATAATTTAAGTTTACATGTTCATTGGAAATGCATTTGCCACCGATCACAACAAAAATAAGGGGTCTCGTGTCTTCCTACGACTGACTGTATGAGTTTAGTTTTACGCCGCTTTTAGCAATATTCCCGCAATATCACGGCGGGGGACACCAGAAAATGGGCTTCACACATTGTGCCCATGTGGGGAATCGAACCCGGGTCTTCGGCGTGACGAGCCAACGCTTTAACCACTAGGCTACCCCACCGACCCTCTACCTACGATGTCAAAGGAAGTAAACAGCAGAAATTATGGAATATGCTATCATGGAAATGAAATTCTCCCATAGAACAAGCGATTGTTTCTTTCAAATATATTAGCCTGGTCCGGTAGGCAGAAAAGCACCCATACGGGTATTAATGGTCTGAAGACACTAAAATGTCTTTTATTGTGATCTCAAAACCCCCAGCATAACGGAGAATGTTTACCAACCACAAGATTACCGATGACCATTGTGAGGAGGAAGAAGGGCACACAGGAGTAGCCGGCGACTCTCATACACCCCCACATGGATTCAATCCACTCGCCGCACAACACACGGAATATTATCATGAAGGAATGAAGGAAGTCATCGAAGTTCCATCTGGGCATGCCACCACCAATGTCCGAGTCGTTATTGTATCTCTGATACGAATCCCTGAACAGTTGCTGCCCCATGACGGCGAAGATGAAGACGACGATGCCAAGGACGATGGTCAAGTTACCCAAAGCTCCCATGGTCCGACCCACGATTGCAATCAGCATGTTCAGCGTTGGCCAGGATTTGGCAAGCTTGAAAACTCTCAGCTGAAGAAGAAGTTATTTTGTTATTGTAAATAGGATAGATTTGTTAAGTAAGGAATTAGGAGAGGATTTTGATAGTCAAGGGTGTTTGTATCATATCAAATGAGAATCATACGACATATCATCAAACATACCTCATAGATTCAAATCGAACAGAAATATCTCCTTTGCTATGTCCACAATTATGCATTACGCCCTACCGCTTCACCGCATCGCCCTTACCAATCTGAAGGCTCGGAGCACGGACAACCCTGGGAGTGCCTCAAGCATGAGCTCCATTAAACTCAGGAGCACGATGAAACTGTCAAACACATTCCAGTTGTCCTTGAAGTAATTAATGGGGCTTAGAGCCAAAATCTTTAGGAACGCCTCGGCCGCGAATATACCCGTGAATAGCTGTAACAAAAAACATCAAGCACGTCAGTCAAGCTCAGTAGAATTCAAACAGAGAATAGAGTCTTACTGACTTTACCCGGAACTGACCCAAATAGTTGGAGGCCTGGGATTTTCGTTGCAGAAGTTTCAATCAGCACTTAACTAGGTTTTCTCTTTCAAAGATTCCTGCCCATTTCATATTTTTAAAAGAAAACCCATCACATTATATTTACAGACTATTCGGCATGTAATATGACCGATTCCTTTTACTCACACATGGACATGTGGTTTTTTTCACCATTAAGAAAAAATATTGTTTTAAACTTTTAATTATGATTCCACAACCAGCACCTCGTCTCACAAAGGAGCATGTTAATATGTGCATCTGAAGTATTTGAGTGACTCACTGCAAAAGCTTTGTGGAAAGAGAGCCTGCGTGTCGTAAGATGTTAAGACAAATCTCGAGCACTTACTAAGTTGGCAAATTCTGACACCCTCTTCAATTCTTCGTTCATGTCCCAGTGGTCCAAAGCCATGAAGCCAGTGTTGACTACGATACACAATGTAATGAACAGGTCGACGAAGGCATCCATAATGAACAGACTCACAAAATACTGCAGTTTTTTGAAGTTTGGCGAGCAGTTCCATAAGCACAAATAGTTCATCAGCTTGTCGCGGACTGCTTCTGGTTGGACGCTTACAACGCTCATGAAACCTATTCGGAGGAAGAGGAGAGAAAAAGTGTCAAATTGAGTTGGGTCAAGGCCACGTTTAAAGTATTGCAGCAATAGTACAGCATGTTGGCTTTACATTGGGTAAAACCGAACAAATGAAGGTCTTAGGCAATTCCAACTTTCGTGAAACCTATTCATTTAACTTTTCGCTCAGCGTATTGCGAATTCAACTTTATGTGTGGCTGGAGCTGTTTGCCATAATGGGACGTTACTGGTAGCAACCATGGCATTAAGAACTCCGCCAGTGAGCTATTGCTGTTAGGAGCTTGTGGAAATAGCCAACAAGGGGCATAACTCCATGATGTATGATCGGTTATACTTCATCGAAGTCAATGTGAAAATAACCCAGACATGTTACATCATATTAGATGAGACAAGATCGAGGTGTTTTTCAACTGTTCCGTATTTCACAAAGAAAACTGCCTTAATATCTACAACAGAAGGTCTTAAACTTCTAAGTGATAAAAAGTATAATTGTAAGGTTCCAGGATTGCGCTTAGCGAACGTAGAATTTTGTGAAATTCTACCTGATAAAAAGCATTATTGTAAGGTTCAAGGATTGTATTTAGCGAACTTGGATATTTTTGTGAAATTCCAAGGTATAATTCCGATTGGAAGTGGTGATCCTTAATGAAGCAAGGTAGGCAACTCACTTCTTCTGTGGCCAGAAGCATGGTCAATGAGATCTTTGAGAACCATCACATCTGAAAATATAATACAACAGTTGCAGGGCTATTGTAGGAGTGACAAGACTTTAGATAACAGAGTAATGTTCTGTACCGTTTAATATACCACGTGCTGATGGTTGGTACGAGTTTGAGTTTGGCCTACTGTGGATGAGACCCAAACGAGCCCAAAGTGACACAGGTGATAAACCTTTACAGGTAGGTGGAACCAAAGAACATGAGTATGCTACGGAGTGGTATGGACAGAGCAAGCTCTTAATGAGATGACCAGTCACCCACGGCAGTTAAGGTAAAGGAAGCAACTGCACAGCAATCCATAATGCCCCTTCAAATAATGATAAGGGTGACAATTACCTTTGATATCGACATTGGCAGCTGTTGGCGACGGACACAGGAATGTGTTAGTGGGAGACATCTTTTGTTTATCACCCACGCATCCTGACCCTAGGCTGCTGACGGAGTCCTGCAAAAGAGTCACAAGGTACTAGCACCTGCACATATAACAAAACCTGAAAAGTAGAAAAAGGATAAAAGGCATCAGTTCATCTTGAAGTCTTACATTACCAGTATAGTAATATTATTTCTCTTTTTACCTAAAGCGTTTTATTGTAATTTATTTAGATTCATCCTTATCCCTCACTGAAAATATAAACTATTATGGTTCGTTCTGGAGATGTAGAAAATAGTTGTTCCTGAGCTCAGAGACTCAGCATTACTCATTTCTTTTATGAACGCAATAGGACACTATATATTTCAAAGTTTCTAATTTGATGGAATAACAATGGAATGGATACAGAACCTAAACTGTTAGGGATAATAAAATATCTTTTCATGCCGTACACATTTTAGAAACCTAATCTTCACTTCACAAAATAATATCCCCCAATTTTTTTACGATCCCTATTTGTTGTGGTTCATTATTTATTGCTATTAAAAAGTGTTAATTGGATATTCGCAAAATGAAATGTCGTTTGAATTTTCTAATAACAGTTGCTAAATAGAACCCTTTCTTTATAAGAACAATTCCAGATAGTCCTAGATCTGAACTGTTATAGTTATTAATTTAAATGACACAGATAAATACATTTATTTTTCCACTTGTATAATCACGATGTTCATGAAATACTAAGGCTTTCAAACAACAAATTTGGTTTGCGTTGTTACGCTTCTTCTGTTGTAACAATGAAAGTGCATTGCTTTAATCGATAGTCATCTCACAAAGAGCACTTGCTGAGCCTGAACATGTAAATACAATCAACTGTACTAACCTCGATAAGAATTTCGCGTCATTAAAACTTCTTTATACAAAAACAAAATGATTAAACACGTTCATATGCACCTGGAAGAAAATACCAACAAAACTAAAAATGAAAAATAAAATAAAATTTGGATTCCGGGTGTCTGTGCCACGTTGTGACGAGCTAACTCTTTCAGCTTATTATAAATATAGTGAATCTCGCCCGAGTGTATTCAACTAGGGGCTACTGCTGTTAATACCTTGATTTGATGTAAAACTCATTGATAATAGGAAGATTCAATTCAAAATCCTTCCATGTTTTCGGTTCATAAACAGTTATAAGCATTGTCTTGAGTGAAACTACACGATCACCAGTTTCAGGAATATTATGTTTGGGATACAATGGTGATGATCACATCACAATGGTTAGCAATGATTGTAATCCCATTTTATTATAGCGATATATCCTTGGTCATTTCGTTTTTTCGTGATATTATGTTTGAGATACAATGGTGATGATCACATCACAATGGTTAGCAATGATTGTAATCCCATTTTAATATAGCGATATAGCCTTGGTAATTTCGTTTTATCGTGATATTATGTTTGGGATACAATGGTGATGATCACATCACAGTGGTTAGCAATGATTGTAATCCCATTTTAATATAGCGATATATGCTTGGTAATTTCGTTTTATCGTGATATTATGTTTGGGATACAATGGTGATGATCACATCACAATGGTTAGCAAAGATTGTAATCCCATTTTAATATAGCGATAAATCATTGGTAATTTCGTTTAATCGTAATATTATGTTTGGGATACAATGGTGATGATCACATCACAATGGTTAGCAAAGATTGTAATCCCATTTTAGTATAGCGATATATCCTTCGTATATTTTCGTTTTATCGTGATATTATGTTTGGGATACAATGGTGATGATCACATCACAATGGTTAGCAAAGATTGTAATCCCATTCTAATATAGTGATATATCCTTGGTAATTTCGTTTAATCGTGATATTATGTTTGGGTTACAATGGTGATGATCACATCACAATGGTTAGCAAAGATTGTAATCCCATTCCAATATAGCGATATATCCTTGGTAATTTCGTTTAATCGTGATATTATGTTTGGGATACAATGGTGATGATCACACCACAATGGTTAGCAAAGATTGTAATCCCATTTTAATATAGCGATATATCCTTGGTAATTTCGTTTAATCGTGATATATCTCACGGAATACAATTTGGGACGATAAATGTTTGCTGTCATTTGCAATAGTTTCTGAAACATATCAGTTCATCCAATTAATACTATCACCCAATATAGCTTTCAGGTTAAACAAAGTGTGCACAGACTGTTAAGATTAACATTTTAGTTACAGAAAGAAGGTTATCTTTATTGAAAATATATACCTACAAAATATTAAATATATAATCCAAATGGAACCCAGAACAATGTTTAGTTTCAGTTTTGAGCTGAAGCAGACAAGACGGGCCAATTAATTTGAATTCCATTTATTTTTTCTTAATTTTGGACTTTGTATGTTTCAATTCACCCTATAGTTTCTGGGAGACAGATTTGGACTCCGCGCTGAATTTGATTTTGGTCTTTCAGTGAATATCACAGAGGTCCGTATGGTATAAACTTAATTATGTTCTATAGTGAAACATGAACGGCCATATAACCAAATCTTTGTTCTCTTCAGAAATAATTTTGAACACTGCAACTAAAGGAGCAACACCTCCTTTACTTCTACATGTCAAATACTGATGAACCTTATGGTCTGGGCTAAATCGATATACGGTCAAAACTCGTTGTGTTGAACTTGGATTTGTCGAATTATCCTGTTGTCTCGACCCCCTTCCTGTTCCGATCTGGGAACCGACATGAACTTAACCCTAGTGTTGTGTCCGGACTTGCTTTTAATCTCCAGTTTTATGCCAAACCTCGGATACTCGATCCTTTGCCATGTCACCTTCAGTTCGACAAAGATGTTCCACTGTAGTCTATTCTAACTCCTTACAAAAACGGAGAACACGATATGTTCCCATATTGTCAAATCGAAGTTTAGATGCTGTATAATAATGTCTTACTCTAAGTCTTACTCTTACTCTAGGGTTATCGCCCCGACCCTTCGAGGCACTACCTTCATTACCAAGCATGATTATCATAAAGATTATTATTATCATTTACATTGTTTAAAAACAACCTAAAGAAATGTATGTGTACCTATTTTTGGATATTTTATCCCTCTTGCTGTTAGAAGGATGTTTTTTAAATAAAAAATATAAATTATTGGATGATGGATTCTATAAAACGACTTTATGTTTAGGTACATGATGTAAAAGTATAGCTACAAACTATCCAAATGTGTCATGACAAACACTCTCCTTATTCCTGGAAATAAGGATAATAATACTTATTCTTTGGCATGCCACCATAGTATATGAGATGCTGGCGTATGCAAACTCCTGTCATTTGAAAGAATAAAACAAAACGTAATCAATGATATTATTTTGGAGAAAAGAGAGCCAGTAAAATTAGATGTGACATTGTGTTAGATCTGGTCCTTTGCGATCCTCATCACAATTGGTTTCCCAGACCTACTTTAACCCTAGACTTGTCATACCGCCTTATCCAAAGAAGAAATGGAATTGTAGAGGTAATACTGTGTAAATGAGTTTTTAGAAAGGGATAAGTATGACAATTAGTGAGTGTGGCATTTAACAGGCGGACGGATCTGCATGCAAAGCTTGACTTCTTGTCAACCAGGGGGGTCCTTTCACTAAGCAACATGAACTAAGGTTAACCTTAACTCCCATTCTTTAACGTAGCACTAAGGTTACCTTAGTGACTTACGATCACCTTAGTGCTTTGTGAAAGGAGGCCCAGCAGGACAGTAGCTCCAGCAGAGTGCAATGTGTGTCACTCGTGACAACTCGGGCTATTCCGGAAAATATTCTGGAAAGTGACGAGTGGTGACGAGTGTGTGTGAGTGTGGCCAGATGGGACGGAGTGTAAACCCTAGATCACACAAATCTAACGTGAAAGGAAAGGTAAGTTGTGAAACAGATACGGAGGTAAAACAAAGGGGCTCAACGGTCTCATGTCCATCTGGTTTCACTGTGGACTTACATTATCTCTGTCCAGTCGTGGCTTGTCCACCACAACATCAGGGACACGTTGACTCCCTTTGCGGGTAAAGTTAAACAAAGTATCCATTTTGCTCTCTTTTTTTAAAGGATCCAGCGGGGAATGCACGGAGTATCTACTAGTACGTGAGTTCCGACTAACGTTGGAAGCGAAACTGCTTCTTCTTGATGGAGGTCTGGCGTCCGGCCAATGCCTCCGTGTTTGTGAAGCGAAACTATATCGCCTGCCATTGGGAGCGTTCTTGTGAAAAGGAAAATTGCATAGATCTTCTGACGATGGGGTCACTGCCGCGGAATCATCAGCAAAAGGAAGCGGAAGACTTTCCAATGTCTGGTAAACAAGGGGTTGCCGGTCGGTTGCCCGGCCGCTGGGTTTTTTCTTCCAACTGAACTGACTCCCCTTACTGCTGCGACGATACGCAAACGGCGAGCCGGGGAGGCTAACACTGCCCTGAAACATTGAACACAAGCGTCAGTGGGGCGCCACACCACACACGGACACACAGACAGACAGCAGACGACATGCCGCACGACAGCGCCAGGGGGCGCTTTTACGACACGTGACACGAAGACAACAGGGTTACAACAAAAACTCGGAATCATTCAGTCAGTCGGAAGATAAGATTTGATTTTTCCAAACCGAACAGACGAATGATTTCGAGTTGGAAGACAAACATCTGCTACTAGTAAGGGGTGAGGGAAACAGTGCTAAGCAAATTTAGCCATGCAAAGCTTGCTGGAAGGCGTGAACATCAAAAAGCAGCTGTGATCATTACAGTACCGGTCTCCGGGGCTCGATCTAGGTGTTCCTAATTCCTATAGCTAAAGAGGTGAGACTGGACGGATAGAAACGGCGGATATGACACGCTAGAATTAAGACGGAAATGCATGCCCCAATCAATGTTAGAACGCAATTCATCGTGGTCCGGCGATCGGAAATATCGTCCATGCAAATAGTGGAGCATTCCAAAATAATTGCGTTTCCGGATTCTGCTGGAATACCCAGTTTAGAGCGGGATTTTGGGTAAAGAAAAGTCATTCTCAAAGATAAATACAAAATTCGAGATTTGAAGAAAGTGATAATTGTTTGTATGTGTTCATGTGTAAATAAAACAAAAGAACTAAACGGTAATAATGTGAGGAGCCAAAATTTCCATTCCTTCGAAAACGGAAACGAATACATCTGACGTTAGAATAAACATGACGTACTCGTTTCTTGGAGTTCGGATGGAGATGACTGCCGCCTGATTGGTCGGACGTTAAACTGACCCGTTCCTTGTCCTCCGCCTTGTCCGAATTATACTGGTCACTTTTGAAGGACGCATCGGATGGACTCTTGGTCATCTGGGATAAAATCTCCCGTCTCTCTTCCTCTTCCTATTATTCAATGAAATGGTATGTTAAATAAGTTTATTCACATGTAAACATGTTGTATTCCCTTTTAATACATATCTTATCTTTAACACTTACGCTTGATGTTTTAATTATTTTACCCATTCCCTCATTCACTCTGTAACGAAAGGTTAATCCCGGTGATATAGAAAACCTTCTCTAAAATACTTTGAGATTACTACAACACATGCCTTCCACAATTTGTGACAGCATCTCCTTTGTGACATGTCCGCAACCGTCACCCTATTATAACTGAACTGAGGCCCCTTTCACGAAGCAACCATTACTAAGGTTAACCTTAACCCCCATTCTTTAACATTGCACTAAGGTTACCTTCGTGACTTACGATCAGTGCTTTGTGAAAGGAGGCCCAGATCTTCAGTAACCCATGCTTGTCGTAAGCACCGACTAACTGGACTTGCTTGACACATGTCATCGTATCCCAGTTGCGTTGATCGATGCTCATGTTGATGATCACTGGATTGTCAGGTCCAGACTCGAATATTTACAGACCGCCGCCATATAGCTACAATAATGCTGAGTGCGGCTAAAACTAAACGCTCTCACTATAACAGGATTATCTAAGTATTTTTCCTCCATTTTCCCCTCCCTACCATTCTCTCGGCAGCCTCGTCAGCGGCGTCAGCAGCGTCCTGCTTCTGTTGTTCATCATACGACATGGCGACGATGGCGAGGATGAGGTTGACCAGGTAGAAAGACCCGAGCAATATAACGAGGACAAAGTACATTGCGTGAGCAGAACCTTCCGCTCTCAGAACCTGGAAATGGTGAGAAACGATAAATGGTATCATCATCATCACCATCATCATCATCATCGTTAATTTAATTATGCAATAATGACCATCATCACCATAGGAAACTCACCAGCTTGTACAGACTCTCCCAGGCATCCTGTGTCATGAGGCGGAAGGCACACAACAACGCCCAGCCAAAGTTGTCGAAGCTGGTGTAGCCGAAGTTGGGGTTGTCGCCGAGGTCGGGTAAACACGTGAAGTTTTCCTTGCATCCACTGTGGACAGAGTGAGTGAGTGTTGCCGTTAAATGACAGGCAACATTATTCCAAATATTTTTATGTATTTGATCATTTGTTTGTATCTATTTTATATATCTAAAGCATTTACACGGTTTGGCAAAACGATATTTACAAGAAAAAATACCATGACAGTTTGACCAAAGTTTATTAAAGTAATCTCTATTACAATTTATGATATATATGAATACACAAGTATGCCCTTTTCTGTTCTTTCTTAACTTGCGAAATTCGGCGACCCTTCTGTATGAATTGGATGTTGGTGGAATGTTATTATTTCTAAAGTTGAAATGATTCTTTTTGACAAGATTTAAGGAATTGTTATTTTTCGATTAGTACCAAACAAAACACTTTTTTGCATTTTGTACGATATATGTTTTGTCTCGCCAAATGGAGCTCACTTTGAAGCATTCCCAAAATAGCATTTCTTTATTTCTTTAGAACAACAGCTGCAGTTTGTACAGTCTATTCCAATATGATGACATATAAGATGATGTCACGGTCATACACGTGACTGAAAACGTTAGAAATGATGCATGTCAAAGTTGCAGAATGAGTGAGTAAGGTTTTACGCCGCTTTTAGCAATATTCCAGCAATATCACAGCGGGGGACACCAGAAATGGGCTTCACACATTGTACCTATGTGGGCCTGGGGAACCGAACCCGGGTCTTCAGTGTGGCGAGCGAACGCTTTAACCACTAGGCTACCCCACAGCCCTCGGTGCAGAAAATATATGTTAGTCATATATCCAAAACATGACTAATGACTCGCGCTGGGTGGACAATCGAAGAATTTTTCTGACTATTTTGAACTTTCGAGTAATAGAGGAGAATAAGAAGAAGTTTATTATATTTTAGGCCTCCGGTCCACGTACATTGTAAACAAAATATACAGTAAATCACACAGTCAGATGTTAAGTAGTCTTGCATGAGTTTGGATATACTGACTGACTGACTGACTGACTGACTGACTGAGTTTGGTTTTACGCCGCTTTCAGCAATATTCCAGCAACATCACGGCACCAGAAATGGGCTTCACACATTGTACCCATGTGGGGATTCGAACCCGGGTCTTCGGCGTGACGAGCCAACGCTTTAACCATTAGGCTACCCCACCGCCCCAGTTTAGATATACACTATTTTTAATGCTTTATTTCTTAAGCGTGTTGCATGTGACGGCCAGACCGTGCCATAACTGTATGATAATATAAAGTTTCGAATGTGTGAAGCCCATGTTACTTTACCTACATTGTTTAAGTGTAGGAGCATATTGCAGGCTATTTATACACAGCTGCTAACGGGTATCTAACAATCTCATTTTTGAAAAAAAATATATTTTCTTTTCTTTTCGCACACATTTACATTTCAAATGGCGGGGGTCATGTTTTAATAAAACTCAATCATCTCTGTCTTCATCTTTTTTACATACAGTTACCTAGCCTCAGATTACTCTTAAACTGTTGCTTAAATAAAATAAAATTAAACTTATTTTAATCACATAAAAAAAACTCGGATGGGACTCAACTCAACTCAAAGTACTAAAATCTGTACTTTACTAAGAAAGTATAATCCCAAATATAACATATGTTACACTTGACCACTTTGTAAATGGCATTGTGAAATCAAAAATCGCTCTACTTTATTTTGTTTCTCAGTTAAGAAACGAATTAAGGAATTGATAATACATTCTACACTTTGCGCATGAGCAGATCGGTACATCACTTATTGAAACAGGGTAAACATTTGTTAGGTAATTAATACAACCTTCTTGTAACATGCAGAGCACGTTTATATTCCTCAAAACATGGACAGCAAGATTTTGCAAACTTAACACAAGTGCTTACCCGGCACCGCTACCATTTCCGCAGACGATGTAATCGTCACCCTCTTTCCACCAGTGGTCTGAACGTCAAACAAAAACAGCAATTTTGTGAGTCAAACAGTTTCTATTAGTCAAACAGTTTAGTATATGTGGCTACTGAAGAGTATTTGAGCTGGATGCACCTTACACAAATTGTCCACGTTCAGTGGAACTATTATATACACGATTGTGAATATGTTGCTTTATTTAAACTGTAGGAAGACGTAGGTTATCTTCTGGCGAATGACATGCTGTGGAAGAAACTCCTAAAAGACACCCATCGTGAATATCTTGTCAGACAGTAACTGCTAGAGAAGCGTCAGCGCAAGCTCCTTTCTGCGTCAACTCGTTCCAGAGTTACGCCGTTGTCAAATGCTGGAAGCAGGACTGGAGCCATGCGGCAGGTCACAAAAAGTGTTGGGAGCTCGTAACAAGGGGAGATAACAATGCACACCGACTGCTACACGGCGGAAATGAGAAAATGTAATGGACTCCTGGCTGACGTCCTCCCTTCCCCATCTCACCCACCAACCCTTTTTATTCATTGACAATTACCTTAGTCAATTAAAACAGCTACTAACCCGTGTCATTGACAAATGCCAGCCATTCCTCGTCCGTTATATTGGGTCCAAGCTCTATGGTCCAGTTCATAACGCACTTCTGCCTCAGTCCTCCCGAATACAACTGCATGCCGACCAAAGCAAAAATCGACAAGACGAACACCGTCAAAATCATCACATCTCTCAAACGCCGGACCGCTTCCAATAAGGCACCCACAATGGTTTTTAATCCTGCGGGAAAATGACATCAAAGCTTTATCGGGTTGTTACGTTATGAAGCAGTTGTATCAATCTATTGTATTATTGGCAAAATAATTCTTTTGCAATTTTGCCCAAGCTGATTCAAAGCAAAGCGTTATGTATTTCAAAGGCAATGGATACAACAAGGAACATTGTGGCTGAAAACACGAACGATGTTCGGACATTTCCTAAGCATCCCTTGAAGATCCGGGTAAAACCTGATCTTCAGCATCCCATTCATTGCGTAAGGTTCGACTATCGGTGGTGAGGCCCTCTACTTGGTTGATGCATGGCACCGTATCTCAACTGCGTATATCGATGCTCATGATGTCAATCACTGGATTGTGTTGTCATGACAGGAGTGCTAAATTTTACATACCGCGGTCACATAGCTGGAAAACTGCTGAGTGAGGCGTGAAATTTCCAGAACGCCTTTTATAAAGGGTACATTGATGAGTGACGTTAAACAACAAACAACTCAACACCAAAACCATCAAATACAGTTGGAAAAATCTTCGTTGCAATCGCCCAACACTACTCCCAAAATACACAATCGAAGGATCGTGTAGGATTACCTATCTTCAAACAGTGATGAATTATATATCTTAGATACCCATGAAGTTCCGGGTTAAAACAGACATCAGTAACTCATGCTTGTCGTAAGAGGCGTCTAACGGTATCGAGAGGTCAGGCTCGTTGACTTGGTTGACACATGTTATCGTATCCCAATTACATAGATGGATGCTCATGATGTCGATCACCGGATCGTCTGGCCAAGATTCGAGTATTTACAACCCGCCGCTATATAGCTGGATACAGTGCGACATTAAACAACAAACATACCAAACCAAACTATTCCTTGATAAGATTGGTTTGGTTGTTTTGTTGTTTAACGCCACACTCCAGCTGTGTGGCGGCGGTCTGTAAATCATCTAGTCTGGACCAGACAATCCAGCGATCAACAGACTGGAGACTGTACCTGGTATAACAGCTACTGTTTTTAGAGCTCGAAGTACCCTGAAGGTCCTCAAGGCCGATAGATTGCCCAAAACTTTTATCCACATGGTCAAGTATCTGGAACAAAAAAAAATTAAAATTGTAAATTGGTCAGTTCACATATATGAAATGTAAACAATGAATGAATTCTCGTGAACTTGTAACCCTCGGGAACATCAGACAAAATACATGTATCCATAGGTTGAGACTTCCTGAAAGTAAGTCGTCATTAGATATTTGCCCAAACAGCGATTCTACCAACAATAAAGATACATGGTCCAGGGAACTTGGGCAGCTCCTTGAATCACTCCTCTCTCTGTAGGGTCAGTTTGTATTCGTGTCCGAAATTGTATGCTAGTGGGTAAGTTTTGATTGACTCCGGCGTGGTTGGGGTAGCTTAATGGTTAAAGCGTAAAGCTGAAGATCCGGGTTCGATTCCCCACATGGGTACCATGTGTGGGGCCCATTTCTGGTGTCCACCGCGATGATATTGCTAGAATATTGCTAAAAGCGGCGTAAAACCATACTCACTCACTCTGATTTACTCCTGGCTTGTCATCATCATAGTGACAAACATTTAGGATACCTTCCTCTCTATATTGTACAATATTGTACTATGTACTGATACCGTCATATGCACCGAACATTATTTAAAGCGACTTAGACAAATACATCGATGCAGCTCGCCACAATTAGTAATTTTCGTAAATATTTGATATATTAGTAATTTGGTTAAATACGTGTTATAGTTTATGTCCAGATGGTTTGTTATCGAGATGTTTTTATGTACTTACGCTATAGAAATAACAAAAAAGTCTAGCCAGTTCCAGGGGTCACGGAGATACGTAAACGGGGTTAAAATGATCCCTCGGGCCAAGATCTTCGTCGAAGCTTCAAATGTATAGATCCCAGTGAAGATTTGTCTGAAAATCATCATATCATCATCGTTATCATCATCGTTATCATCATCATCATCGTCACCACCATCATCATCATCATCATCATCGCTCGTTCTACGTTTGAATAGGATGTCACAAACTTGCTTGTCTTTAGAGTAGATCTATTGACTCAATTGTCCTGATCATTAAATCCGACGTTGCTCTTGCTCATCATCATCACCATCTTTGTCATCATCATCATCATCATCATAATCATCACCATCATCATCACATCATCCTCAACATCATCATCGTTATCATCATCGTTATTATCATCATCATCATCATCATCATCGCTCGTTCTACGTTTGAATAGTTTGTCACAAACTTGCTTGTCTTTAGAGTAGATCTATTGACTCAATTGTCCTGATCATTGAATCCGACGTTGCTCTTGCTCATAATATCACTCACTGGTTGCCTTTTACATACTCATATATTTACAGAACATCACCAAATAGCTGTGATGCTTAATGATCTGTTGTAGCTTGTTCATTTCCAAGCAGCATGATGTAGCCAGTTCGCGGCGTAAAATAACAACCAACCAAACGGCTTCAAACCGAACTTACTCACTCACTCGCTGCATGTAAACATAACTTACTCGACATATTCTTCTGGGCCTTCTGTCATCGTCATGAAAACACAGTTGACTATAATTGTCAACATCACCACAACGCTAAATAGAGTACATAGGTTAAGGAAGAATGTTACAGTGTGGTTGACAATAAACAGTGAGGTTGACAATAAACCACTTATCAGCTGACAGTTGCATAATTTGTTTTAAAAAGCATCTTATTTCATTTGTGTAGAGGCTCGGGAATTTGTTTTTTGAACATTTTTCCCCAACAGAACCCAACACACCATTTATTCACTTAGCATTACCAAACATTCTGTTCATTTTATTATTCATAAAAATACGTTTGGGTATTTCCCACAAAACTATTCGTTTTTCTTCACCACTACCAACAAACTATTCATTAAAACAATTACCAGATGGATACAGGAACAAGGTAATGCCATATGATACTAAAATCAGTTAAAAATAAAAACTATTGAAACATTTACAAAATTCGTTATTAGATAATTCATTTTCATGACTTGGTCATTTTGTAAAGTAAATCGAAAGTAATTTGTATGAAAGATGGGATATATATTATTCGTTCCTGCAAAGAACTTAACGAAACAAAACCATTCCCTAATTTCCCACAAGACTATTCGTTTTTCTTCACCACTACCAAGAAACTATTCATTAAAACAATTACCAGATGGATATAGGAACAAGGTAATGCCATATGATACTAATAGAGGATAATACCAATAAAAATCAGTTAAAAAATATAAACTATTGAACCATGTACAAAATTCGTTATTTTGTAAAGTAAATGAAAAGTAATTTGTCACAAAGATGGGATATATATTATTCGTTCTTGCAAAGAATTTAATGAAACAAAACCATTTCCAATTTTCAGAAGATGACAGTTCTTCTGAACAGAGATTCGTTTGAACGATTCCGACTTTATTCGTTTTGTAAAGTAAATCAAAAGTAACTTGTCAGAAGGATGAGATATATTATTCGTTCCTGCAAATAACTTAGAGACAAAACCATTTTCTATTTCCAGAATCCGATTCGGGCTCTATCATTGCTATTAAATTGTGACAACACCAGGTGTTTGGCTAATGATAAAGACATGGTTTTACTCCCTGCGATATATACTGAGGGAAAAAATAAGGGATCACATGAAAGCACAAGTGTTCCTTTATTTTTTTCAGGCTTCTTCACAAACGTTGTATCGCATAGCTTGTGAAGAAACCTGGAACCAAATAAAGGAACACTTGTGCTTTCATGTGATCCCTTATTTTATTTCCTCAGTATATTTCGGATGATTAGAGCTGCACAAGTTCGGCTTTATTTGATGGTAGTATGTGCCGTGGTAAAGGATATGGATGGACGAGAATGTAGAGTGCGACCCTCCTGATTGGGTTGAAGGGGCTGAGGATGAACAACGCATTTGTAGCGTTAAACCGGTAGATAGTCTTGTCCCTCCCGATAACGCAAAATGTCTGAAAGACAACATGACATCATCAACATACTGCACTAGTGAGTGAGTTTAGTTTTACGCCGCACTCAGCAATATTCCAGCGATATGGCAGCGGTCTGTAAATAATCGAGTCTGGACCAGACAATCCAGTGATCAACAGCACGAACATCGATCTTCGCAATTGGGAACCGATGACATGTGTCAACCAAGTCAGCGAGCCTGACCACCCGATCCCGTTAGTCGCCTCTTATGACAAGCATGGGTTACTGAAGATCAATTCTAACCCGTATCTTCACGGGTCACATACTGCACTAACACATCATCAATAAATTGTAAGCACACCATCATAAACACGTTAAACATACAGCATGAGTAGTATGTAGTAGTACAACATTAGGCCGTGAATGATTATTATGATTATTAAGGTATTATAAAGTTTTGCAATAAATATATATCTGAAGCGTGCGTGTATGTGTTTTGACAAGCACAAACATTGTGACTCAATCTTTTGTATATTTTTTGTTATGCACTTGAAGACATCACCTCTTGTTCGTGATAACCGTAGTTCGTTATACGCATTTCGATTAAACATACAGCAAATGGCGGGGACAAAAACAATTCACAAAATTTTAAAATACAATAAACTTTAAAAAGCCTAGATTTTCGAAGATCTCTTACCGCTAAGATAGTCGTAAGTGCCATACATTAACATTAACTTACGACTATCTTAGGGCTAAGAGAGCTACGAAAATCAAGGCCTTGTCCGTTTTATCCGTCGTAAGTTCGTTATAAGCGTGTTCTTTATAAAAGTAATTTTCTGTAATCATGAAGAGGAACCTACCTTCTGGTTGTGGTAGTACTCATCCAAGTCCTCAATGGGCCTCCCCACGAACTTGCTGGCCCCTTCCTCCATGGATGGAGGAAGCTTGCGCCCAGCCTCCAGCTTGGGGTTCGGCTTGGGGTCAGGTTCATGGTGACTTGGTTCTTCTATCTCATCCTCAGAGTCATCCGAGTCACCAGCCTCCTTCAGTTTATGAGCCTCCTTCGCTGCATGTTCCTCCGCTATCCGCCTCTCGATATTGAAGAGGGAGTCCCGGGTGAAGGGGCGGAAGGTCCGGTATTCCTCGACGCCCTCTTCATCCATGACGTCACCTCATCCAACACTACCGGAAGCCCGCTAAGACACGATTTAGTACCTTTGGCAGGGTCTGAAAATACATGATGGAGTCATTAGCTTATATCTTTGACAGGGACTGAAGTAAAAGTGTGACTGAGAGATAAGCTAATACCGTGGCAGGATCTGAAAATATACAATTGAGTGAGTGAGTGAGTGAGTTTGGTTTTACACCGATTTTAGAAATATTCTAGCAATATCACGACGGGGGACACCAAATGTATCCATGTGGGGAATCGAACCCGGGTCTCCAGCGTGACGAGCGAACGCTTTAACCACTAGGCTACTCCACCGCCCCACAAGTGACTGAGAGCTGAGCTGATAGATTTAGCAGGGATTGAAAATACATGAGAGAAAAAGAGATTAGATTGTACATTTGACAGGGCCCAACAGTAAAACTGTGACCGAGAGGTGAGCTCATACCTTGGCAGGATCTGAGGATGACTGAGAGACAAGTAAGTAACTTTGTCAGGGTTTGAAAATACCTGAATGACTGAGGTGTGTGTGAGTAACTGTGTGAAACAATGACGGTGGGAGTGAAACATGATTTAATCCTGCGTGGGACTGACACGACAGTCGAGTGCCTCTGCCAAGGTCTGAAATTACATGAGTGACTGCGAGATGAGAAACTTTTTGAAACTTGGAGGGTGGAAGTGAAACATCATTTAAAGTTTCGGGGGTCATTATTTTTGGTAGGATCTGAAACACGTGTTAGTACGTTTGGTATGCTCTGGAACACGTGTCAGAGCCTTTAACACCTATTGGTGCTTTTGGTAGGACCCAAAACAGGTGTTAGCTCATTTAGCAGTGTCTGAAACACGTGTTAGTACGTTTGGTAAGAACATAAACACGTGTTAGTAGCTTTGGTAGGGTATGAATCATGTGATAGTAAGGTTGTTAAGAGCTGAAACACGTGTTAGTACCTTTGGTAAGGACTGATACACACGTGTTAGTACAGTTGGTAAGGGTAAGGTATAAATAGCGTGTTAGTACGGTTGGTAAGGGCTGATACACGTGTTAGTACAGTTGGTAGGGACTGATACACGTGTAAGTACAGTTGGTAAGGACTGATACACGTGTTAGTACAGTTGGTAAGGACTGATACACGTGTTAGTACAGTTGGTAAGGAGCTGATACACGTGCTGATACATATGTTAGTACAGTTGGTAAGGACTGATACACGTGTTAGTACAGTTGGTAAGGACTGATACACGTGTTAGTACAGTTGGTAAGGACTGATACACGTGTTAGTACAGTTGGTAAGGACTGATACACGTGTTAGTACAGTTGGTAAGGACTGATACACGTGTTAGTACAGTTGGTAAGGGCTGATACATGTGTTAGTACAGTTGGTACTGATACACGTGTTAGTACAGTTGGTAAGGGGCTGATACACATGTTAGTACAGTTGGTAAGGGCTGATACATGTGTTAGTACAGTTGGTAAGGGCTGATACATGTGTTAGTACAGTTGGTAAGGGCTGATACATGTGTTAGTACAGTTGGTAAGGGCTGATACACGTGTTAGTACAGTTGGTAAGGGCTGATACATGTGTTAGTACAGTTGGTAAGGGCTGATACATGTGTTAGTACAGTTGGTAAGGGCCGATACACGTGTTAGTACAGTTGGTAAGGGCCGATACATGTGTTAGTACAGGTTGCTGATACACGTGTTAGTACAGTTGGTAAGGGCTGATACACGTGTTAGTACAGTTGGTAAGGGCCGATACACGTGTTAGTACAGGGTTGATACAAGTGTTAGTACAGTTGGTAATGATACACGTGTTAGTACAGTTGTACAGTAGAGGGCCGATACACGTGTTAGTACAGTTGGTAAGGGCCGATACACGTGTTAGTACAGTTGGTAGTACAGTACAGTTGGTAAGGGCCGATACACGTGTTAGTACAGTTGGTAAGGGCCGATACATGTGTTAGTACAGTTGTTAAGGGCAGAAACACGTGTTAGTACAGTTGGTAAGGGCTGAAACACGTGTTAGTACAGTTGGTAAGGGCCGATACACGTGTTAGTACAGTTGGTAAGGGCCGATACACGTGTTAGTACAGTTGGTAAGGGCCGATACGTGTTAGTACAGTTGGTAAGGGCCGATACACGTGTTAGTACAGTTGGTAAGGGTTGAAACACGTGTTAGTACAGTGGTAAGGGCCGATATGGTTAGAAACACGTGTTGGTACAGTTGGTAAGGGCCGATACACGTGTTAGTACAGTTGGTAAGGGCCGATATACGTGTTAGTACAGTTGGTAAGGGCTGATACACGTGATAGTACAGTTGGTAAGGGCAGAAACACGTGTTAGTATCGTTGGCAAGTCTGAGTGACTGATTTTAGTGCTAGGCCGCCTTTAGCAATATTCCAACACAATCACAGCGGGGCACACGAGAAATGAGCTTCACACATTGTGCCCATGTTGGGAATCGAACCCGGCTCTTTGGCGAACGGTTTAACCACTAGGCTACCCCGACGCCCCCTGTTGGTAAGGTCTGAACACCTGTTGGTACCTCTTAATACACGAACGGGATCCACAGCATCAGGATCTAGCGGTTATATCGGATTCTGAAGCGTGGTTCGTCAAACCTTTAATTTCGAGGTAAAAATGGAGCATATTGATTGGCTGCGTGAGGGGATTTTGGTCATCAAAATTTTGCAGCTATCCCCGGCAAATTAGCAGATTTTGCAGCTCTAATATGCCTTCAGAATTAATAAAAAAATATATAATCGATAACGGCTTATTGCTTGCAATCGATCATCAAAATTCATCATTTATCACAATGGATGGTATTTATGTAGGAAACGTGCTACATCAGCAGTTTTGAACATCCAACTACAAATACCTCATCCCTCGGAAGCAACTACGTGAAGATGCTGAACACGCGTTTGGTGAAAAGACTAACTAAACAATTGTTTTGAATTTCGAGTGTGAAAAATGTGTTCGATTTCTTTGTCCTTCAATTTTCCCCAAAAAATAATCCAATAATCTAACATTTCTTTACCAGTGAATGTTGTTGAACGCCGTTGGTCTTTACCCTTAGAATCCCCACTGGAATAATCGTAAAACATAAATGGATATTTTGGTATGATTATGGAAGTGATATTTGTCAAATACTAATAGACGTCACATCTAATGTGAAAATATACTGAGGGAAAAAAATAAGGGATCACATGAAAGCACAAGTGTTCCTTTATTTGGTTCCAGGTTTCTTTACAAGCTATGCGATACAACGCTTGTGAAGAAACCTGGAAAAAAATAGGGAACACTTGAACTTTCATGTGATCCCTTTCTTTTCCCCCTCAGTGTATAAAAAACGGGACTTGTTTGTTTGTCTTGTTTGGGGTTGGTGTGGGAAAACTTTACAAAGGTATGTGATCATCCATGATTATATATTAACCAATTGCCAGAATATTGTTGACTGTAGCATCATCAAAACACAGAAAAACTATAAATAATTCACCTCAGTGACAGACACTGAATATACATCATATATGCTCTTAAGTAGGGGAACTTCATTTTTAATTTACGATTGAAACAAAAATAGGAGATATATCGGTGTCAATCAATGTTGATATGATAATAATAAATGTTTTGAGAGTGCATCACGACTTGAACTTCCATATGACCAGTTGTTTGTACAGTAATCGCTCTTGAAAGATGATTGGTGTATGACGTGAAATTTGCATGAGTACAATTCCCATTCTCAAACACCAAAAATGGCTAGAAACAAACACTAACAACTGTGTGATGCAAGATGATTGTCCAAAATAATGGTCTACAGTGATTTATCGACCTTCTTGAAAACCATCAAAATCAAGACTGACACCCCATGCACGTGTATGGGGCTACCGTGTTGTGCACGTGCATTACATGCGTTGTGTTTAGGGGTGGTGATACAGAGAAATGTTGACGCGTTCATAAGATGTCTGTCTTTGAAAAGTTTGCTAACGCTTATGCTTCCTATCCAAATTCCTCTTCTTTTTGTGAAGAGTATATAGGTATGATTTTATGCCGCTAATGGCAATAGCAATATTAATACTGCCCATTTAGAGAATCGAGCCTGGCTTTGAGGTATGCAAATCAAACGCTTCAATCATTACATTGCCACACTGGCGTTTCTTCCTCCCGAATAACACAGGTTCCGTTCTTGTAAAGCCGGCTGTATTCCAGCTGTCCAGTGTGAGTGCTGATACCAGGGCCAGAGAGCCAAGCTGTCACATAGGATATGCAATCAACTAGAACCCTGTGTAATGTGAGCTGAAATGATTCCTTTTTTCCTGCGTTCATCCATAATGCAATGAATAACGGCTTGTATCCACGAGGCCCCACGGGAAACGGCATAATTCCATTACTGAGTATGTAAGGTCCTGTATATACCAGGTCCGAGGGGACACGAGATATGTCCTTTACCGAGTATCTAATGTCAGTGTCCGAGAGAGACATGAGATAAACACATTGTTGGATATGTAAGGTCCTGTATATACCAAGTCCGAGGGGACACGAGATATGTCCTTTACCGAGTATCTAATGTCAGTGTTAGAGAAAGACACGTGATAAACACATTGCCGGATATGTAAGGTTCTGTATATACCTAGTCTCTCGTACAGACCCTGAAGCAAATATATCCAAGAAAGCCCACGCAAGTCTAGAAAATGTGGCAAGTCTAGATTTCCACAGCTTCAGGGTCTGTACCAATCTGCTGAATTCACAAGCCAGCACATGGCTTGTAATTATCAGTTGGTCTCTAGCTGTCACTGGTGTTTAATTTCAATTAATGGGGAGTCTCCCCCACCGCTCCCCCAATGGAAATGAAGAAAGTCTCAGGGCTCCTTTTCATTATATATATATTTTTTTACTATGAACTTTTTTTTCAGTAAAATATGTTCATTTCAGAGACAGGTTGTTAGTCTAGTATATATCAGGTCCGAGGGGACATGAGATAAACAATGTTAGGACATGTACGGTCCTGTATAAACCAAGTCCGAGGGGACATGAGATAAATGTAATGCCCAGTATATAAGTGCCCGT